CAAACCTCTCAATTCTCAGCCACTTCCATACTAAAACAACTACACCAAATCACAGAAACTCTTATGATTTTCCATGTTGTATTTTGTATTTTTAGTTCATCATTTAAAAATGAAGTAATTATAATTAGGATATTCACTGAAACAGCTGAGTACAATATATTCTTGGTATTGAATTGGACAAATGTACCCTACTTCTGTAGCTCAAAGTAGAACATTACTTCTCTTCTAGACTTGTTGATGATATTTTAATTGTAGGTTTTGGTTTATAAGATCACAGAGGCATATCTCCATAATTTCAGCTATTTGGGCTTTTTAATGTATATTACAACTGTTGCTGCCTTTCTCATATATATTAAAATATTGCCGGCTTTCTGATATATATTTAGGTGCTGCTAGCTTTTTGATATATATATTTCACTGGCAATACAAGGCATAGAATTTGAATAAACAGGGCTGAGCTCCCTCCAACACACCCCTGTTTGATCATTAAACACATATAGAAGTTTTGTCATTCCTCAATCAATAAATTTAACTCTTTATTTAACTCTAAATTAAAGATTGGATCAGACTCATATGCTGTATAAAAGACTACAAACAGTAGCATTTATAGCAAACAGACTGTTCTTCAACAACAGAAATGTTTCATATTATAGAAATAATATATTCATTTTAAAGAAATGCTTCACCAAAATTTTCAGCAGAATCCCTAACAAACTTTATTAGAAATAAACTTTAATACTTTATAAAGTGATAAAGGCGAAATAACTTCATATAAAGGAATAAAACGTTTAAGGTCAAATGCATCTTGGTCAAATCATTGCATATTTCAATAACTAAAAAGTAAAAAAGTCTGTCATTTTCTGCTGAGCAAGAAAATTTTGTGATCTTTCAGAATAAAAAATATCATGCTTGGATTAAATTGGGGGGGCATAAACCACTCACTACCATTAAATTATTACAAATCTTGAACACAAATCTATCCGGACCAAAACTGCATGATTACTACGATTCGAAGTTTCGAACAAAGTCTTGTCCAAGTATTTGATAACACTGATGCCAGGATAACATTGCCGCTTGCCACCAAGCTTAAAGATCTTGAAAACTTGTTACAGAGTCGGAACATAAGCCGAGAAAACACGTTCACGTACGAAAAATACTTCTTACAATGGGTCACGATCAATTTGAAGCACGAACTAGAAAACCGCAAATGAAGCTCAAACCAATGAAATTAAATCAGGTCTGCCGCAAATCGTTAAAAAAACGCAAAAAGCTTGCTATTATTCCTAATATATTTGATACTACCATGGAATAAGCTTAAATTGCTTTCTTCTTTTGCATTTTATATCCAATTTCCAATAGTATTATTATAGTTTCACTTTGCAAGTAGGAACCAAAATGGCGGCTCCGCGCTCGCCCCAGACCGTTTGTCCCAACTCTTATACTATAGAGGGCTCTGCATGAGTGGGTACAAAACAACGGTCGGCTTAACAGTTTTTCAATTCAAAATGTCTTTACGCAACTATGGAAACATTTTGCTTTTGCAAAAGAATGCACGAAATTTGCAGTGAAAATGACATCCCTCTTGCACCTTCTCTAACCAAGGTTATGAAGGGTGTACACCCCTAGCTTTGCAACCCTCAGTAAATCCTTCCCTGTGATCATTTATGATTACTTGACAGTAGTTTCAGAATTCACTATTTACTTTAAACATAGATGCAGACCGACCTGTTCTTGACTAACTGCAAACCCTCAGAAAGGGTGCTGTTTGTAGCAAGTAGCCATTTCGATGTATAATATAATGACTCATTAATTTCGAATGGACATTAAATCTATGAGCTCCATTTAAAAGATTTACCTAACCTTTTATCCTTAAGTGCTCACATCAACATTCAAAGCTCTTCATTTAACCCTACGCCGAATGCATTAGGGGCAAAGGAAAATGAGATAAAATCCCCCTTTATCTTTCAAATGTATTTGGCTCATGTAAAATGCGACGTATGAAATAGGCGCAAGTCTCGTCTACAGTTTTAGTTTTAAGCTTCTAACTTACGGCAATAGTTCACACACCAATTTAGCAAATTACTTTAGAACGACTTAAAATTATAGCGTTCAAATCAAAATTCAAAAATATTGTTGTTAGCTTCCATAGTCGAAACACATGGCACATGCTGTAACCATGACGACAAACGTAAAATAATTTTTTTATTTTATACAAATACTTTGGTGAAATGCGTCGTCAGATCTTAATGTAACTCACGACAATGACATAAGGCTACTTAGAATGTGAGAAGAAAATAATAGAACAGCAAGTTCTTCGTATTAGAAAAAACTAATTTCTAGTACAAAATCTAAAGCTACTGGCCCATTGGCAAAGACAAAGCGAAGAGAAAAAAAGATAAAGCCCCCAAGGCCGACGCTATATTTATACCACACATTGATCGTCCACGCATGTCATTGATGATGTCACATGTCATTTTACTTTAACATCCCCTCAGGCCCTCACTTACGAAGGTTTACAATGCTCTACAAAGTTGTGATACATGATATTTTTCTTTTCCAAAGAGAATTCTTAGTTCAAGAAATATATGCTCGAGATGATTAGATGAGCAAATGATCAGAGGAGGCAAAATCATGAGAAAACTTTGAAAATTCGGATCTCTAGACGGCTGAAAATGGTCATTTTATAGATAACTTTTTTAAAGTCATTATATTACTTGCTCTACGGAAAAAGCAAGATCTTATAAATTTTTTTTCAAAACATTTTTCCAAGAATTAAAAGCCCAAAGGACCAAGGTGTTGAATACATGAGAAAGTTATCAAGGCTAGGAGAAGCAGAATGTGATTAATATATACGATGAATCTCCGATCTACTGTGCTTAGAAACAAAAAGAGGGACAAAAAATTTCGTTGAATATAACCAATTTACACATTGCCCATTGGCCAATATGTTAAGCATACTTACGAATAAAGTTATTGCACAGTTACAATGCTTTATTATTCCCAATGGTTATTTAATTTGTTAATTTTTGAATACTTGACCTTCTCGGCTAACCTTGACAATTCCAATAACTTAGTGACAACAAAAAACTTATTTGGTTAAAACAGATAGGGCGCCTCTCCTTATTTGACTAGAAATTATTGTATACAAAAAATATCAAGTTGTTTTTCCCCATAATATCTCTAACCTGTATGTACTTTCCTATTAATGACATTGGCATTATATTGGACGTGACAATATTTGAACCTTAATTAACTTACTTGAGTAAGTCTACATTTTACTATGGACTAATGATAAAAATGTTCTATTTATGTTCTAATTTACTCTGTCTATTCCATAACAGGGGGCGTAGTAAACTCGTTGATGAGGAAGGGGGTAGGGTTCAAATTTATGAATGCATGTCTTAATCTATAGAAAACAATGGATTTCAAAAAGAATTTGATTCTGCAGAACATGCATTTATGAATACGTTCCCCCCCAAATATTGAGGTTGCTAAACAATTGCATATGGATGTAATATTTACGATCATTGTAACAGTTTCAATGGTTGTAAAAAGACAAATTGTATTTCGACATGCCATAACAAATTACAGTCATCAAAGTTCTGGAGGAACCGACATAAAATCAAGATGACAGTCCATATTCTGTCTGCTGTCCTCAAAGAGATTACTGACCTTAAGGTCTATTAATTCAAGTCCACTTAGTTCATCTTGATTTGTTTCTTGGAGTGAATTGGCATCATCAACTTGATTTGATTCCTCTGTCAGAAATTATAGAAATTAGTAAAAAGGTTTTTTATTTGTTTGAAAATGTAGTCGAGAACGGTATGTAGTGAGAGACAGCCAATCTATTGACTCGTGAAAGTCATAGTGGAATACATCGTAAACAAGCTTAAAGAAAAATGACAGAATCAAGCACAACCAGATTTTTCAAATGGATCACTTTAGGGCAGGCCCTGTGAACTGTGAGTAGGGGTGTCCCAAGAAAGTTAATGGTAGGGGGGGGGCTTATTCACATGTTTAGTTGCGTCCAACTGATTTCTTTTGAAAGCAATTTACTGAAAGTGCCAATGCAACAAAAATTTGCAAGTTAAATTATGTTTGCAATGACTAGAACCTTTGAAATTACAGTGTACTTTCTAAAACAGTAAATGCATATCCTCGTGATTTTGACGTTTTGTTATTTCCAATTTATCTAACTTGTGACGTTATATTTCAAAATGAATTCCCACAATGTTTCAAATACTCTTCAGTTTCCTGACAACTTCAGGTTGATACTAGTAGGCAGCATTTTATACCATTAACTCCGTCACAATGAAATGAAATCTGTCGTTGTGAAGTAAAGTATCAGTAAATATACCAAATAATTTTAGTTCTCATTAATCAATGTGACGTCACAAGTTAGATATATCGGACATAGCAAAAACCTCAATATCTCGAGAATTAAAATTGATTTGCATAAACTGGTTTAGAATATCCATTGTCATTTTAAAATATTTCTTCAAAAAATTATTACTCAGATAGCAAAATTTTCGTTTCATAGGCACTTTCAGAAATTAAACAACTCTCTTTCAATAAAATCAGTCAGGCACAATTGAATATATGAATAACACACACTCCCCCACCAATCAACGTTTACCAGGTGGCCGTGACTGTGAGATGTATGTGCGGGGGTATCAAAAAAATAGTCAGTGACGAAAAACTTTGCTAAATTGATCAGCGCGGAAAATTTGCAAAAATTTCAAATGGAAATAGGCAGTTGGACTTCCAATGGTTCATCTGATAGTTAAGTAAAATTGTTTCAAATATAAACCTTTTTAGAGGGAGGAATTTGTTACAGGGAAGTGCTTTTGAAGTAGCTCACGAACAAAAATGACAAAGCAATTTAAACGCATAGCATTAAAATATGTCACACTTTGTTCAAGAAAATGAAGTTTCAGGGAATTTGGCAAAAACGTACACGAACAATTAGCTTCCAAATCACAGATTATTTTGTTTTCGTTTTTGAATAACTTTTTATAGCTCTCTTTAATTATGTATAAATTTCAGTTTCCAAAAAACCTGAATCATTATAAACAGAAAAATTGATGATGATTTATGTAAAATGTCATATAAACGGAAAAACACAAATTAATCTACGATTCGGAAGATGAACGTTCGCGTAGGAATCGTCCAAATTTACTGAAACTTTATTAGTTTGAACAACATATGCCATATTTCAAACTTATGCGTTCCAATTGCAATCTATTGGTGTCATTTTTGGCGCAAGCTATTTTAAAATAGTTTGTCGGTTACAAATTTTTTACTCTAACAACGATTATTATTTACGAAAATTTAACTGTAATAACGTAAATGGTTTTAAGCCCGGACGTATCGTTACATGTTTCTAGATGTAGATCGTCATGGTTAGTAGAGTCCCGAGAAAGTCAACTTGACTTTAAAGGTGACGACTGCTAAGGAAGTCAAAACGTCAGTCAACATCAATAACTGTAATAACGTAAATGGTTTGAACCCGGACGTATCGTTACATGTTTCTAGATGTAGATGGTCATGGTTAGTAGAGTCCTGAGAAAGTCAACTTGATTTTAAAGGTGATGACTGCTAAGGAAGTCGAAACGTCAGTCAAAAACAACAAAAACAGCCTTTTTCATGACTCTACTAACCTGGATGATCTACATCTACAAACATGTGAAAATTTGACATTAGATAAATCATTGGAAGTCAAACTACTTATTTCCACCAAAGGTTTTTGCAAACCTTGTACGCTGTTCGATTTAGCAACGTTCTCTCAAATGTATTGTTTTTTCAATTTTCCCCAATCCTTTGGGGTAACCATTACCTCCGTAGGATTTCTAGCACTTCAACAGGGCAGCATATTGATATTTACTGTCTAGATTCAGAGACAAATCGTTCGTTCGTAGAGCCGTACTGCCACTGTAGGATTCCAATGGAATATGAATTTCAACAATCGGTCGCAACTAAAAAATACGTCAAACATGTCAAATACATCGTAAATATTATCGAATTCTAAATATAAAGATAAGATCCCAACAGATCGTGTTTGAGAAAGCCATCAGCATTGGACTTTTTCAGTACTTATTTAAAAAAGCAAGCGATGTTTCGTCTTGACTCAAGACTTCTCAGACTAATTACATAGACTTAAGCCTAGGCCACACTATCGTCTATATTCACGAAAACGAAAACAAAACGAAAATTCGTGCACGAAATACATGCCAGACACGACGTGAAATTGCAAGCATGTTTACAAAGATCGGCTAAAACGTAAACGGTATTATTGTTGGATGTGTCTTTGTAGTAGTCGTTGCAGTAACAAAACAAGGAAAAAAAGAAAAGGTGTCTTCCTCTGGCAAGAAGGTACTCTTTCTGAAGTTGAAAGCAAGCATTTAGCAAGACAATCAAACGCCGATACTAGATTCACCCAATTAATAAACAACGTGATCGACTTGGATAATTTAACAATTTGAATACAGTTACGAGAACTGAACAAAGAAAACAGACTCATAAAATACTTGCGAATGACGACAAATTGTTTTTTTCTCGCGTCGGATTTATTAAAACTCATGCCACCCCGCCATCTTTGTGTAGTTAAGTTTTAGATTATTAGCCAATTGCATGCGTTTTCGTTAACGAAAAAGGTTAAAAGTTCAACTCTTCTAATATGCACGAGAACGAAATTTTCGTTGAGTTTTCGCTCAAGATTTTCGTTGCGGCAGTTTTCGTTCTAATTTTCGTCGATATGGACGATAGTGTGGCCTAGGCTTTACTAAGATGCTCAAAAGTTTTTGTTTATTACTTTTCTTTTCCTGTGTGCCCTTTTACAGGAAACAACTATCTATAACTCCCTTTTTTCTCTTCAGATCTTAAAAACTCTTAAATTGGTCTTTGGAATAGTTGGATGGGGAGAATACACGTCCCTCTAAACTCTCTTCATGGTAAATTTCCCTCCATTACTCATCCCCCCTTATATCTTGTACAATCTTTCTTACATTTCCTTACAATACACAATATCAGCTTTACACTGTAAGTACACATCCACACAAACCTCACACCTTAACTATTTAAGTAATTACATCTCATTTGAAGATGTCTTGAGTCGAGACGAAACGACAAACGTCACTTGCTTTGTTGTAATAAATATCAAAGAAATCGAACGCTTATGGTTATCTTTGAAACGATCTGTTGGACTCTAATCTTTAGGGTGATAAGTCAATAAAAATTCTTTAATATTTCGAACATGTTACCTTCTTCAGTACATAAAACAATGTCTAATTCTTGCTGATCAACGTTATCAACGTCGTCGTCGGCGCTCATGATTCACTGTATAAAGAAAAAAACGTCAAACTAGATGAATTGGTCAATTTTGACTTCAAAATATCATTTAATTTCAATAAACATCGACTACAAATCATCTAGAGTTGCAACTACGTAATAAGTACCGTGCTTATAGCCATGCATTAAAGTCAATAACGAGCATAATTTCTGTTCAACGAGAATGATCATGACGAAGTAAGAGATTGCGAACTATACAATATCACATGTGGAAATGCGTCATTATGTCGTAACAAAACCCCATCATTCTTTGCGGACGCAGACGTGGTGCATAATAAAAGTGAAAGCCGTTTTGAAGAGTAGCCTTTTGTCATTTCTCAAATAAATATGTTTACTGATGACTTAAAGCAATCAAATAAAATGCAGTCTACTGCTGTCGACACCTTAAGAATAAAATTGAATTTCAACAGATAAATTTTCACAAACTCTTTCGATATTTGAAATGGATTTTGCCAACAACCATCATGCATAGCGCGCGTTTGTTCATTTCACATCAAAACAATTGTAGAATCACATATATCAACTATTGTTACTTAAAATACGAATATCAAAAATTCATCAAACATTGCAGTGATTAGTACAACGAAACATGTAACAATAAATTCAAATTTGGGAAGTGTTATGTCCCAACATTTCTAGGAGTGAATGTTTATTAAATGATTTTTATCTTCTGTCGAAGACTCGAAGATATTTCGATCTTGTGGAAGCTGCTTTTAGTTAACTTCTTAATCACAAGCAGTAACTAACGGTGATTTACATTGACTAGTCTTTGGGATCGCATGTAATTTTGCATTGCTTACAATCATTCATACAATTTATCAAACTTTTAGCAACATGTAGATAGCGAATGTTCACGGAAATAATCTTAACAATCTGTGACAAACTGGAATTCAAATTCAGAAGTTCGTTCCCATTTACTTTACTTATGTCACTGATATTTGAACAACAAATACTTAATACATGATATTTACCTTTTGATGAAAATGCTTTGCACAATTTTATCGAAATTTTCGTAAGGCGTCTTCTTCAATGAATACGATGACTAGAAAATGAAAGTATTGATCTCAGGAAGAATGTCATATGATCTCTGCGTGACGAGAAATACTATATGATTAAATATCATGTGTATAAACTCACGCTAGTTAACCTAGTTTCTTTCAATAATTGACGAAAATTGGTCAATTTGATAAAAGAATTTTTGGTTTCACAAGAATTACTCCACAATATACAGCATAAGACTTCGGTAGAGAAATTTTTTATCTCACTGTAAATGCTACACGCAAGAAAATACTGGAAATTAAAAGTGCTAATTTAATAGTCAATTGGTAAAGAAGTGACGACAGTAAAAGTGTACACTTTAGGGGAGGTCAGGTAGTGCAGCCAACAAAGATATTAAAGAAAGTTAAAACATTGCCCAGAAAAACTCAGTTCAACTGTACTACTGATTTGTTTTGCTAAAAATTGAGGGAGTTAAAATGTTTCCGACAGGGGTGTGCAGTTTATTTTTGGAAGTTAAATCTAAAGTTTGCGAACCTGTACCCCTCCTCAGTAATTCTGTCGATGTTTTATAGTGGTTATCTCATTAATGGCAGGAGACATGGTAAAGCTGTAATGGAGAAAGTTCTTTTAAAATACTTTTGTTTTCTTGGATTACAGTAAATCACTCTACAAATATGGAATAAAGAACAATTTTTCGTTGAAAGAAAACTTACATCGTCGATAGAGAAACAATTCTTATACTAATTCTTCCTAAATTAAAATGGGAATAATAGTATATATCAATATATGAGTGATTATTTTACTTTCATTGCCAATTCGTAATAGTTAAATTTTAACGTTGCCAACAAATAGCGACACTCTTTTTTAAGAAACGTTTTTCAAAGATGAAAGTTCAACGTACACCATGTCATGAAGAAATTTATATTGCATACGAATGAACGTAAGTTGTGATCTAAACATGTTTTTGCTCAATAACCACATACCCAGAGCTACATACGTTGACTGTGAATTTTAGATAGGTGCGCTAAATATACAATGAAAAATAATAGCTACATGAAAACTTTGCAAAGAACGTGAAATTAGCACGATAATTAATATCTCACTGTTGTTCATATATAAGTAGCTAACGGTTTAAACTTGTACATAGCTACATAGTATCTCTTGTAATTGTTGGCAGTATTGAGCACATGCTCTGTTCTACAGAGAAAAAATCCCTGTCTGCTTTGAAGACATCTATCAACGGGCTATGCTGATTTTGTGTAACTCGTTTCATGTTTGTAAATGTAGATCGTCCAGGTTGGTATAGTCCTGAGAAGGAATGTTTTTATTGTTGTTGACTGACGTTTCGACAACCTTAGCAGTAGTCATCTTCGGAGTCAAATGAGGAGTAAACGTCAGGTTAGCCGTATTTGTTAACTGGTTCTTACGTTACTGTATTATGTGTACAGGAGCTGTGTGGGTGTCAATTGTTTATTGTCATTGTGAATTAGTGTGAAGTGTAATGTTTTTAGTTGATCGTTTGTTTGTATTGTGAATAAGTCGTTGTTAAGGTGCCGGTAATTGCTGTGATCTGTTAAGGGGGTTTGTTCCAAGTTGGTATACCAACTTTCTAAGCCGTTTTCTAATGTAAGCCGTTTTCTATAGTCAGTACTGTAAGCATTTTGCCGAGTCCCAGTCAATGTTGTGCTTTGTGATTCGGTGACGTTGGGCAATGTGATTAGTTTTGTCTTGTTCTTAGTAGCTTGTTTGTGTTCAGTAAGTCTGTAAGTTTGTGTTCAGTTTGTGTTCACTAAGACAATTCATCTTTTGACTCTGAAGATGACTACCGCTAAGGTGGTCAAAACGTCAGTCAACAACAACCTAAACAGTCCTTCTCAGGACTATAACCAAGCTGGACGATCTACATTTACAAACATGTAAAGAAATTTCGTCTTAAAGAGTTTCCAGCAAGACAATTTTGTACTAAAGCACAATATTTATAAATGTAAAAGACAATAAAAATGTAATTTCTCAAGACAGTGATAATGTGACAAATGTTGTATTCATTTGATTTACTAGTTAGAGCAATAATTAGCAATTGGGAATAATAATGTGTAGTTTTGACAAACCATAGAGGAAGATGTGGCAATGGAATTTTTTTGGCAGTCTTTCTAAAGTGAATTATCTTAAATGAAACTTTTTTTATAACTTTCTGGCTTCTTGGTTTATTGTAATATAGTTTTTTTTATGTCAGGGACTTAAGAACTGAAACACTTTTCCCTACAACTGAACTATCTTGATGCATAACAATTTAAATATGAATGAATTATGTAAGAAAGTGACTTGTTTGAAAACATCTGTTTGGAGCATACATTTTTTCATACAGTGGTTATTTTTGGCAATTGTGTGGTAATGTCCCAAAAATTCAAAATATAAATACTATTTAAGTGACCTTTACTGAACAGTCCACCTACATTAAGTAGACATTGTCACCTTTTCCAAGATTCAAATTTGATTTTTCATTGTTCAAAACTGTATTAAATGGTTGGGTGAATTAAAAACCTACCACATATAACAATTAGGCATTTAACGACAACTTTTTTATTATAAACATCAACTTACATTAAGTAAACTTCAGTAGACTGGAAAGTTGAAACATGTTTATAATAAAAAATTTTATTGTTTATTTCAAATTCATAATTAATCTGGTGCTTTTGAGATCATACATACATACATATAACAATTTATAAAACCAACATATACAGTGTTTTGTGAAGAAGCAAAAAATGCCATGTTCCAACAGATATTTCAGAATGCAAGATTAGTAAGAGATGTTGTGTGACTGGTAACTTTATAATAAGTCTCAAAGTATTTCAAAGTTTTGAAAAACATAATTGTATTGGTCATTAATTTGATTAAATCCAAACTGAGGTTGTTGCTTTTGTTTAAATATTTTGCTACCAATATATTCAAAGATGTGTTGTCTCATTTAACACATAAACGAATGCAGAATTAATAAATTAAAAGTTAAAATAAAATGAATAAAAAAAACAAATGTGTTGCCTTTTAGGTCCTTCTCAACTAAACCCCAATAACAATGACAACATTCTACAGCATAATTCATAAAATGCTCAAAATTAATGTTTCATTTATGACCAAATATAAAATAAAATGCACTCGCCAGATAATTTTGTTTAAAATCTATATTATAAATCATTAAAAAACTTTACTTACCACTGTACGTTTTACAGACATTAATGACGATGTGTTTACGGAATCATGAAGCATGCGACTAACAACATGTACGCATTTCGTAACTATTTTCTTAAAATGTATGCCATGTATTTAATAAACGCAGTGTTTTGGGAGATATACCCAAAGGCCATGAAATGAAGAAAAGAAACGTGAATATTCATGATAGCTACAATAAATAGTGTTCTGACAAAAAGCTTTGCTTGGCCCCAAATGTGGACACTGTTTTTTCCAAAACAAAACGAAATGTGAGGGAAAGCCGGTGGATCCGGTAAAAAACCCTTCAATAAAAGCAAAGATCTAAATTTAGAAAAATTTCCTTAAATTTTAGTAGTTTTAAGATGTTTCATATTTTTGTTGTTTTTAATGATCCCGATGATCTACTTTAACATGCAGCGTAATCAGATCGTACAGCGTACAATTTTCAGAGCGACAAAAAAGCGGTTGACTACCATATTGTCACAGCAAATATTTTGTGTTCGAACAAAACAAACGAAAACTTTTGTTGAGAACATAAAAAGAAAGAGCGCAGAGTCTTGACAAAAATTTTAATAAATAGAAGAAAAATGAAAACTAGTAGAAGCCATACATAAATCATATAAAAAAATATTCAGTGCGTACGACCTGACCATTCACCTTTCAATAACAATGAAAAATGAATGACAAAAGTGACGTCATGACTTTTATAAAAATCATTTTTGATGTATACTAGACTTCGTTCGATTCAAAATTATTACTTTGCTTCATTAAGACCTTCATTAACAGCTGGCTTTCACTCGTGTGTTTTGTCAGAAAACTTAACAGTTGTGAAAATTTAGTTTTACGGAGGTTTTAACTGTTGAATTTGAAAATGCGTTATACTGCTAAACATTATGCATAATAAAAGTCGCAAGTGTGAATCTTTCAATAAGGACGCTTGTCTCTTGGTGCTTCTGTCTGACTTGGTCGTCATTCATTGCACATTTAGTAAGCCCACAGACATAGCTACTCTATAAAAAAACACGTTATAAATGTCAGCATAATGAATGAACAAAAACAGATTTTAAATACACTGAAAAGAACAACATACCTGATTTCCAAGCGTTGTCCCAATCAGTCTGATCCAGGCGACTTAGTCGGTCTCTTCCTTTTTTCATCGCGTAGTTTTTGCTTGTATATCGTTGAAATTTATTGCACCATTTTTATCTTAGAAATTCAATGAACCCTACTTGCTACATTGCAATTTTCCTTATAAACGTTAAATAAAATTAGGAAAAAGTAGCGAGTGAAAGCCAGCTATTTTCTCACAGCAAGTGACATCTTTTATTGATAATCTTTTTAATTTGGAAGTTTTTAATGATTATGGTTCAAATTATAAAAATAGACCATAAGGATCCTTTTCAACGATCTCATGCAGTTTCTTATGGAAGCTAATTTTAACACTCATCTATTCAACTTACAAACCACAAGACATGGATTGTGTTTTTCCACTCGCTTGTTTTCCATTTTCGTAGAATACAGTCGTTTTTATAGTCGAATCACTCCAATGTTAATGTTCATACGTACATATGCCGTTATACGATGTCCATTCAAAACGTTTGTACCATTCCATACACGAAGTTACCAGCATCATTAACCAATAAAGTAGCTACCGAGATCATGAATCGCTATTTCCATGGATTACAATTGGTAACTTCAAGTAAAGGAAAAGGGATCACTTCAATACCCCAGTTATATCATCACTCAAAGAATGCTTAGTGCAGAGTTGATCTTCTGTGAATATCAGCTGACCACCTTTAAGTGGGCTCATATAACAATGGGGCCCATCATCATTATATGAACAAACAACTGACATCAACAAAGAATCCAAACTACAAATGAACATTCTTGGCCATTAATCACCATGACACATCAGTAACGACAAACTAGTAAGAGTAACTGAAGTGATTGACACAGGTGGTAAAGGGACTTTCACAATTCCATCCATGTGGGATCTACAATATAAGAAAATATGAATCAGATATATAGAGGATGAGCAAGTTACAATATGTTTTCTGTTTTATTATGCAAATGGTAAAACATTTACCTACATTGCATGAACAGCATTAGTCAGTTTAGTTTGAAAATTGACCAATGCAACAAGAGCTTTCAAACGATCAAAGACTTAACATCGTGGTCGAAGCATTTTAAAGTGAAAGCTTTCATATTACAAAGCCAACAAATAAGACTAGTTGTTATTCCATGTAACTCATACTTTGTTGGGAATAAGTTATGTAATTGAATGTCCTACTGACAGAGAGACAAATTCTCCTTAGTTGTTTTAATTTCGTTAACCAATAGGCTTAAAAGAATTTTGATTGATGTTTTGTTGTAAATGAGTTGAAGAGAGAGTCTGAGTGAGTGAGCGATATACGTTTTTGATAAACATTGCCAGGAATAAAATTTCGTTATTCAAAAGCTTGAGTTGTTGCATCTATTCGACATATTCAAAGGGAATATTGCCTGGGCGACAGGCAAGATTCACAAACGCATGGCACCTCCGACGGGATAAGTGAAAATAGTTCGATCAAGAACAAGAATTCGTATTGAAACATGTCGAAGCAGGAAGCTGCGGAGCTAGCACTTGAAGCAAAACTCAAGCATATTACGATCACTTGCGGGAAAACTGAGAGAATTCTTGCGTCAGATAATCACGGGAGAATCGAAAGACATCGTGATGCGTTAAATGAATTAGTAAAAGCAGATACCATAAACGTACAGTCGAAGGGTTGAAAATAGCTAGCGGCGAAAAAGTCAAAGCATTTCCGAGTGGGAGGAATCGATAGAAAATACCATCAGTCAAGCTGACAATGCAATAGAACAATTACGCAAGTGGCTTATGGAAGTGAATGAAAGTAAGAAAGCACATTTAAGAAAGGATCAGTTGAATTTCGAGAAAGAGTTGTATGAAACCAAGCTGCACTACAAGACTCAATTGGAAGAGTCCAAGAGGGACAAACCAGAAGAGACAGGAGAAATGAATTCTACAATTGGTGGCAATCTGGAAGCTAAACTACACAAAGCTAGTGATTTCAAAAATTTAACGGAAGCTACAAAGATTGGCCAAGATTCTGGAACCAGTTCAGCGAGACTATTGACAAATCAAATATTTCAATGTAACAAAATTTTTCATACTTGAGAGAGTTGCTTGAAAAACATGTCAAGTATTCCATAGAAACACTACCTTTCACTAGTGAAGGGTATAACCGAGCAAAAGTATACTTCAGTCAAAGTATGGAAAGGAGTCAGAAGTGATTAAAGCCTACACCAAAGAAATTCTTGACTTACAACATACCAGATGCCAATGTACAGAAGGTGCATAAATTCTGCGAAAGACTCACCTATTAGCGTACAGTCTTTAGAAACTATGGGAAAACTGGAGCAGATCAATGGAAGTGTTGCAATGACATTGGACAAATTGTCTGGTATAAGAAGCGACTTGGTTCATTACGATCCCAACTGGGATGAATGGGATTACATTAAGCTAATAGAAGCCTTAACATTATGGACTAGGCGAAACCCTAGAAACCCTATATGTGAAGGAGAAAGGAAGGAAAATAGAAACAGTCCCGTGAAAGTATTCAACACCAAATTCGGTCCGCGAAAATGTGTATATTGCGATGCAAGTCATAAATCAGTTGACTGCTCAAAGGTGAGATATCAACGAAGGAAACAAATGGCCGCTGGCACAAATGCCCAAGGAGGAAGGGCATAGAGCAGCCGATTGTACAAATAAAATAACCTGTCAACATTGCGAGAGGCATCATACTTCTTTGTGTGAACAAGCAATGGGGAAGAAAACCTGATGACTGCAACAAAACCAACGAAGGAGTCTTCCCAATCTTGACTAAAGGTTAATGGGATCATGTGCAGGCGTTAGTTGATTCTGGGCTGGCAGCTCATATGCATCTGCAAAGTTGGTAAGCCAGGCCGACATAACCTGCTGACATAACAACAAACAAGTGGATGCTCCTGAGTAGTAGTGTAGAACGTCTGGAGACCTATGCGTGGAGTCCTCGATGGAGAGTTTGGTATGGAAGTAGATTTAATTAAAGTGGAAAAAGTGAACTTTTATCAGTAAAAACCCCAATACAGCCATATGATTTCCAAATACTCACACTTAAAAGGGGTTGATATCAAGATGGACATTGGCTCAATTGTCAGTTTCAGTACATGTAGTGGGGAGGAGAACCAGAATATAAATGGGATCGTCCAGGTGATTAGATGGGAACCTATGGCGAGTTGACCAAGCTGGGATGGTTAAGTGATGTCCCCTGGAAAAGAATTTGATCACAATCATATGTTACTAACACAAACCACTCAAAAGGATTATGAGAAGTTGTGCCGTTGGATGTTTTAGGACTTGCCGACACCTCAGAGACACGATCAAACCTCAGTGTATGGAGAGTTTAAGGAGCAATTGGTCAGGAGTTCAGAAGGTTGGTACGAGTCTGGTCTGCTGTCGTGGTAGTCCATCCTCCTACCATCTTACAAGAAGGAAGTTTGACGCCTCAACAGTCTTGTAAAGAGATTAGACAGGGAAGGAATGGCCAGTGAGTATAACAGGATTATTGAGGAACAAGTCAGCAAAGGGTAGTTGAACTTGCCGAGCCCCAGTGGGTAGGGGTTCTACTTACCTCATAAACCCGTGATACGTGAAGCTGCACAAACAACGAAAATCCGTAGTTTACGATGCATCCGCTCGAGCGACTCAAGTGCTCCATCCTTGAATGATTGCCTTTACCCAGGCCCGCCGTTACAGGAATAAGCTTTGGAGCGTATTGGTTCATCATCGTTCATTTCCAGTTGCACTTTGTGGCGATATAGAAAAGGCATTCCTCAGATCCGAATAAAAGAACAAAGAAAGAGATGCCTTACGGTTTCACTGGAAGAGTGACAGTCAACCTGAACCCTTGACATATAGATTCACAAAGTCGTCTTCGGCCTAACTTGCTCCCATTTCTGCTTGGGGGTGCTAGAGCATCACCTAGAAACTTGGGAAAACAAAGATGCCAGATATCGTTGAGGAACTGAAGAAATCTATGTATGTCGACGATCTGCTTAGTGGGACAAACAGTAGACAAAGCCAAGGAAAGGAAAAGAAATCAATCGATGTATTCAACGACGCCAATTTCAATTTACATAAGTGGAACTCAAATGCCCATGAGCTTGAAGCAGATGAAGAAAAGAAAAGGATGATGAAGAAACTTTAGCAAAACAACAACTTGGAACTAAATCTGGAGAATCTAAAGTGCTGGGACTGTTATGGAAAAGAAAAGTGGCGAGATTTCCATAGTGATCCCATCAGAGAAATCGGCAAAAACAGAAACGTGAAGTACTGAGTAGATTGGCTCAGGTTTATGACCCTTTGGGAATTACATCACCCTTAATTCTAGAGGAAAGATAATTTATCGTGATATCTGTAGGAGAAGCCTTGGGATGTACGGCTAAGCCATTCTTTGAGTATCGATGGGAGACTGGGAGGAGAGCAATCTTCCGTGTGAAGTGCAGTGTTCCGCGATCATTAGCTGGGTTCGAGAACCAATCAAGTCTTTAGAGCTGCACGCATTCGGGGATGCTAGCACACAAGGTGTAGGAGCTGCAGTGTACTCAGTTATTCATCAAGAATCGGGAACTACTCAAATTCTAGTTGCTGGTAAAGTCGTCTGGCAAAGAGGACCTAACTGTTCCACGGCTAGAACTTGTGCCCCACATGGCAGCGAACCTTCTGTGAATGTGCGAAACGCTTTGGATCATTTGCGGCCGCAAAGTTTTGCATGGCTAGACAGCACTGTCGCCTTGCATTGGATACTTGGACGGGGCCAGTATAAGCAGTTTGTCTCAAACCGTGTCCGTAAGATACACCAACATCCTGAAATAAAATGGCGATATGTACCCACATCCGAAAATCCTGCAGATTTGGCCAGCAGGGTGGGAAATTAAATCAGACGTGGCTCTACGGTCCAGAATGGTTATCTGATATGAGCAGATGGCCAACTAATATAACCACAACTCCAACTACTGGCAGAGCGACAGTCTCCCAAAAAAGTATCGCAACCAACAAAACAGTACAGTGGTGATGTTCTGGAACAGTTATTAAGAAAATGCTCATAAACGAGGCTCTAAGAGGTGTCGTCATGGCTCTTCAGGTTCGTAAACAATTGTACACAAGGGAAAGAGAACAGGACCATTATCCTTACCGAGGATTGAAAGAGGCTAAGATGAAATTTGTCAAACAAGCCCAAAAGCAAGGTCAATTACAACCAAAGTACGAGCAACAATGCAAAGAACTTAATCTTGCAATACAGAAGGATTTTAGAATGTCGTGGCCGAATTGTGGGTCAGTATCCTATCTACCTTCCACAGATTCCTTGCTAGCTCAAAGAGTAGTGGAAAAGTTGCATCGTGAAACGTTACATGGAGGTGTTGGATTGACAATGGCTGCTGTAAGAGACGTATTGGATACCGAAGTTAAGAAGCCTTGTAAAGAAAGTTAGAAAGGAGTGTTTTGGTTGTAAAAGATATCGAGCGACATCAGTTCCCACACCCCCTCCTGGAAAGTTACCCGGACTTGTGGCGAAACAGCGTTCGAGGTGATTGGCGTAGATTTCGCGGGACCAATACGTTACAAAGGGAAGTCAAGCAAGGATTGCAAAGCGTATCTGGCGCTGTTTTCATGTAGTCTAACTCGAGCAGTGTACTTGGACATGATGCCGGACCTATCTGCTTCCACGTTCATACCAAGTTTGAAACGGTTCATTGCTCGGAGGAAGACCCAGGAAGATCTATTCAGACAATGGGGGCACCTTCATAAAACTGCAGTGGATTGATACTTTACGAAAGGAGGAACGTCTTCAAGGTTATTTGGAGGAATTCGACATTAAATGGCAGTTTAACTTGTCCCGAGCACCATGGTGGGAGAGGCAGTTCGAGCAGCTGATAGGGTGTCAAACAAGCGATGTATAAGACAATTGGAGGCGCAAATCTGAAGTGGAAGAAGAACTGTGTGAAGTGATACTTGACGTTGAAGTGCAAATCAATAGAAGACCGCTCAGTTATGTTGAAGACGATGTTCAACTGCCGGTGTTGACACCCGAGCTCTTTTATTCCAGAGATCAATCATCTGCCAGAACAGAAATTATGGGTCGAAAGTGATCCGGACTTACGTAAGAGGGCAAGATACTTGAAATCTTGCAAACAAGCCTTGTGGAAAAGATGGTCGAAAGAATACCTCACTGCACTGCGAGAACGACATAACATGAGTCATGGGACTAAAAGTTCATTGTAAACGTAGGAGACGTCGTGCTGATCAAATCCAACGAAAGAATAGAAATGGCCTCTTGGGATCGTTATAGAGACATATCCAGGAAGAGATGGAGTGATACGTGGGGTAATGTTAAAACATGCCAAATGGAAACCTAGAACGACCAGTTCAATTTGCTGCAATGGAATTAGCTTGTGATCGACAGAGCCGTGAAGAGAGAGCCTGATCTTAATCCAGACGCTCAACCATTCAAGCCAAAGCGTAAGGCAGCTGAAAATGCAGCGGGGATCATCAAATCGATTGCTGACAGAAAACGAAGAGATTTGAAACACTTCCTAGAACAGTAATCCATTTAGATATACATCTTATCTTCAGATGTATAGGGGAGTGTGTTAGGAATAAGTTATGTAATTGAATGTACTGACAGAGAGACAAATTCTCCTTAGTTGTTTTAATTTCGTTAACCAATAGGCTTAAAAATTTTGATTGATGTTTTGTTGTAAATGAGTTGAAGAGAGAGTCTGAGTGAGTGAGCGATATACGTTTTTGATAAACATTGCCAGGGAATAAAAATTTCGTTATTCAAAAGCTTGAGTTGTTGCATCTATTCGACATATTCAAAGGGAATATTGCCTGGGCGACGGGCAAGATTCACAAAAGGAAAAGACGAATGATCTAATTACTTGGAAAATACCCTTGAAACTGGAGCAACATATTTAAAGAGATACTGCTTGCTCAAAAACCTTTTCCAGCCGATAAGTTCAAAAAATTAAAGAAAAAACACACTCCAAAAAACGCCATCTTGTAAACTCAAGATTCCAGTTAAGAGGCAAGATTTAAAGCAATATTTCGAATTTATTTCAAACCAATCTAAAGTATCACTTAGCTAGGTAATGACTATGAAATAAAGTCGAAATATTGATTTAATTCTTGTCTCTTGCTGTTGTAACTCGAATCTTGAGTTTACAAGATGATATTTTTTGGAGTGTTTTTATCATTGTTTACCTCGAAGTACAAATCTCTTTTATCACGAACGATTTCGCATTTTTTATTAATTATTATATTGCCATCCATCAAGTCAGTACAATTCTGGAGTACTTTAAAGTTTGCTGTATTCCAATCGGACTGGCGATCCATGTCTTCAAGAACATTTGGATATTGTGAGAAAGGCTTCCGAAGGTCGATCACTGGATGATAATCACTCGATGATCATGTGATAATTATCCAATCAGGCTTATATAATCGATTTTTACTTTGTCAACATTGTGTCACACAAGTGACATACCGGTCACAACTCACAACCACAGCGTGAAATGTGCAGGGCAGCTAGATTACTTTGCTTTTCGTCATTTCAAACACAAAATTATGTAATAAAAACGTGCGTGTATGCATGGGCATGGCATGAGCCCATATTCCAAAATAATTTGGGGATGTTCTATTATCCTAGAACAAAATGCATATGTTGCAGAAAATGAATTCTGAATTGTGAAAAAAAAATTTAGCCATAAATTCAAACAACACTCCTTGACCAGACGACAATTTCATTGAATATAAAATAAAGCATAATCCGAAAAAGGATTTATTTATTTTATACTCAAACACTTAAACATATTTAAACCCACATTTTCATGAACGACGGAAAACTTTTATTTGCAACAAAACAAAAGTTGCGCTCTGTAGTTGAAGAAATTCATGAAAATACGTGTGTCAAAACGAGGTTCGAAGAAAGATAAGACGAGAACTGCTTTTGAAAGCCAAGCCTTGCGTGTCCCTTACCTTGCAACCTTCGTCGACGTACATGGATAACTTGACCTTAAATATTCAAAAAGCATTTCAAAAACTCCAAATGTTGATGCCACTAACATCGGTTCTTCAACATTCTGTAGAAGACCTTGTCGTCACCACTAAACTATCCGCTTGCGAAGTGAAACTACTTCAAAAAGCAATTAGAGAAAATGTTTTGAAATTGAATTTTGTTTCCTCTTACGATTTATACATCAATCGGCAGAAATTGAGTTTCGGTTGTCGAGTATTGGACGAATATCTAAACGGTGGTATTAAGCCGCAATCAATAACAGAAATTTATGGCAAAAGTGCTACAGGTAAAAGTCAAATATGCCTGCAACTAAGCATGATGGTGCAGCTGCCAGAAAGTCACGGTGGCTTAAATGGATCAGCTGTTTACATTACTACAGAAAACAAATTTCCTGACAAACGTTTTGAACAAATGAAACCATTTTTTAAACAAAAATACAAAGATGTTTTTACTGACAGTGAGATAGGAGATAAAATCTTTATAAAGCATGTTGTTGATGTGAAAGAATTATCAGACATCTTGGAAATACAACTTCCTACACTTATAAAAGCTTCAAATGTTAGGCTTTTGGTCATGGAACTCTATTGCAGCTATATTTGTGTGGAGTACACCATGGAAGGAAATGGATAAGCGAGCAAAGTTTTGAACAAGATTACAGCCAGTTGTTTGCAGTTAAGTGTTGAAAACCATGTGACAATTCTTTGTGTAAATCAGGTAATAATAGTCTTTACGCACATCTACAATGGATCATAATTGAAAAACAGAAATTTCTTTTTTAACCTGTGTATGATTTTCTATTCAAACAATTACATGTCTATCTTTAATTATGACATTATTGTAAAAAATCCAATATTAATTAATACAATTGATAGGTATAAAGGTATTAGCTCAATCCAATTTTACTATCCTGACATGAATATGTTCTCATACGAACAACAAAGATAAAAACATTACTTTATAATACATGTTAAAGACACTACTTAATGTTGCACAGTACATTTTTGATTGGCTCAGATTACCAGTTAATTGTTATACATAGGTTTTCTTTCAATCATATCTATACATTGGATTGCACTAATAACAAATTTTTTCCATCTTGCAAAACTTGATGCAATATATTTACCCAGTAGTTCTTTGTGTTTGAAATTGTAGGAACTTTCAGTTTTCCAACTTTTGCTTTAATTCAGATAAATTATACACCATAATCTGTCTTTAGGTTTCAGATGTATTTGACAGAAGCAGGGATTGTTGCATTCATAACGTCAAACCTTTACTTGGAGAGGCATGGTCAAAATGGTTAACAATGAGAATCATGTTATTTCGTGTAACTGATGACATGTTACTTGATGAGACAAATGATCCTAAACGTGAACTTATTGTAATTTTTTCTCGTGCTTCTTTTTGTTCACACTATAAAAAATCTTGCCAATATACCATTGATACTACAGGTGTACATGGTAGATATGTTGAAACTCAATATAAAAATTCTTGTCAATGTAATAATAATGTAGGAAGTTAATGTTATACATAGGAATGCCAGAGCTGAAAAGCAGTTACCCTCCACTGTCCTTTGCTTCTGTTACAAAGGACCCTAGAGGGGCCAAGGAGGAGTGTTACACCATTTAGGCAAAGAAACATAATATGTTACAGAGAACATTATATATTACACTTTCTTATGTTGTTTGATTAACTATGTTAGCAAAAGATTGATATAATGATGATGAGATATCATAAATGAATTACTCTTCAGGAAAATCACAATTACATATGATGTGCTACAGAATTTTATTCAAATGGGGGATTATATTAGTAAGAAGTATTTGAAAGCCTGACAATAAATTTCCTCATCCTAGCAAAATGGCATTTGGGTTATTCATTTTTGATATGATTAAACAATTATGGGCATTCTTTCAAAATTAGTTATTACCTATTTTCTTGTATGGGTGTTAAAATTGATAAAGTTGAAAACAAGTCTTTATCTCCATGAAAACACTTGTTCCAATAAAATAAAAACAACCTTCCTTGAAAAGTTGCTTTGAGTCCTAGTGAAATGAGAAGAAGGGCACTTTTATATGTGTGAGATCCATGCTGTATTTTACCAAATGCAGTCAACTTTCAACGACATCTAGTGTCACTGCTATGGTGACGTGTAAAGTTGACAGAAAATATACAGCGAGAGTCATCCAATTGAAGAACCAAATAAATATTCTTGGAAAGTTCCTTTCATTTTCTTCTGGAAAATTAACTGGAGCGACATAATTTAGGAAATATCATGGCAATTAATAACGATGCAATAAATACCATCGTTAAGATGGCAAGTGCCTGGTTGAATTTTTGTAAATTTTCATATCAAGAATGAGGTCCATAACCAGGAATACATAGGTAAAATTAAATGACCAAAAAGATCCTTTCCTTATTAGTTGCAGGAACGCTCTTTTTATCCCGCAGAATTTTACATTATTTGGTTTGATGGACAATGTTGTAATAACAATGATGCTGTTCACAATCATGATCGAATAGCCCACCATTACCCAAGGTTGAGGATATTGAATAAATAAGGCAGTTTCGTTGCAATTTACAATAGAACAGGATTGCTTTACGGCGCATTTCGTGTCGAATACTGCCGAAATTCCAAGACAAAAAAGACTCATCAACCACAATAAAACTTGCAGTGATATAAGTACCACCTTGTTAAAAGGAAAATTAGTTTTGTTGAAAAATTTTATCATTTCGTTTGTGGTATTAAAGGCATATTCAATCACTAATTACACACTTGTAAAATTCAACTGAAATTTAAAAATATGACATTTAATACGGAAATTCAAAATCTATTTACCTGGATACATTTTTTGCATTGATTGGAATTTATGGGAATATTGTCAATTCTTTCATAGGAACTTTCCATTTTTTAATAAACTTTCATTGATTCTCTTCCAAAATTCCAAATGATAATGGGTCAGGGGCGGATTGGGGATGATAATGGTCGGGGATGATAATGGGTCAGGGGATGATAATGGGTCAGGGGCGGATTAAGTATGTCAAATCCATCGCGACTGATGTTTGAAATTTAAAAATTACCTATTCATATTAATTAAAATTCATTAATTATTCTTATTTTCTTATCGCATTTACTTCGTGATAAAATCCTAGTCCAGTCAATCTACGACCAAAACACTCTAAGCTTGAACAAATTTCCACAAAAGAAATTCCAACTGATTTTGGTATATTTGATATCCCTTTACAACATATCGAAAGTCCCACAAAATCCTAGCACGGCAACATCGTGTAAATTACGTTTTATTTGAGGCATTTGGATTGAAAATCTGAGCGACATGGAAACGAGGCTCAAAAATTAATGTTTTAGATTTTATCCTTTTAGAACACTTAGTAAAGCACAAATATAAATATTATAGATTAAAAACAAGTGGATAATGATATTTTGTAAATTAATTAATATTTTGTCCTTTATTTACGTCAAAAATGCTGATCTTGCTGTTTTGGGTACTAATTTTCGCTGACTTGGTAGTTTTGTAGACAAACGCGTGTTTGAAGTACGTTTGTTTACGTATATTTTGCACGTGTTTAGACGGATATTTATTATATTTAATGTGACTTCCCTTTCAATACTTCAAATTGAAACTTTGGCTCATTATTGGCATCAAAATGTGACGTTTCTTTGTTCTCCTCAAGGTAAGCAAAATAGATAACTTGAAGACAATGAGTTAATGAATGTATTTTTAATTGCTATTACATTTTACAATGAATGAATACGTCAATATTGTGGGTCACAATAATTTAAGTTAAAACTAACAAGAGGGGGCTATAATTAGCGACCTAATTACCAAATACAATGTTTGCATTATAATACCGCGTTCAAAGCCATAGATACATTAGGGCTGTAAAATATCGCATAAACCAGTAAATAAAACCAGGCTTTTTTTGTGTTGTCGAACACTATTTTGCTTGTGAATCATTATAGGATGGATCAAATTCTGCGTCAGTACTGTGCAATATGTAAAGAATCAATTGTGAACAACGGGGTGGCTCTAACATCTAAAGGGATAGATGGTATAAACCGAGCTAGTAAAGAAAGAGGTGATACAGTTGACGTCCGTGAAGGTGACAGCGTTCACATAGCATGTATGAAACGATACACAAATCCATCATATATTTCTAAATCGCTACGTCAGAAGGAAGAGCGTCATCCCGTACCAAGAACCCTTCGCTCACAAAGTTCAGTTCAGTTCGATTTCAGAAGAGATTGCTTGTTTTGCGGAAATGAAATTAATCAAGAACAAGAGCGCAAAGGGGGCGTGTTTTTGCACTGTTAGGACTATGGACATTCAAGACACTATCTTGAATGCTTGCAAAGTGAGATGCGATGACTGGGCCGAGTCCGTAAAATCAAGGATCCAAAGTGTGCATGACCTACCGGCAGCTGACGCAATGTATCATCATCTATGCAGTACAAACTTCAGGACAAAAATGAGAATTCCAGCGCCATTTAATGACCAACCACCGCTCAAAAAGCGCAAATCAGATGGTTTCCATGTTGTCAGAAGGAGTGAACGTTACTGGGCTGGCCTGTCCACTGATTTAATTATAGAACAAGTTCCTATGAGAACTGTTAAAACCACAGGTGGCCTGACCCACGGAAGTGGAATGACCGAACGGCAACGTGTCGTGTGGGTATTGTCTACTCCAGCATGTGCCCAGCTTAGCTCAGCTATGCAAGACCTCATTGGCATCATTTGTGAACACAGCGAACAAAACAAAGATATGTCCCAAAGTCGACAGAAAAGAGATATGGATGATACCATGCTCATACTTAAAACGCTTGCATCAGAAGGAAAGAATCCATTTATTCAAGAATCAGTTCTCAAGAATATAATGACAGGTGTAAACGCAGATGATTCCGTTGATGTTGATGAAGCTCGAAGTAAAGGAGAAAACATATTGTCAAAGATGGCTGGTACAAAAGTATGCGACTACACATTTACACGTAAAGATCAGGCCATTACTCTTGCTGCAGGCTCATCAGTAAAGATAAACGGAGTAAAAGTACATGTCGATCCACAGCTTCTGTTTTAGAGGTTAGTCTTTGCATGTAATACCGTTGATGATTTAGTATTTAGTATTTCAATACGAGCTTTGTAGTTATCCAGCAGCCTTGTTCGATTCCCCGCTAACGTTGCGACAGCCTCAGAAGTCTAATCTTGCAGACACATTGTGGGAAATGCTGTCACCTGATGCTAAGGTCGGCCCGGTCGGCGAAACCAAATTCGTCATTGATGGAGGAGCTCTTCTTCATCGCGTACCATGGCCAAAGAAAGCAACCTTTCAAGAATTGTGCCAGAAGTACTGCCACTATGTAAAACAGAAATATGGGGCAGGAAGTTGTATTGTTTTTGACGGTTATGATAACCCATCTACTAAGAACATGGCGCAACAACGAAGATCATCCGGAAAGGTTGGGGCAACAGTGTCATTCGAAGCTGACATGAAGATAACAATGAAAAGAGATGTATTCCTGGCTAATATACACAATAAGAAACGACTTATAACTACTCTTCGAAATTATCTGGATTCGAATGGCTGTACTACACTCCAAGCCGATGGCGACGCTGATCTTCTCATAGTAAAGTCAGCTGTTTCAAGTGCCATGAAATCTCCTACCGTTCTTGTTGGAAATGATACAGATCTTCTTGTTTTAATGTGCTATTACGTCAAAGTGGATGAGGGATGTGGTATTTATTTTTGTCCAGAACCAAAGAAAACAACTAAACGTAGAACGGAAAGAGTATGGAACATGAGAATAGTGAGATTAGAGCTGGGTGAATCTCTGTGTAAAAACATTTTGTTTCTTCATGCTATTGCTGGTTGTGACACGACATCCCGGCCCTTTGGCCTTGGAAAATCAGCACCTCTTAAGAAATTCACGCATTCAAACTATTTCCGTGAACAAGCATCAGCATTTGAAGTTTCAAACGTCAGCATGAATACGGTTATCCAGAGTGGTGAAAATGCCTTGGTCTGCATGTATGGAGGAAAAAAAGGCGAGACTCTAGACAGTTTGCGCCACAGGAAGTACTACGAGAAGGTGTGCACTAAAGGCCGAATGGTAGAGCCCCAAAGTCTTCCCCCAACATCTAGTGCAGCCAAGTATCATTCATTGAGAGTCTTTCTTCAAGTTAAGCAATGGCAGAGTCAAGACGAAGGATTGTTGATTGATGCATTTGGTTGGAAAATGTGTGGTTATGTTATCGTACCTAGAACAACTGATCTTCCAGCAGCTCCTGAAAACTTGCTTAATATGATACGATGCAACTGTACCACAAATTGTTCAACTGCAAGATGTACCTGTCGTAAAAATGGACTTCACTGCACAATGGCATGTGGTCAATGTAGAGGTACTGGTTGCACTAACAGTGGTGTTGATGTTGAAGATGATTAACAAAAGTATGAAATGACAGAAATGTCTTTGTAAATCAAAGTACACTATATCAACCATATGTAAATTTAGTGACACTCTTGTATTACTATGTAACCTAAAGGATTCCTTTTTTTCGGTCGTTGAAGACTTACATGATTTTTAATAGCCACGCTGCAGATTTATATAATCAAATATGATATTCGTTAGGTCAAAGCAGTGTTATTTTGTAATTCTTGTTTATAGCCTCGTTTTCATGTCATAATTTCACAGAAAACATTATTTTACGAAGTTGCCGGCCTCAGATCTTGTGGGACTTTTAATATGTTGTTCTGTACATGAAAGGAAAGATATTTTTGAAGAGTGAGCTTTTGTGGGAATTAGTTCAAGGTTCAACCATAAATATACTGGACTATCCCGCATTATTTATTATTGAAAACTAATGACTAATCCAATGAATATCTCGTTGGTAACCAGATCAGTTGAATTTTAATTGACCTGGAATAACCGACTGATAAGCGGGGTGGCTTGACTGGTTCGACGGATAAAGGAGTCTATGAACGTCAAAAACGCTTATTTTATTGGTCAATAGCCAGATCAGTGGACAGTCTGGAATGGTCTCGACTGATAATAAGGGTGGCCGGACGTATAAGGAGTCCAATTGCTATCTTACAATTGGTTCATTTGAATTTTGCTTTATTGTGATTGGTTTGACGGATTTCGACTGATAGCCAACTGAACTAACATGGTCAAGCTCACTGTCTGAATTGAATGTTTGATCGTTTTATAGTAATTTTATAAGCATGATAGAAACTAAACTACAATCAGATGGAATTTATGGAAATCTTTACAAATTCATATATTGACATGAATGCTGCTGTCCAAAATGTGAATTTTTCAAGAGGGTGGAAATTTATGGATAAATTTTAAATGCTTGGCAAAGACGATCTCGCGAGCGACATTTCAGTCATTGATGTTCAAAAGAAAGCCAACATTGTTTTGAGTTTTATCAGCAGAAATTTACATCCAAAATCGTAAGTAAAGGACAAGTGAAGTGTATGCATGAATGTAATATATCAAAGTCAATTATGCGAGTGTGTGATGCGATTTATGTCAATATGGCGTATGGTAAGCAGATCGATGCTTCTAAAATTGTTGTTGACGAAGGACTTTTAGCTATGATTTCTTTAGTGCTTGGGGAATCGTGGCCGTTATACGGCAGCGAAATCCTACATTCCTGCAAATATATTTCAATGGACAAAAAATCTGTAGCCATAAGGCGCCATACTATTATTTACTTTATCATAAACAAATGTTTGGGGTTTTTCAGTTTATGATCATTGATCATTCAATCATTGGACAGTTATACAGGGGCGTAACTGTTGGGGTGGGGGTGACACCCCCCAATTGCTGAAAACAGTGTTTTTGCAGGGCATATTGCCGTCAAGTGGCAGGGCAGTGTTCAGGAAGTAGAAAAATTGACATACCATCGAAAACAACTAATTGATTACTAAGTGGAAATAATTCGATCATGGGATAAGATGAGAAGCGTAGGTAAAGATAAAAAAGGAAAGATGCAACAGCATTTCTCTTCCGAATCCCACAAAATTGCTTTGAGTGATTTGGCACACTTTGCATGCAATATGAAAAACGTCGATGTGATGTTGGAAAAGAAGTTAAGAGAAATAAGAATACATATAGAAGAAAACAATTTGCGAAACCAAGAAGCCATAAAGATCCTTTTAGACATCGCAAGAACATTTGCACGACAACAGCTAGCTTTCAGAGGGCATAATGAAAAGCACGAGGGAAACTTTATCCAAATATCAAATCTTGTTGCCAGGCATAACCCTAGACTTCAGTCATGGCTGTCAGACAAGAACATGAAACCTTATTCAGTAAAATACCTATCACCTATTTCACAAAATGAGTTTATTAGCCTTTTGACTGAAGACGTAAGGAATCGCATCGTAAAAGATATCGTTTCATCTGAAATATACTCAGTCATGGCCGACACGTCTCCTGACACTTCAAATGCGGACCGCCTCGTAGTGGCAGTGCGCTACGTTGACGAAAACAACGTGCCCAACGAGAGAATACTGGAGATGAAAGAAACAAGGAATAAAACAGGTGAAGGCCAAGCAAAAGAGATTCTTGATTCCCTTAAATCACGATTACCTATTTGCCTCGATGGGTTAGTGTATCAGTCTTACGACTACACAGCTTCAATGTCTGGGACTTTTAATGGAGTTCAACAACATTTGCAGGAAATGGTTGGACGCAACATTCCATACATCCCATGTCAAGGCCATAGGTATGTGTCAAATGCACAGCATTAAACATTGCCGTATAAATTACTTAGGCATTAACTATATCTTTTTAAATATTTTTAAGACTAGTCTCTGCGTTAAATAATTTTTCAATTATATGTTTTTAGATCAAACCCTTTCAATGAGCATTGCTCAAAGGCCTCTACATTTGTTGAGATGTATAGCTTGCTCGAAGAGCTGTATGTTTTTTTCAGCAGAAGTTATAAACGAGATTCTATGTTGCAAGAACATGTGGAAAAAATTGAAAATGCTCTTAAATTGCGCAATCTCTCAAAGACGAGATGGGTGTATAGAAGTGAATCAATTGAAGCGGTATGGAGATCTTTTGAAGCCATACGAAATGCCTTAGCGGAAAAAGCAAAAATTGACAACAACTCATTAACCAGAACCAAAGCAACCTCGCTCTGTAAGAAAATGGTCAAATTTGAGTTTGTTTTTGCAGTTATGTTTATGAGGTTTATCATGAGAAAGACCAAGATCCTGACAGTACAGATGCAGAAGCCAGAGCTCAATATCCTTGATGGTCTTCAACTGATTGATGAAACTGTTAGATCACTGGAAAGAATACGGCACAATGAATCGGAATTGAATGACCAAATAGATGCGAGTGTTGAGTTTGCGAAGACTCTAGGCTCTAATCCCGAGGAAGAGTTTGCAAGAAAGAGTAATAAAAGATTAAGTAGACGTTTGGATGACAACCCTGAGACTTTGGCAATTATGTCACTAAAAACTAACTATCGAAAATGCATGATTGAGGTCCTCGATTCCCTCATCAGAGAATATAGAGATAACATAAAAAGTTGTTTGGAAAAAATAAAACCCTTAGCTGTTATCCTTCAGCCTCGACTGACTAAACCAAATTTTGAACAAGTTGAAAAGGTCACCGAACTTTTTCCTCCATCAATTAGCGTAGATTGTATGTCACAGTATGCAGAACTTGAGATTTTTGTTAACTTTTGAAAGCAGTGTTTCCGGCGTCGTGGACTGTCTTACATTCTTTCTCTGTCTCATTTACAAAGTAAAGAAATTTTCCCAAACGTTTATAAATGTTACAAACTTCTGTTTACTGCTCCAGTAAGTGTGGCTGATATTGAAAGATCATTCAGCAAAATGAAAATTGTCAAGAACTATTTGCGCTCAACAATGAAAGGTGAAAGGCTGGAAGAACTCATTGTCCTCTCAACAGAGAAGGATTTAACAGATACAATTCATCTGGATGTAGTACTAAAATCTTGGGCAGCCAGAAAAAACCGTAAACGCAGATTAAAATTCAAGTAAAAAGCAACATCTCAAGACTACGTTGAGATTATTCTCACTTAAGACTCTTGATATGAGAACAAATATACATTGTTTTACTGTTATGTCCGAAACGGTTAAGGTTTATATTTCAAAAACAGGTTTTGTAATAATGTATGTGTTAAAAACCTAATCTTCAATAAGGTTTACTAATAAACAACGTATGCAATAATAGAGATGATTATAATTTGCTAGCCATAATGATTTAAGGGGTTTTTGTGGGCAACGCCCTTTTGCAGGGCAAATTTTCTCCACACCCCCCCATTACTTCAAGTCTAGTTACGCCCCTGCAGCTATACTACATATTGTTTAAGATTTGAGAAAACTAACATGACACATGAACCAATTTTAACATTCATGTAATTATATAATTAAAGACATGTTGGTTACATTCTGTTTGTATTTGCAAATACAATGCTACTAGTGATTGCTATATAGCACACCTTGCATATACTTACCGGAGATAATATTCTAGTGAAATGCCTAATAAACATTTATGGCATTAAGCTGTCCTTAACTGCAAATTTTCACTCTGATAATTTTTGCTTAACCTTTGGAAGAAAAAAATTTTGAGTTTTTCCTCAAAAGGTGAATTTGCTGGCACTGATGTGGAGATGGGTAAAGGGTTACAATAAACTTGCATGGCTTAAAGTCTGAGCTTTTCTATATCTATGAACTGTCACTTGTTATACCAAATTTCTAACTTAACTTAACTCATTACATAGAGGTTTGAATGGGGGTCTCTAGGGGGGTCTATGCCTGACAACTTGGTAGAAATGTTTAAAGACTATATCTGTTTTTGAATAGCATTATTGTAAAATAAATTTTACGTTCCTAGACATGCTAATGAGCCATATATTTGGCATGATAATGAGCCTAAATATTTGGCAAACATTCAAGTATTGTTCACTTCATTTTTTTTTTGAAAAAAACGTAAGCAAAATGTGTTGTTTTTACGCAAAAACGATGCCCACAAATACATTTTGTATTGCTCTAAAACGCTGAAAATGGCATTTTCAAGGCTCTGAAATTCAAAATTTCTCAGGGGAGAATGCCTCAGACCCCCCCAGGTGCGGAGCGCCTTCGACGTTTTATGACTGATGTTTGAAAAATCCTAGATCCGCCCCTGAATGGGATGACTTCCGGAAAAAGTATTAAAAAACTCGAAATGCCTTTTCACTGTTGGTCGTCGTAGGCGGACCTTTAACTAAATTTGAAATGAAATGTTTCCTGGAATTTTATTATCAAGCCTCTTTCCAAATCCAACTGCACGTCTTGATAAGAAAATGTCATTGGCTCTCTCCTCCGCTGTGGCTTTCTTTGTAAAAATGTGCCAATTAGAAAAATGCGCTAAAAATGATAATGTAGCATATCGTTGTGAGCTATTTTGAGGCAAAAAATTAAATGAGAATTGTATGAATTATTCAGCAGTCAAAAAAATTGCATAATCAAATCATCATATGTGGAAGCTATAATCATTCGTCACAATTTATTTCAATAGAAACTAATAAAATAGAACATGCACGTATGAATTATAGCCCGCCTTAGTATTAATCTCATGTTCTTTTTGCGTGGCATGCAAACAGTGATTTAGAATTTAGAAACATCTTGTTTAGCAACACAGCGAGTCGAGCGAGACTACACTTTGTTGAATTGTTGATTATTAAACACTTATGTAAACATACGAAGTCCCACCCCCACCCCCCTAATTACCCCACCATTTTTCTCAGAATGCTTGATAGTCACGACGTCACGACTGGTAATGTTCACGTTATGTCAATTTTTAAGTTGCGCCAAATAAAGAAATAATAAAATTACAAAAGACCAAAACATCGTCGAAGCGTGTATTTTGTCAATGTCAGTCATGTCAGTCACTGTGCGAATCACTGATCAATTCATGACTAAAATAAAATCAATGAATTAAGTAATGCGTTCGTCGCTCACATGACTTTTTATATACAAAATGGCTTCCGAAATACCTACAGCGCCGCCACCACCACCGTTGTTAGTAAACAACAGCAACCTCTCTGTTGACGTCGTTGGCGAAAAGCCGTCATCACCATCTTCCAGTGAAAAGAAGATATCTTCGACGAACGATGAAAAATCTTGGGAAAGAGCTTGGTCTGTGGCCGAAATGCGGAAAGGAGCGACACATTGGTCGCTTGCGTCAGATGCTGGGGTATGAAATGAAATTTGTAATTCAGCAAGGCCAACTACTTAAACTGAAAATATTTGAAGTATTTAAATAACTGTTTTACGTGTTTTATGCTATTCTCTTATTCCTTTTCCTCAATTGCAATTCTCTTACCTTCTCTGTTGCTTTTCTTTTACAAATAAGTTACAAATAGAAATCAAAAGATGACAAACAATCACTTCTCTATGATTTGTTTGCTTTCTAGAATTATTTCTATGCTTTAGTATTTGTAACTTAAAAGATTTATTATCTGCAACTACCAACATATAACAATGGTGGCCCTGTAAATGGGTGAATAATTTTTCGTATAGTGGTGCACCAATTATGTAGTTGCATTTTGGTGTTATCCAGTAACTGGCTCAAATTTAGTCAGATACTGGTTGATTTTTTATCTGAGATGGTACATTTAACGTAATAGAAAAATAACTTCTCACACACAACTGGGAGCTGCTCTAGCCAATCCGCCGCAAGCTTGACATTTATTACATCCATAAAAACAGTTGATACAGCTACCATTACATTGGCTAAGCGGCTCTGCTCCTAAGAGTAGCAGCCTAAACTCAACAGTCTTAGTTACCAATATACATACGTCTATAGTGTTCCATCCGGGTGGGTGGGTGGTACTCTGGTCAAGTATTGCAAATGCTACAACAAAATATGCTTAATATAACCCACACCACCTGCAACACCGATTGGGCTCCCAAGGGTGTGTGAGAAAACATTTTCCACCTTTCTCGTTCCACAGTCAGTGGAACATAAACTAATTGTCACCAATACAGCAAAGTTGCAATCAACTGTTTAAGGCTGAACACAAAGAGATCATGATACATGTATACATGCGTATAGTTATACATTAATATTTGTGAATGTAAATTATTCATTAATACTAAACTTTTAACTTTTTTTTTGCATGCATTCACAAACAACTTCACATTTTGCCTGTTACTATAAGGGCAAATTTGCAACCATTCAAATATTATGGTTGAATTAAATTTCATATATCTGAACTGAACTTTGTAAATATGTAAACATCTAAATATTTTTCACCTCTATAGTTATTTGCTATAGCCAGTGCTTTAGCTATCTCCATAATTAGATATTTTTCACTTCCACCAATTTTTCATCTTCTATGTTTACTTCTTCAATAAATATTTTTAAATTGTTTGTTATTGTGTGAAAGTGTGTGCATCAATTATAAAAAATAAGCATGTAATATATTGTGAGTCACTGTGGTAAAGATATTTGCTCTCTGTAAATTAAAGTCAACAAAATCACAGTTTAAGCCAAAATATCAGTAACAGCCTTGAAACTTTTTTGCATTACTTTGCCTTTTATGTGAAGTAATTAACATTATTTCTTGCGTAGTTTGGAAAAATGTTGCACTTACTGAAAATCATAGAACAATCCCCTTTGTTGATAGACAATCAAGTTGAGACTAAAATTTCTTTGATTTTAGTTGCTGCTGTACTTGCAAGAGTTTTCACAAAATATGTTATCTCAAACACATCGTATGGAACAAAAAGTGGATGGACTGGTTTATGAAACTAAGGCATGTTTTTCAGCGATAATTAAATTACTACTTTGATGGTGTACAGGGTACCTATTGTATGGAGTATTCATGCATACATGTACAGTGGGGTTGGGTAATAGCCTCCAAACTGTTGGGCAAATAAGGCTCATCAGATGAATCTGATCATTATTTGGATTAACCTAATGAGTTTTTGTATATATATTATTAAAACCAGTAGATTTAAACATTGATATTCAAGTTTCCATAGTATTGTGTTACAGACAGTTTTAAGAAGTTTGAATTTTTGACATATGTCCATTTTTTGTTTTCAGGGGATATCAACTAAAGTGAATAATACTTTCAACAACTTTCTTATGTTATCAAATACTCAATTTATTGAAAATGTAAGAGAATCTGTTATTTTGCAGATTGATGTTACAAATTGTCATGTTACAAATAATAAGAAAATTGCTCATGTTTTGGCATCTATTAAATATTTTTTCCTGTTTAAGTTCCTAAAGTTGCTTTCCAAATTGCCCCATTCTATAATTTTAGAGAGTTTATGATGAAGAGGAAACAAAAGAGAAAGAGGAAAAACAATCTGAAGCTCCAGGTCAAGAAAAGGTGCTTTACATGCAAAAGTGTTTGTAATTATGAATGTAGTAGAACCTGTAGTTTATGTATCAAAAGAATTATACCATTGGATAAAGTTCTCTTGAATAGCACAGGTTCATAATGAGCTAAAGTTTTAGTAATTATAAGTTTAACATTGTCTGGCATAGCTGGCATTGAAATTTTTAAACATGCAAGTTTTTTTTACCAGTGAGAGAATTGTTCAAAGTCTTTCAAAACATGTCCTAAGCACACAAATTAGTAATCAGAAAATTAAAAAGCAGTTTAATTATCCTCACTCAAAATATTGACTGTGTTGCAAAACCTTTAAAATTTCAAGAAATTTGGTGCATGTGCAAGCAAATGCTAGATTTAAACTTTGATAATTTTGTATTTCAAACCAGGTTTTATTGCATTATGTGCTTCGTTGGTATTCATCCTCTTTATTTTATTCTTAGGAGAAAACCAGAGAGGAACTAGAAACAGAAGTAATTCCCAAGATAAATGAAGCCATTCAATATGGACTCAATGTTCTTGATAGTGCTTTTGTTACTGTAGAGATAACACCTGAACGTAAGAAAGCATGATAAATATTGTTGAATGCATGAAAATTTATTCTATTGTGTGTAGAATGTACCGTATTCCTCTATTGTTAAAGGATCATTGGTTTAATTAGTTTGAAATCAAATAGATTAATACGTATGAAGGGTAATTTTGTGACACATAAAATCTTAATTTTAGTAGGGAAACTATCAGTAATTTTTTTATTTTATTTTTTATGCTAGAGATATCAGATGATGAAGATGAAGGAGCATTGCCTGACAATCTTAGACCTGAACCAATTCTTGAATTAAATGTACGTAAGACAGTTTTTCATTTTAGAAACTTCACTTATGTGTATTTAACAGCTTTCCTAAACTAAAGAGTTTTAGCAATGTTGGTTTTTTGTTATTTTTTAGGATGTTTATGCCAATCGTCGGTTACCCTTTTTTATTGGCTCACCGGAATTTGATACCGATGATCTTGTTGGTTTGGGAGAGTCTGATGGTAAATCTTTCCATTTTATGTTTCTGGTTTATCTATGTGCTCAAATGCTGCTGCAACTATGATTAAAGTTTTCTGATAAATAAATCTTAAAGTTTTCTGATAAATAAATCTTAAAGTTTTTTTCCCACAATTTTGTAGATGAAGATGAGGTGGTCAGTGATGAAGAAGTTGGTGAAGAAAGTGAAACAGAAAAAAGTTCAGATGACGATGAAACGTCAGAAAGTGAAACTGTCAGTGTATCAGAATCAGATGAGGTTATATTTTGTTCACTTCTTTCTTTACTGAATTATGCTGCTCTTAAAGCAGCTTGGATTTCTTGTGACAGGCAATCAATTTCCAAATTTCATTGGATTTGATTAGTGGATAAGTTTTTGTACATCATTTACAATGGAAAATTTGTCAACATTTTGTGAAACAGATACGTAATAATGATTCTTTTGTCCAAAATGCTTCAACGAGCATTTGTTTGTATTTTTTTAATAATATGCTTTCTTTAGGAATCTTCTTCAACAGCCACCAAAAGTGAAGAAGACAATGAGGACAGTGTAAGTAAAACTGGAGACAAAGCAGTAAATTTGATTAAGTAAAGCAATTTGAATAGCTGGTGACATGTATTGACAGCATGTTGCGCCATCTTGTCTGATTCAATGTGAAAAATGCAAACAAATAGCATTATATTTTGTTTTAGAAGTGTTCTTTTGTCTTTGCAATTTGTGGGAAGCATTTTTATTCCAATATCTGATATGTTCCATCATTCGCAATAAATTATACCACAAAAATATTTTGCCTCCGTCACATCTTAAAAATTTATGTAGATACTTTCCTGACCAAAATAAGTAAGTGCTTGATTGTTGTTGGCTGATGATTATTGGGTCTTTGTGTGATTGCAGGAGGATTTATCAGAAGAATCAGATGGCGACCTATTCTCTTCTAGTGGCACTGTTCCCAAGGCAATTGTATCTCAAAGCAGCGAGAATAAAGATAATGTGGATCCAGTTAAGAGTTCTAAAGAAAATGTAAACATCTGTTTTTTATTAAAAAGTCTTATTTATGTGTGTGATAACAATATTTTGTGAGAATCTCCTGATTCGGATGCAATTTTTGGATACTTTATCAAGAAAAATATCAAAATTTTGGACGTTAACTCTCATTTAGTCAAACAAGCCGCTGGACTTTACCTCAGAATTAGCTGCAAAACTGGCGGGAAAAATAAACAAACCCAAAGATACCGACGATGAACATGCAGATAATGACTGGGATGAAAGTGAAGAACAGAAAGATATACATGATATAAAAGAAGACCTGGTGTCCTCTTCGTCATCTCATTCTACAAAAAAGAAAAAGAAAAAGGACAAGCCAAAAACGGATAGCCTTGAAAAAGTAGGTCGGATGCTGTGAAGTTAGTATTACGAAATTTTTAAGAATCTGTTTTATCTTTTTTAGAGCGCAAAATCGTCAATCGTAAGTGGAATTATTGAAGAAGATGATGATGATTTGTTTACTAGCTCTATCGATACAACATCAACTGTACAAAGTAAATCAAGAAACAGTAAATCAAAACATAAGCGTGAAAAGAAAAGAATACGAAGTGACAGTCAAGTCAGCGATACTAGCTCAAAGAGTCTTCACAAGGAAACAAAGGCAACCTTCAAAAACAATGGTAAATCACGTGTGCTAAAATTTTCATGGTTTATATGTTGTAGTTATTTATTTTTTAGTAAATATCTACGCAATCAAAATAATGTTATCAATGATGTTTTTTAGATGAAAACCTTTTCGGTGATCCTGTTAGTCCAGAAGATGGACTGTTTGGCGCCAACAGTCCATTTAGTAAGAAAGGAGGAAGGTATAGTGGTGGAGTTGGTTTGTTTGATGATGTTGAAGAAGAGGATAATGATCAGACTTCTTTTAAGGTAGTTCTTGTATTTTTTATAACTTTTAAGTTAAGCGTATACCATAAATGGATAATTTTTAGAACTCAAGTTCATTTTTCCTTCTGGAATCATTTTATGAACCACTGCTTTTCTTATAACTTATTTTTCAATTTCTTAACTTATTTCAATTCTTAACATTGCCCCATAAAGGACGATACAGTTGAAATATCACCAAGTCAGGTGGATGAACAACATGAAACCGAGGAGAGTATGTGGACTTTGTTTCATGAAAATGATGTTTTTTGTACGAATGACGAGTTGTTGATTATTGTGGTAAATATTGTTTTAGAAATTGTCAAAGAAAGCAACTCTCCTCGTACAGCTAGTGGGAAAAAATTACCTCCTGGAGCCGTTTCAATTTTTGGAGGTACAGTAAAGTTCATCTAATGAAACATTGTGTAATTTCCATCATTTTAATGTGATTGTATTCAACGATTTTCTCACTTTTAGATCATGGACCATTCGGCCATATACCAATTCAATCGGTTAGTTTACAGTTACGTTTGTATTTGTCATATTACCACATTTTACGCATTTTGTGGCAATATAACAATTGGAATGTGTTGTTTCTCACTATATGCATTCTATATATCATGGCAACTGCACCTTCTCTTTATTAGCATGAACACCAAATTGAAAAAAAACATGTTGTTGTTAAACAAGAAGCGACTGGAGGTAGTTTGTTTTCGGATGAAGATGAAGATACGTTGACATCAAGTCAATCCTCTGTTTCTCCTAGAAAACCTGCAGTTGGTAAGAATCAACCGTTCCTGGGTTACACCAAAACTTTACTTTATGTAGGGTGCTTTATTTTACCTCTATAGTTGTAAAAACGAAGAAATCTGTTGATCTTTTTGGAGCTGATGAAGAAGTTGACGACGAGGAGGACGTCGGTGGTTTGTTTGGTGTAAAAAATGCTGATAAAAAGCAATCTGAATCAAAAGTACCAAAGAAAAAGGTATTTGGAAACACGTGATTGTTTTATTAACGGGCTGATCCTACGTTTTTGTTCACTTATTTCATCGTTAACATAGATACCTGTTGGTGCTCAATCTATTTTTGGCATTGGATCACCAGACCCAATGTTTGACTCATCAAAACCAGATGTTACGCCTAAATCTGTATCAAATTTGAAGCCGGCAAAACCGTCAAATGGCTTATTTGATGATGATTTCGATGACAAGACTGAGTCGTATAGTTCGCAACGGTCAGCGGTTTCTTCCATTATACCTCCTGTTCGAAGTAATCAAAAAATCAACCATAGTAGGTTGTTTGATGACAACGAGGATGATGAAGATGATGTAGACGATCTTTTTACAACTTCTTCTAAAGAGGAACTTGGGTAAGTTATTGATCCAGTTTAATTTGAATGACAGCCGTTTTTTGGCAGTCCTGTGCTTATTAATAACAAAATTTTCCATGATGTATATTGTGATTAATGGATAAGAAGCGATGGATCCCAAGTTAGATACTTAACATTTTAAAAATATTCTGTCAAATCCCCAAAAATTATATAACAGAGCGCAGAACTGCAAAAACACAACATATTCTATGAAAGTATTAAATATTCGCATTATCATTTATATCTTGTTTGACTGAACTTCGTATTTCCACCTTTTGCGAATATTTCAAAGGTGGTCAGTTTTTATTCAATACCTTTTTTTAAAAAGCATTTGGAGATTTGACTGCTTTACTTAATCTACATTTTCCACAGTTCTACAAAAAATTCCAAAATAACATCGAAAGTTGAGTCATCTGCAAATAAGGTATTCAACCTGAAGTTAGATTGATTTTACAACCGAAACTAGTAAACGCAAGAGTGAAACATTTTGATTATTTGCGCAGCCGCTGAAAGGTGTTGAAGCTCGTAAAACGACATCCAAAGCTACATCGATCAGTTTATTTGACGATGAAGATGAGGATGAAGAAGACAGTGACGAAGATGGAATATTCAGCCCCCCAAATGCGCATTCTAAGGTAATATGAGCAACGTAGAGATGTATCAATTTTATTACATTATTTCGAAGTGTGTTTTTTGGCTTGTTTTTGTGCTAAATTTTTTTTAAGTACAATCCTTTTAAATCCAATTTAATGCAACTTTATTTGATGCCCTGTTAGTCTTACTATGTGATACAAAAGACCTGTATGCACCTTTGTAGTACTAAGCAAAATTAAGCAAAGACTGCGAGTACGACTGGTTACTCCCGAAGCAGCGCAAGGAAGTTCCAGTTGTTTGTTAGTTGGTCCAGTAGACTGTGCAAGTTTTTATTTCTATATTATAGGCATGTGTCATGTATGTCTTCTTGAGCTTGTTTCAACAAATGCATTTTCAAACTCGTTCAATGATCGTTGTCGATCTTTGCCATGCGTAAAAGTAAAATAGCCAACACACAACCATAGATATTGCAGCGTGGAACAAAATTCCTTACATTCCTACCCATATTCCTTACATTCCTACCCATGGAAAACAAGTGGTTGTTTAAACTAAACATTGTGATAGATTTTATAAAAAAAACACTTTTTCTTCATGAAGTCAGTTATGTTCGTTTACTGATACATACGTAAATGAAAATTTAATCGGGTTTAATGGAGAAATGAAAGAAATGTATGAAATTTTTTATATGGTTGATTCAAATTACCAGTTAAAAGGCTGGTTATTTTTTAACTTTGCACCTTCGATTCTTTGTTCAACATATTACATTATAGTTCATATACAATCATAAACTCTTTTATTTCTGCTAAAGACATTTCCATATATTCAAGGATAATATAGCTGTGCCATCAACAAAAAAAAACGTAGTAGAAACAAGTACATCTGAACAGAAAGATGATGTAGATACTGGCAAACCAAGTCGTAAATTTTTACCTGGTGCTGTACCATTGTTTGGAGGAACAGATATATTTGCTGGAAAAAAATCCTTAAAAACAAAACACGGTATGATTAACGACATGAAAACTACCTTAAAGTAGTGATGTTAACGTGTTTTGTGCTTGATATATACTTCAAATATTTGTTTTCATGTAGATGACGATTTGTTTGGAGATGAGGATGATTTATTTGCAAGTAAATCTAAACCTGTTGTACCATCAAACACTAAACCTGTTAAACAGGATAATGATGTTAGTATATCATTTGCTTAAGTCAAAGCCAAGATACAAAAGATGTGCATTATTCGTTGCAAATTCTCTGTTTGTGATTTTCTTTCTCTGAAAACTTTCTCCCACGAATCTTACTCTGCTGTCATTTAAGTAACTGAACACCATTACAAAAAGTAAATACTATTTTTGTCGTGTAGAATGACTTAAAAGATAACTTTGACGATGCGTTACCTTCTAAGGAAACACCTAAGGATGTCATTAGAACGGATGAAGATTTAGTTAGTGGCGAAGAAAAGTCTGAAGTATGTAGTATATCATCACGTAATTAACTTTTATGCCTAAGTAATTATTGGGAGTTTTGTAAAGAAGAAAAGAATCAATATACTTTTGAAAACAGTGAAACTTTTATTGAACAAAATATATCGAACATTTATTGGGTCGTTTTGATTGGTCAATTGACCTCGACAATAAATACAGAACACACTAAATGCAAAATAGTAGTTTTATGCAAAAATCCTAAAGTTGAAAAATATGACTTGGGCAAAAAAGGTAGTAACGCGATGATATTGTATCTTTGTTTTGCCTTTATTAGTGTTAAGATACTTTACACCATTGTAATGAGTGGTGAAAATTCACATCAGTCACACATCAGATTATATTTGTAAACTTTCTTAGGTATGGTTACGACCATAACTATAAACTCCAACTGTTTCCTTAGTCGACTGCGCATGCCCTAGTTTTTAGTCGTATATATTGGTTGGTTGTTTGTCTTCGTCAGCATGGTTAAACAATTCCATATTCATCATTACTGCTTTGAAAAAATTGATGAAAGCAGAGCATAGTTTCATTTAAAATTTTCTTATTTGCAATTAAGACGATAGATACAACACCTCATGCTACAAGAGTCAAAATTAAATCGGCGTTTATGGAGTAGTTAAGATTGATTTAAATTAGGAGTTAAAAAAGCGGTGTTTGTATGAAACTTTGCACTATCTTTGGAACTATTATTGTCAATAAAGAAAGATTCCTATACATGATAGATAAACCCGTATTAATTTTCGTATTTAAAGTAGTTCACTATTTTACTTACGTACTATTACGCAACAAAATCAAATTGTGCATAGCATTGCCTTTAGCTTCATTGTGAGTTACATTAAAGTTCAATCATAGACCCTTTTATTTCTGCTAAAAACATTTCCATATTTTCAAGGATAATATAGCTGTGCTATCAACAAAGAAAAACGTAGTAGAAACAAGTACATCTGAACAGAAAGATGATGTAGACACTGGCAAACCAAGTCGTAAATTTTTACCTGGTGCTGTACCATTGTTTGGAGGAACAGATATATTTGCTGGAAAAAAATCCTTAAAAACAAAACATGGTATGATTAACGACATGAAAACTACCTTAAAGTAGTGATGTTAACGTGTTTTGTGCTTGATATATACTTCAAATATTTGTTTTCATGTAGATGACGATTTGTTTGGAGATGAGGATGATTTATTTGCAAGTAAATCTAAACCTGTTGTACCATCGAACACTAAACCTGTTAAACAGGATAATGATGTTAGTATATCATTTGCTTAAGTCAAAGCCAAGATACAAAAGATGTGCATTATTCGTTGCAAATTCTCTGTTTGTGATTTTCTTTTTCTCTGAAAACTTTCTCCCACGAATCTCACTCTGCTGTCATTTAAGTAACTGAACACCATTACAAAAAGTAAATACTATTTTGTCGTGTAGAATGACTTAAAAGATAACTTTGATGATGCGTTACCTTCTAAGGAAACACCTAAGGATGTCATTAGAACCGATGAAGATTTATTTAGTGGCGAAGAAAAGTCTGAAGTATGTAGTATATCATCACTTAATTAACTTTTATGCCTAAGTAATTATTGGGAATTTTGTAAAGAAGAAAAGAATCAATATACTTTTGAAAACAGTAAAACTTTTATTGAACAAAATATATCGAACATTTATTGGGTCGTTTTGATTGGTCAATTGACCTCGACAATAAATACAGAACACACTAAATGCAAAATAGTAGTTTTATGCAAAAATCCTAAAGTTGAAAAATATGACTTGGGCAAAAAAGGTAGTAACGCGATGATATTGTATCTTTGTTTCGCCTTTATTAGTGTTAAGATACTTTACACCATTGTAATGAGTGGTGAAAATTCACATCAGTCACACATCAGATTATATTTGTAAACTTTCTTAGGTATGGTTAGGACCATAACTATAAACTCCAACTGTTTCCTTAGTCGACTGCGCATGCCCTAGTTTTTACTCGTATATATTGGTTGGTTGTTTGTCTTTGTCAACATGGTTAAACAATTCCATATTCATCATTACTGCTTTGAAAAAATTGATGAAAGCAGAGCATAGTTTCATTTAAAATTTTCTTATTTGCAATTAAGACAATAGATACAACACCTCATGCTACAAGAGTCAAAATTAAATCGGCGTTAATGGAGTAGTTAAGATTGATTTAAATTAGGAGTTAAAAAAGCGGTGTTTGTATGAAACTTTGCACTATCTTTGGAACCCTTATTGTCAATAAAGAAAGATTCCTATACATGATAGATAAACCCGTATTAATTTTAGTATTTAAAGTAGTTCACTATTTTACTTACGTACTATTACGCAACATAATCAAATTGTGCATAGCATTGCCTTTAGCTTCATTGTGAGTTACATTAAAGTTCAATCATAGACTCTTTTATTTCTGCTAAAAACATTTCTATATTTTCAAGGATAATATAGCTGTGCTATCAACAAAGAAAAACGTAGTAGAAACGACTACATCTGAACAGAAAGATGATGTAGATACTGGCAAACCAAGTCGTAAATTTTTACCTGGTGCTGTACCATTGTTTGGAGGAACAGATATATTTGCTGGAAAAAAATCCTTAAAAACAAAACATGGTATGATTAACGACATGAAAACTACCTTTAAGTAGTGATGTTAACGTATGTTGTGCTTGATATTTACTTCAAATATTTGTTTTCATGTAGATGACGATTTGTTTGGAGATGAGGATGATTTATTTGCAAGTAAATCTAAACCTGTTGTACCATCGAACACTAAACCTGTTAAACAGGATAATAATGTTAGTATGTAATTTTCTTTATAACACGCTATAACTGTGCACTTCACAAAATCTTTACATCAAATTTAGCATCTTTCTCGTACGTCTGTGTTGTCATCCCCATTGGAAGAAACAACTGCAACCCAGAAGAGTTTATCTTTGTCATCATCCATTGAAAAAACTAGCAATGTTGCTAAGTTGCAGGTATTATTATGATTCTTATTTGTGTCCCTCTATACAGTCTCCCAGCTTACCCCCCCCCCTTCAAGTGTCTTCTGGTTAAGCCCCAAATTTCTCTTGGTTAACCCCCAAATGTCTTCTCGTTTACCCCCAAATGTCTTCTCGTTAAGCCTGCCATGTCTCCAGCTTTACACCACCTTCATGTCTTCAAGCTCCTCAATATCTTCTAATGCAGAGGTTTTATAACTTAACTGCAGATTAGCATTTTCAATTGCTGCTTTCTAGCTATGAAACTGCAATATTTTTATATTATTATCTGTCCAATAGAAAAAAATGACATTCAATCCAGCCACAATGTTGCCAGGAGGCACACCACCCTCGAGAAAACCAAAACATACCGCAGAGGCAAATTTTGATGAACCTGCATTGATGCAGACACTTGAATCAACTAACAAGGTTTGTTTTTATTTCCAATTGATTCAATGAAAAACATGTGCAGTTAACTCTTAGCTTGTTGTGTATATAAGTTTGTTCTCAAATAGTCATTTAAGTCACTTCAGCTCTCCTTAGAATGCAAGCCGATTGAACAGAGCTCTATTGAAACGACCGAAAAGACTCAATTGAGTCGACTCGAACGAGTATTTGAGAAACAGCCTTTAAAAAGTATGCTCTTGGTTATTTGAGCAAATGTCCTGGTTTCTCACTAAAATTACCGAATGCAACCAAAAGATTTTTATGAAGACAAGTGTGCTAGATTATGAGCTACATGTTTAATTACCGTTTTCACAGAAGCGATGTATTTGAAATTTTTTAAAAATTATTGCTTTCATAGGAACGTGCTCGATTGCGTGGCAAGAGACGGCCTCCAACCCGTCAAGCTAGGCAAAAAGCTGCTAGAGATAGCATGGATGATACTTTATTATTTGGATCAAATTTGATTGATGGATCTACTTCCTACGAACGTGTACCTGCAAGAAAGTCTGGTCATACGTCCCATTTCAGTGATTCTGGTGATCATTTTAGTAGTAGTTCGTATCAGAAACCTTTTAAACGTAATGAAAAACCAAATATCACTCAGTCTCGTGGACCAAAGTTTGATCCCCTCTTTATCCATAATTCAATGGTCTCAGATACATCTACATTTGAAGATTCTGTGAATTCTGTTGATGGAATGAAGCAAAATAAAGATAATGAGTCATCATCTTCTAAATCTCGAGATGAAAAGGTCACAAAGGATGTATTTAATGCTTCTTTGAAAGATGAACTTTTCGACGCGTCCCTAAAAAATGATAGTTTATCCAAATCAAAGAATCTTGGTAATCAGGTTACCTCAGCAATATCTGTGAACCAAAAACCTAATAATGATATTTTTAGCGGTCTTTTGAACGATAATGAAGAGGATGTTCCTTTGGGGAATAACAATTCTGAAACAGTCTCTACAAAAAGTATTCCAGGCAAAAGCAACTTTCCGCGAAATTGGAAGTCTAACTCCACTCGCAGCGATTCGTTGTTTGGTAGTCAAAGACATGAAGATCTATTTTCTAACTCTGAAAGTGACGTGAACAAAAATGCTCTCGCTAAAAAGAACTTGTTTAGTCAGTTACCTGAAAACAAAGGATCTCAAAAGTCAAAATCTTCTCAATTTTTACAGGAAGATGAAAATGTCGGTTTTGATCCTCTTTTCTCAGGTTTCAATCAAACCGTTAAACAAGATGGCGAACTTTTTGTTGAAGGTAGAAAAATACTTGATAAGTCAGCAAAGGATAATAATTCTGAGAATACGACTCGTATATCCATTACAAACGACAAGATGGAGGGCAATGTACCGTTTCAGAGTGATGACAAAGAGGATAAATCATCTGTTAGTACATCAAGCGCTTTCGCCAAGAAAGATGATGATGATGATGAAGATGATCTTTTCAAATCCAACAAGGGTCCTCTGTCATCTCCACCTCCTCTTTTGGATTTTGATCACGAAATAAGTGTTTCTGGAGACTTCAACGAAAAACCGAAAAAAAGTAGAACTGTTAAAGATGATTTGTTCAGCGATAGTTACAACGCTGATATTTTTACTTCAAAATCCAAAGAAAAGATAGATGAAGAAAAAGTAAAAGAACACATAAGTGCAAATGATGACGGGGAAAAGATTGCCAAGGTAAGTGATAATTAAACAATCTTACTTCTTGTCACTTAACTTTGATAGTTGCGCTCAAATTTTTATGCCGAGTGTCCAGTATCCTAGTAGGTAATACGCGTTTGTTTAGTGGCACGATTATTTAGGAAACTTCCGTTATTGCTCTACTTTTGCTTCAATTTAGTTAATAAATCGTAAACATCAACAAAAACGTAGATTAGCAAATTTCTTAATAGAAATGATTTCAAACAATTACGCGTATATTTTTTGATTTCTGCTACGTATATAGGGAAAAAGTAAAATTGAAGAAGAGAGAAAAATGAATGAAAACGAGGACTCCTTTGCGGATAATGAATCATTACTTGACGGCATTCCTAAAAAGGCCAATAAGAAAAAGAAGAAAACTACTATACCGAATATTTTTGATGACGGGCAAGGTATTTTACTATATATTAAGACGTTTGTGAAAGGTCTTCATGTTGGGATTGTAACAGTGCAATCACGTTAGCCACTGAAAAGTTAATTATTGCGAGCTTTTGTATGTTTAAAATATCGAATTGACTCTACGTTTTATCGGCTCCTTAATGTTATGAAACAATTCCCTTAATAACACATAAGACACGCGTGTTACACTTTTCGATTTACATGTGATTTTACGATTGGATGTAACGATTCGATAAACTATTTATTCTCACTTGGTCGAATGTAGGAAATCTACCCTGTTTTGAACAAATTATTTAATACTGTCTTCGAGAAAACTTTACGCTTGTGTACATTGCAAATGATGTATTTATTACTTCCAGATGGTTTGTTAAAAACTAAAGATTTCGGCGATTTTTTTACACTCAGAGGCAACTCTAAAAACTAACGAAAGGTGTTGAAATGACTATCTTCTGAATTAGCATGTAATTTTGAGTTTTGTACTTTTCTTTGCAGATGTAATGCCAATTAACAATGAGCCGCCGACATCAAAAACGAACAAAAAAGTTAAGGGAAAAAAGAAAGCAAAGAATAAAACGTCAATTTTTGATGACGATTCACCTGATATTTTTAAAGATCCACTAAATGCAAATTAACGTGATTGTCACCTACATGCTTTATTAGTAGGTATGATTCTAGCATATTTATTGCTTCAATTGACAATGTCATTAGGTAATGTGATTTTATTGGTCACGTGTACCAGGTATTGGAAATTATTGATAAACACGTCTATCCTATGCTTTTATTGTCAGCTTTTCTCATTTCTTTTACTACTATATTTTTGATTAATAAGGACACTTCTGAGCATGCTAGTGTAGAGAAGAACTCATGTTATTTATAGACCTACATACTTTGGCTACTTTTTTCTTCATATAGTTGTTTGTTTCTTATTTGTGATTGACTATTACACAATCAAATCATGGTCATCGTGACATAAATAAACTAATTACTTAACCTTATATACCTATTCGAGATTCTGGTTCGTACGATTTTCAAGCTCTGACAATTTAATTTCAATAAAAGTTCAAACTTACATTCGCATCATTGGGTAACAATGCATGAAACTTTTTGACCAAGGAAGGTCCATTTTAAACTCAATATTCGTGAAAATGTTCCTCAATTAGGGTTTTATCATTCTGATATTAAATTTGAAATATTACTATTTGAAAATTGTCTGGTCTCTGTTTCTCAAATATTGAGTTGTAGATAGACAATCTCTTAGGAGTTGATATTTTTTATACTTTATAAAGTTGTCGGCTTGCAATGGATTTAGCAGCCACAAAAGACAGTCGACAATGATATAGTTTGACAATTATGATTTAAACCGTGTTATTGTTTAATCGATGAACATCGTGGTGAATTGTAACAAAAGTTTGCTTTACGTAAACATCAGTTTTAAGTGTTAAAGTGCCGATGAAATATTCAAAGTGAATGCAAACATTTATCAAGATGCTAAGTTTAGTTTAAACTAGCGTACTCAGCATGCATACTTATTTTACTCATAAATTTACTTGTCATGAAGGTCCACAGAATTGGGTTCGTTTTTATTGCAGGTTAAGCTCTCCCTTTTCCTAAGTGAATGATTGCTAAGGGCTATGGTTGAAGCTTTTTTTGTAAGGCTGTAAGCAAAGATTCAACTTTTCTTTGTCTAGCACATACCGAAATTTTTTAAATATGGTGTAAGTTGGGTTGGCTTGAAACCAGAATTCTGTCGTATAGGCGAATTTCAATGCATATATCAAAGTTCGACTCCTACTGTTTATCTTAATGTCCCAATAGAATTTTAGCCATGGTTCAGCTTATTATATATTGGGAAAGACCGCGCTAACGGAAGAAATCTGGTGCCGAGAGTGAACCTAGCCAAACGTCATGAACACTTCGTAGAGAAACTCAAAACATGGAGTAATAAAGTGCAATAAATCTGGAGCATATTTCTTTGTTTGATTCATTTGGTAAAGTTTTTGAAAGCGAGACTTGGTTGAATATTCAGGTTATCCTTATTTAGCTCTGAGTGGCCTTTTTGATTGTCCTCTCCGAGTCAAAATTGTCAAGAATTATGAAGGGATATGAGTGAGCAAGAAACCTTCAATAAAACTGGTGTGAACGACTCGACTGATGTCGCTCAGATCATAGAAGAAAAGCCTGTGGACAGTTCGGAAAAAATAAGTAATGATTTAAAACTGCCAGTATCTACCGAGGTAGAGTCCAAGAACGCAAATAGTTTTCAATCAACAGTCAAGACCGATTCGGATGATAAAAATATTGATACACGAGCGGATGAGAGTTCACTGACTGAGCATAAGAACCTTGGAAATGTTGGTGTGTCTGAACAAAACAGCGGCACAATTATTACAGCAAATATTACTGTGCAGCCAAAAAAGAAAATATCCTTTCAGGTAACGAGCATTGAGTCGACCGAAGGTCGATCTCGCGGAGATAGCAATGGGTATGACGATATTGACGAACTTAACGAAACTGAAGACGTCGAAGAAGAAGAGATATATAACGAGTCTGGTGTGGCTCATGTATTAGGTAATGGTAATGGAACTTCGAGGTTTAAAGTGGTTAAAATACCGCGCTATGATAGCAAGCCATACACTCGTGGGCGATGGAGATGTTGGGATTTTGTTAAATATCCACCACCTTCCGCTGAACATCTTTTACCAGACTTACCAGGCTGTAATTCAGACGTTTCTAATGAGAAAGGAGATGCAGACCCTGTTATTCGAAGTACGTTGACTTTTAGTTCCAATACAGGAGCTCTGTCTCTATCTAGCAATCAAAATATTGATTTTCCTGCAACGGAAGGAAATTCCCAAGCAAATTTATCAAGTGAGACAAACTGTGACGATAAGAGTCATATTATAACTGTGTTAGATGCAGTTGAGAATTCATTCGTATCAAAGGCAGACAATGGTCCAGATGAGCTTTTGAATAGTATCTCTGCTGTTGAAAATGCAGGTGCTTCGATCAGTGAAGCTGCTGTAGCAAATACAGATGAAGGATTATCAAGGTATACATTTATTTTCCTTAGTATGTTGATAAAGTTATGTTTTTTAGTTGAGCATGCCAAACATTGCAAAAGAGATGAAATCATTACAAAAACAATTGTTATTATCTTTTCAAACAGAATTCTTTCAATGATTATTTGGTTCGATTGATCAAAATATAGCACTGCCTTGGTTATGATCAAATTGATTTTATTTTCACTCCTGACTTTGAAGGAAGGGGTTTATTCAGAATTAAAAAATATTGTCTTGCATTATTTATAGTTCAAAACTAGCATGGGGTGCTCTTTATTATGGGATAACTGAACACAAAACCCATTTTATATTAGTGGTTAGCTAAATTTTCACATTGCTTTGTATAGCTGTGCAGTTCCAAATAATTTATCTCAGTTTCTGTGGTTTTTTTTGGAAAGAGAAAAATTGTTTGGTTATTTTTTTTAAAAATAGGGAAGAACACTGCAAATGCATTAAGTTATGAACTGTAGAACAAGATGCAATTAACTTGTGTTAGACAATATGTGCTTGTTTTGAATGTGTATTTGTGGTTTTGACTGCACTGATTGCTTTTTGGCACAAGCTGCACACTGCAATCTTTTGTTGTTGTTTTTTTGTTTTTATTGAAATATTACCAAACAGGAATTCTCATCCAGTTTTGAAAGGAAGAGACAGTACATGCTAAAGAGACATACTAAACTAGTTTGTATTTCTGAGGTTTTATTATTTTTGAAACGTATCTGTGTTCCAAGAGACATATACCTTGGCTGATGTTGAAGGAAAAAATAAATTGAAACTCATACTTCATTGACCCATAAAGAATTTTTGGTGTTGAGAGGACTGGAAGAAATTATTTTTTTGGTTGCCCAAATGCAGCTTTGTCACCATAAATAATCCACATGCAAACAAATCACTTTCAGCTTAAAAATTTTGTTTTAAATTTTCCTAAAACAATGCATTTGGCAATTATTTGAAAATTGATTGAGAATATCCATTGTGTTTGATGTTTTAGCATGAGTACATTATTGATTTGGTGTTACTGTAGTTGAAAAATAGATTATCATCTTACTGATATGAAGTTTTTAGTGGTTGTATTTTTGTTGCATGTATATATAAAACAATATAGTTTCCAAGGCTATAGTAAATATATAGGTAATTTGGTGAATATTTTCTTATTACTTGTTAGTTGGGGATATATGAAAATTGAATTAAAGCAAGGTTTCATATCCTATTATTGGGGCTAATTGTATTGATAGACTATTAGAGCTAGTATATTAACAAATTTTTTACCTTATCACCATTATAAATTTATTACATATGCAAGATTGAACATTTCCTTGGCTATCACGTTAAGATGACTGTTATGTTTAGATATGTATAATAATCATATGTTAATATGATAATATTACTTTAACTATTTAGTTGCCTGCTATGACATTTTTACATCCATATTTGTACTCTGTAGGTTGGATTCTGAGGATGATAGAGTTGCAGAGAAAATACTTAAAGCAATGGTAAGGCAAGCTTTTTACTTGTTTGGTCAGTCTAGCTGGTTTTTTATTCAAATATGCTTTTTTGCTAAACAGTACAATCAATAGTTAAATGAGTTAAATGCTGTAATGAAATACCTTGTAATTTTTAAACTACTGTTCACATCCTATCAAAATTCTTTGTTGAACTTTGGCATCATTCACTGTGTAAGTACTTTTGCCTATGTACGTTTTCCTATGTACATTTTCTGACTTTGATTATATTTTGGGTGTTCACTTCTTGGATTGTGTTATCATTAAATGTAAAATTTTTCATAAATGTTAATAATTTAATAGCTTCCATTACTATGTTAAATGTAATGTTTTATTAAATATATTCGGCGATGTTGTGATAGTGTCTCAAAACTTCCCACTTAAGTCTCTCTCTGCAAACATACAAATTTATACATCTAGGTCAGACCAGACCCCTTGTTTTTTAATCATAATACCATGTTTGGACAATGTAAAAACATTGAAATGATTTTGGAAACAACAGCATAACATATTGACAAAAAAGTATCGCGGAAAGACTGTTCATTTTGAGTGCATTATAAAATACAGAAAAAAGATTAATTATTGGCAAAATTACTCAAGCATTTACAGACGTGATATAAAAAGTTTAAGCAAGCCCAACTCCCACCCACATCACACACATATGGTGAGAATATTTCAAGTTTGAACCAGTTATTCCACACCTGCAAAACTGGAAATGTCTGGAAATTTTTCCATTAAGTATTTTTGTATTTTCGAAAATATGCCCACGAGACATATACAGGCAAGCGCCAACTGCACTGTGCGAACACTTGCTTTCAATGGTGATAAAAGGACTTTGTTTGCCATAAAAATAACATTTATTTTCGAAATCTGCTGACTGGAAGTGTAATAAGTTATCCAGGCATGACCAGTGAATTCTCTTTGGCCTAGCTTTTATGCAGTTTTTTTATTTTTAAGAGTCAAGTCGTTCAAATCAAGACGGATCTTCTACAAGGGGTTAATGAAGATGTAAAAAAATTAAAATCGACTATTCAACAGTTAACTAGTGAAAACCAAAAATTAAAATCGACTATTCAACAGTTAACTAGTGAAAACCAAAGACTTAAAGAAGAAAATGAATCTCTGAGACAACAGCTTCAAAATCCTTCCAGTTGATTTAATAAAATGTATACTAAATTAAAAATTAACGCTTTTGGTCGTACACTTGCTAAAATTTACAAATAAGAGTACTGTAAAGAGGTCTGACACGGAGCAGATTGCTTTGAATTTATTAACACATACCTGTGAATTTTAGGAGTGAACTGGCTTGAATTTGTATCTTGTATTGTCAAAAGGTTTTTCATACAAGAGGAACTGTTAAAAACAACGATATGTTAGAATTGGTGTGTATAAACTTATTCGGTGAATCGTAGAAATGACGAAATTTGGAGTATAATGTCGAGTAGGTATTAAGTCTTGAAAAGACGTTGAAATTTATTGCTTTTATTTGCTTGTTTCAGTACAAAAAAACTGATATTTTATGATAAAGATAATTAGTATTGTGTACTAAAACTTTATTTATAAATTTCTCGTTCATGCCGAGTACCAACAATATATTTATCAGAGATTTTGTCCTCAGTTTCGAAAATTTTCATAGAATACTATTTCTTTAATCTTGTATTTAGTTCACTATGGTGCACTATGGTTTTGCAAATAATTTTAGGCGAAAATTGAAAATACTCGACTGAACTCAACGTGTAAACGAAACTGTACTAATAATGACCTATACAGTATGGTAATCATTATATCGATTATTTTAATGAATATTGGCATATTATAATACGCACAGAATTGCAGTATTTTCATTAATTGCAGTATTTGAAGGACGTTGTCCACGCAATCGAACGTTGACAATCAGACGATCTTATTCAAAAATCAAGTTCAATGACAGGGTACAATAATATGGCTTATGGCAAGCGTTCCAAGCACTAATATATTACTTGTTCTTTCTTCCCATCTTTGAATTTTTCCATTAGTTTCTGTTTCATTTTCATGTAAGAAAAAACTTTCACACAGGGCTATCCACACAGAAAGCGTTATTGCAATGCTAACAACGATGCAAACTAACTCGCCCGGCTTATAGAACGCTTCCCTGTATATTAGTGCTGTTGTGCAAATATCGTGATTGTAGTTGTGTTAATGCGACGTGTTTCTTTCTCAATTTTAAAATTGATGCAGAACGTTTTTCTTGTGTGTGGGGGAGGGGGGAAGGGTACAAAAACTTTTATATGTGCTTCCCAGGCCCCTATTAGCGATGCGCCTGCTGGAATGGCTCAAACTTTATGAAACCAATTAATTCAAGGGACAAAATATTTCAACAACAAACTCTAAATAGTAAAGTATAAAAGCTAAAATTAGTAAAACCCTTCCATACCAAATAAGTGAAAACGAAATTGTGCAAACGGAAACCGGGAACCATGTCATGACCATGACCACGCGAGCACATACCGGAACTTGGTATCAAAAATTTGATATGGTCATGTTGTTAAATCCGTAAATATGTCGGAAAGAAAGTCTGGGTGTTGTGGTTTATTTTATTGTGAATGTATTGTATTTTGATGCTGAACTAATTGTCATGGGAAAAGAGCAAGAATTAATCCTAGCTGCCAAGACGGGAAATGTTGCCCAAATTGATAAAATTTTAAGTCAAAGAGCTAAGAAGTCTGGTCCACTTCTCAGGTTTGTTGCTAGTAACATCTTTTGTTGTTTATAAATCGATTTCGAGCAATTACATTTAAAAAATCGGCAATAAGGTTTCTTATTACGTTTTTCTTTAACTTTAAAAAGAAAGTACATGAATTAAATCGAGGAGACTGAAACCGCCGTTTTAATTTTATAGTATACGAAAGTCGGTTGGTCCTAACTGTCAAGATAACAATGGTTGTACACCGTTGCATCAAGCAGCTTTAAATGGGAAAAGGTTTGTTTTATGTTTTATATCTGCGTGCTGTGCAAACAAAATTATTTTATTTGAAATGTTTTAAATATTTGATCAAGAATGCTGACGCTCATAATAACTATCTTCACAACACATTGACATACTTACTGATTTAGGATTTTACTTTATGTCAAGGACAAGTATTTTTCAATTATGATCAATTTGTAAATAGGAAATATTTCGTAAAAAAAATATTACTGATATTCATTTTGATGTTTTACATTTGTGTGAAAAAGTAACAAAAGGTAATTATTAGAATTAAAATACGAAATTGAAAAGTGTTAAATTATTGCCATATTTGTGATTGTAATTTTGTTGAATCTTCATACTGCGTGTTTCACATTATCGCACTAAAGTAATTAGTTGATATCAATTGCAAGTTTTACATATGAATGCCCTGTCTGATAGAAAGCATTGTAACATGGACTTCTAATTATGGTAGTTTTTAGCTTGATGTCTTAATCAAGTTTGTTTGTCTTGAAATTATTGTTCAATATAAATTGAACCAAATTGAGAAGTCTTTGAACTTATATTCCTCTAGAAAGTATTTAAATTTTGTTAGTTTTGCATATTGTCAAATAACGAATTTATCTTAACAAGTTAAGATGATACAATAATCTGACTGAAAATTGTTCACAATGTTGTTAGTGCTTTCTTTTATGTGAGCTTTCTTTATTTGAGACATAAGTTGCTTGAATCATGTTTTAATGTCATTCTATGTTTGTGTGCTTATGCATAAGATGTTATAAACAGAGTTGTGTGTATATTTATGATAATTGTACCTGAAATTCACTGTTGCGATACCTCTCATGCTTAAAAATTAACTTCTTTTTCACAAAAAGCAATTGTTCCAATATAGTTCATTCTTTGTACTTGAATGTTTTCTTTGGGATTTGGATTTTTAACTGTAGTGTAATGTGTGGTTGTAGAGATGCAGTTGAAATGTTGCTAAAGTATGAAGCATCAACAAATATTCCAGATTTTGCAGGTAATGAGTATTATATTTATTTATGATGAATAATTTTTTGATTAGATCTGTTTTTAAGGTTTTAATTAATGTAGTAGTACTATATACATTAATACTTAACTACTTACCATAAAAGCCATTAGTCATTGCAACATATTACATAAAACTAATAAAATTAATAAGAAAAATAACATTACAATAATATACATAAATGCATTACTATTATTTTTATTAATTCATAAATTTAATTTGTAATACATTGTACCTGATGTTACAATTGTACATTTTACATCAATAACCATTTTACATCATTATACATTGTGCATTTTTTTGGCATTGTAATAACCTTTTAATTTTATGTTTTTATGCTTTTTAGGAAGTTATCCATTGCATTTGGCAGCTTGGAATGGATATGCGGAAGTGGTGGAGCTTTTGCTTAATCGTGGACCTTCCAGAGCCAATGTCAATGAAACGGTTTACTACTCCTTGAATGTGTATTATGTTGCTTACATGAAGAGATATTGAACACTTGAAATTTATATCTTATTTAGAACAACAATAATGAGACAGCTCTTCATTTAGCTTGTCAATATGGCCATAACAAAGTGATTGTAGTCTTACTTGAGGTAGGTTATTCATTGGTAACTGAAATAATTACAATGCAGTTTTTTGCATTCCCAAACAGTTAACCATTTCAGGGGAAGTAATAATAAAGAATTATTCAACCATAATAACCAGTAGCAATGCAGATTATGCATTACATAAGTCAATTAAAACATTTACATAGTTTTATTTCAAATTCAAAATTCTATGCAATAAAACTCAATTGGAAGTATTTGGTTCTTAAATATTCTTTAGAATGTCAAAATCAACAATCAAGTGGTTGTGTATTTCATGTTACTTATACTATATAATAATGTTTTTAGTGTCTTGCAAATCCTAATTTACGTAATTCAAAGAATGAATCAGCATTAGATCTTGCTGCTCAATATGGTAGATTGGATGCAGTAAGAGAATTAAAGATTTTGTTTACAGTGTATTTAACCATATTGCAAAGCAAGACATTTATAGCTTATTTTTGTTTAGGTTAACTATCTTTTGACATATTTTCCTACATTGGCAAAGGCAACCATCAGTAGCCACTCTCCCATACATTTAGCATCAAGAAATGGCCATTATGACATTGTGAACACTTTACTAAATAAAGGAATGTCAGCTAATCTTGAGGTTTCTATAACAGTTTTATTTTTATTTTGTTTAATTTATCCATAAAATATTGATGCATCTGTTGCAAGCCTTTATTTGGATCAGTTTTTTGGTGCATAGCATTCTAAATTCCCTGTCTTCCACCCTCTGTTATGCTCAGTAGGTATAATTCAGTCCTGTATGGGAATCATATTTCTTGCTATTGATGATTGATAATTTTTTAGAATATTATTGCACTTTACTAATACAGCTAACATTACATCAGCTAAATGGCCCTGCTCCCTGGAGAAGCCTAAACTCAACAGTCTTGATTACTCATTTACGTACCTATGTCAATAGTGCTCCATGCTTTTTGGATGCGACAAGAAAATGTGCTTAATATAAGCTACACCACCCGTTACGCCGATTCACATTTGGGCTGCCAAGGGCATATAAAAAAAATTTTCTTCATTCTGCAGAAAATAATAGTTAATGGTTGTGGGAACTGAGACGATTTGAATTACGTAATCATATAGTTAATCATTATTAGTGTACAATCATGTGAATAGGGGGTACTTAGAGACTATATTCAATAGGGATGGGTAGTAATTTCGAGACTTTAGTCGAGTACAGTTATCTGTATGTGAAACAGTGAAAATAATAAATGTTTTGTGGGCGACACCCACAAAGTACTTAGCGAAATTAAATCCAGATATGGCACCTCTCTCTACAAAATCGCCCCTGTGGTACAAACCACATTGTTGTTAAATCGTACGTACAAACCAAATCGTACAAACCAAATTATTCAGTTGATGTTGTGCAATTATCTATATATACTATGTTGGTAGTGCTAAAGTAATTACATACAACTATTTTACATAAAAACGTATATTCTATCTCTTTAGTCTAATGATGGTACACCTTTACATGTCGCTGCTCTTTTTGGCAAGAGTAATATTGTCAAACTTCTACTACAAAATGGTAAGCTTTTACGCTCAACATTAAATTTTTAGGTCTTGAAAATTTACCTATGATTTCATGCTATAGAATAATGCGACTTTTTATGTTTGTTACATTGTAAGGCTCGTGCAAAGGGATCCTTATGTCTTTGGATTCCTTTAGTTCTACTTTGCAATATGCTTTTAAAAAGTCTACTCCATCTTGTACCAAGTAAATTTTGTCTATTTCACCATCACACATTGTGTTGTGTTTATGTTTTAAATGCATCCTCAGTCTTCACAAAACCTTTTGTGATAGGTGTTGATATTAACTTACGGGACAAAAAAGGACAAACTGTTATGGACTTATTATCTGCAAATCCTTCTCAAAGATCTCGTGAAATTACGGCTAAGATATACAGTATGTTATTATTTAAGTAATTTTTTTGTCATCGGAGGAAGGGAAAACATGTTGAAATGTTCAGAAAATGCTCAACGATCACTTAATTGTCGTGAATTTATGATTTTCGTGATTATATAATGATCACAGAAGCTAACGCATCTGATGAATTTTGCTTTGTTCAGCACACATTCAAAATGAAGAGAAATCCTCTTACTATGGAGGAAAGGTAGTTATATAATATTGGTTAAAATATCAACAAGTATGACGTCGTGTAAAAATACGTATATTTCCTATGAAACATGTCATTAACATGAACGTATTTTTACTATGTAGAGTCGGACAGTATCCGATGCATGCAATTTAGGAAATCAAAGTTACGATGAAATACCTCCACCACGTCCGATATCTGGTATGATTTAAATTTTTGTTTTGGTCTTCATCTCTTGTACTTTATTACCGAAAGTTATCGTAGTTGAAAGTCGTTGCGTGTGGCTTCTCGTATCGTACATATATTCATCATTTGTAACGGGTTTTAAAGACGATCTAAAGTACGGATAGATATAACAGTATTACTTACTAGGGTCAATCTTCAGTGTTATGTAAATCTCCGTTTAAGCCTAGTTATTCATATAAACATTTTTTTGTTACAGAGTTTGGAAACTCGTCTCCAAAGGTTGTAAGTAAACATTTATATTTAAATTTGTTAAAATGATTCATCAAAAAGTTAGCAATAAGAAAGTTAATGTTAAAGTCAACCACCACATATTTATATATACATGTATATACACATGGTAATGGTATCTTACAAACTCATCAATTTTTCTAGCTTTTTAGACCACGGGTGGATGCACAATAGATTAGTCTCGTTTCTTCGCATAGCAAGTCAGACTTTTTATTAAATTTCTTTATCTTTTTATTATAATGGATAAAGTTTCGGGAGTGTGCTGCAGGAAACACTAATGACGCTTTCTTTTCTTTCAACATCAAATGTCAAATTAGCACCAGTCTGCAGACCTTCTCTAAATTCAACCCTTTTCGAGACAGAGCATTTTTCTTGTAAATTTTCTTGTGTGGCATCTTTCATATGCCAGTAGCATTTTTATTATTAATAATTAAGTGATTTTTTCGATTAATAACGGCCATTTTTTATAGCATCAATCTACACGTTATGATGAAATTCCTCCTCCATTGTCCTCTGGAAGTAGGTACTTTGTCGTTCATTGCAGTTATTTAAATATTTGCTCATAACATTCCGTACTTCTGAGCGATTATTAACTACAAGAATTTGTTGCCAGTTTTCCGATTTTCTTCGTGAAATTATTTTATATTTTTGTTTTTTCTCGGTGTCAGAAACAGAGAGATTGGGTTATACAGCTGAGGTAGACAATAGTTACGTAATCATACGTATCATTTTATGTCATAACGTAAAACTTGATATGTAATATTTTTTAAATTGTAACCTATTTAATATAGGAAGCAGTTACAGGCGTCTACGATATTGTCCCACCAGCGGTTTCATCAAGTAAGTCCTCTTCTCATACTGTTGACTTTCATTCGTTAGATATGTTGTAGTATACTTTATGTAGCATAAAATATTTTTATTGTTAGGGAAGAACTCAAACGATCATTTATCTCAGGTTAATAAATATTATACCTGTTATACCTGTTATTTACCAAACTGAAGCTTTAATTTAACGAACATTTTGTGTTTTCTACAATAAAGACAACGAGACGGCAAAGTTACGATGAAGTACCAACACCACGATCAATAAATGGTATGAAAATGATTTTTTCAATTTTTTACGTCACATCGTCATGTTGAATTTTTGAGTTTTGTTTTGTAGCCAGTCAAAAACCCAACATTACGAACTCGGTTGCTACAAGAAAGGACTCATCGCCACAAAACTATGACTTTGTCCCTCCGCCCCGTCAGGCTTCTGAACTCGTCAATACAAATCATACAGTTCTCCGTGGTTCTCAATCATTGAATGTTGGAATGTCTGAATATAATGTACCATTTAATAACTCTCCACGCAAAACAAAAGCTGTTGAAAGTTCGTATGGGATGTTTAACAGAAGTAAGAGTGCAACTATGCCTGCCAAGATTCGCAGTGCTTATGAAATGGCCTGTTTATCAGCGAGTAATGTTAACAAAAGTCAACAGGTAACAGGTATATACGGTCTTGTTCAAGCTCCCATAAGTGACAGGCCAATGTTTGCTGTGCGTTCATCAGAAAATCAAAACGTTCGAAGCTTCACTCAGCAAAATGATAATATGGAAAAGCAGAATGATGTAGTCGATGCTGGTAGACAATTATCGTCTAAGAATCAACGTGGCAACTTTGATTCATCTTATGAATTTGTGGAGTTACCGTACTCTAATGAAGAACCTAAAAGTAACCCGTCTTCTCCAATATCGATTCCCTCGCAACACCGCTCGTTACCACGTAATACTTCGTACGATACCGTTGTTTCATCTCCTCCTAGACGAGTTGAACCAATAGGAGCTTCTGAATCGCCATACGGAAATATTGATGTTCCTAGAAATTTAGAGGATAGAAAAGCAGGCGATGGTTTAGTTGGAGGAAGATTAGAGACTCGCAGTGATCCCGAAGGAGCAAAAAAACGAGATCTTTCATTTTCTCCTGCAAAAAGAATGACAGATTACGAAAATATTGTTATTCCACCACGCAAGGGAAGCATAAACGCAAAAACAGACATGATCTATGAAAATGTGCCAGCCTCTCCTGCAAACTACGAATTCAACATCCCTAGATCTCATCAAAATTCGACGGCTTTTGCCACACGTGTTGAAAGAGAAATGGAACGGTATGTGAATATTCGTATTTTATTTCATTTTTTTTTAATGATATGCAAAATCAATACTTTATGGTAGTATTTATACAGAGAAGAAAATCAATACTTTTGGTAGTATTTACAGAGAAGAAAATCAATACTTTATGGTAGTATTTGCAGAGAAGAAAATCAATACTTTATGGTAGTATTTACAGAGAAGAAATCAGTACTTTATGGTAGTATTTACAGAGAAGAAAATCAATACTTTATGGTAGTATTTACATAGAAAAAATTAATACTTTATGGTAGTATTTACAGAGAAGAAAATCAGTACTTTATGGTAGTATTTACTGAGAAGAAAATAACACAGGTAGAATTTACAGGAGAGTGAATACTCCAAGGCAGAACCGCAGGGTTACCAAGAGCTCGCCCACAATTTTAGCGTGTACTTTTTAATCACGTCTTTTATAGTTTGAATTTGTTCCATTTTACATGTGGTTGATTTCAGTAGTGTTTATGGAACATCTTTCGTTTTATTTCTTTAACACGGAAGTACCTGCTTTATTTTTCATTATTTATTTCAAATCTATTTTTTCTACATAAGTATTTTCTCATACATACCCTAGTGAGTGGTTTGTTTTGCATTCTCCAATATCATTTGTCACATAACTCATTTTTTGTTAAATTTTATTTATAATTTGTATATTTCAGGCTTCTTTGGCGAATCTTCCCAGTTAATTATTTAAAATACATTGACACATCATGAATATTTTTAGATTTTTTCCGAAGCGTCTTCATAGAGCGTAGTAATACCGAGAAACTTTTTTTTTTATATTCCATATTAAACGTCGAGTAGTCTTCCCTCCTTAACGGTGTCTCTGATTGGACGAGACTACCAATTTCAACGCTTGCTATCAATTCAAAAAGACACTCGCTTCTTTATATTCATCGATGTAAAATAAAATTTGAACAATTTCAGATCATCACCATCCATACAAGATATTAAATACAGTCCAACGTCTTTTCTTTCTAAATCATCGCCTTCTGAACGTCGTACGACAGATTATGAGAACTTTGAACTACCTTTTCGAAGTCCAACTCGCGCCAGTCCGTCCTCAAAGTCACGCAACGCTTATGAAATTTTGCCACCGCATATCTTGCATGCTCCTGTTGAACCTGGAAGTCCCAAACCAGATGCTCAAGGGAGAGTAAGACCCCCTCTTCCTAAACCATATCGTCAAAAAAGTCAAACCCAAAGCGAACAGAAAAGTACGGAAGTGTTTTTCTTTTTTCCGATTATTTCTTTCATGTATGTTGTAAACCTTGCAGTTCTAATTTACAGATTCTGCTGAAGATGATTACTGCACATTAAGAGAGGCTTTTTCTGGAGTCACGAGTCCTACCGATGAATTCAATTCTCCTTATCCACCTTTTTCCCCTCCTTCACCAACAACGGCCTGTGACGTGCTTCTGCATGCCTTCGAGGCACAGGCTGAGCGTAATACTGAAGAAAGTGACGAGAGTAACCGAACAACCTCTGATACTCTTGACGATTCCCGACCTCGAAACAGGTCCTTAAAGTACGAGAATGTGATGTTTGATCATCCATCTGCGTCTAAATTAGATGAAGACTCTGGTGCGAATACGAGCGAAAGCAGACATAAGGAAAATCTCCGATTAAGTTCTTTAGGTGATGGACCCATTGATGAATATGAAGAATGGAAAAAAGTAAGTACGTCAAAGAATTTCAATCAAAACGATTGTCATGAACGTAGCATTGACGAAAATTGTTTGAATAATATACGGTTATCCTACAACAAGACACTTTGTGGAACTTACTTAAAACGTACTGAAATATATTTCTACACATAATAGATAGAAAATTTTATGAATATTCTTGGCGAAGAAATTGGCGAGGAACGTAAAGAAGTCGAACACAGTAAGTTATCGCATATGTATAGCTATCTTCATATAACGGTAATAGGTGCGATAGCCTTGCTGTGTACAATTAACTTCCATTTGTTTTAGCGACAAGTGATGTTGGTAAGTGGTTGAGTGGTTTTGATCTTGGCTTGTATGAATCGTACCTTTTGGCCAACGGATTTGATGACATCGAGTTTCTGGTAAGTGTGACCTAAATTAGGGTATTTTGCTGTTTATATGGCGAGGAAATAACGTTTAGATAAATTGTTTGGAACGAATGATTTCATTATATGATGATTATCAAATAAATGTGGTAAATTGGTAGTGTACTTTATATATTGTTTTAATTCGTCTGATGATTGAAGCACATTGTAGTGACTTTACGGCAACATTTCATATATTATTGTACGGTTATATTTATTATATTTTATAAGTATTATAATATTGAGCATTAATATCGTTTCGATATTGTTATACGTATATTATACATACACAATATTATAAATAGAATTGATTGCTTGTAGGCTGGTGGTATATTAGAGGAACAAGATCTTCTTCAAATGGGCGTACTCGATCCTGTTTATAGAAGGTCAGTACACAAATAAATTTGATTTTCTAGTTTTCATGTATATAGACAAACTTCGAATCATTTTTGTGTACAGATTGTGCTGTGTGCAGCAGTTTTCCTGTTGTTAAATAATTGTAGTATGTTTCAAGTTTTTTTTTTATTTCTGTGTTTTGCTTTCATTCGCATCTTGCAGAAAAATATTGGATAACGTTGCGCAGCTTCCGCTGCCTCCACGTGTCGGAGTAAATAACTTTAAACCAAGTACTGTTGAAGAATGGCTAAATGCTTTGCGTCTGGAGGAATATCTTGATCTCTTTCATCAAAAAGGTTATGATTCTATTGACAGAATAAAACAAATGTGGGAACTGGAACTGGAGTCGGTAAGTCATTTCATTTTACTGATGGCACTTCTCAGAAACTCGATGTATTCATATTCCACATTTCTAAGACATGTGCACTTGCTGTTTTCCTGTTTTTATATGATGGACTTGTTTTCATTTGTCAATTTTTTGAACAATAATCGTGAAAACGAATTTATACACTAAAAAGTACTAAAGCAAGTTTAGGAGTTTATCATATGTTTTATAATTATTGAATACTGTCTTCAGTACCGACTTAAGCCGTTGGCTGAAAATATAAACTCTTTCCTTTCATGTAGATATTAGCAATTCACACACTAGGTCATAGAAAGCGAATTTTGGCTTCATTACCGGAGGTCAAACGACGTGACACCTTGGTATGGTAAACCAATTATATGATCGAATTTTTTTTGTATGTTATGATAGTTATCACAATTTATCAGTTGAAACTTATCACAATAGAATAACATATATGTATCTTTGTCATTGTCAATACATCACCATAGAATACCATATCTCTCCTTATCATTGTCAATACATCACCATAGAATACCATATCTCTCCTTATCATTGTCAATACATCACCATAGAAAATACCATATCTCTCCTTATCATTGTGCATACATCACCATAGAAAATACCATATCTCTCCTTATCATTGTCAATACATCACCATAGAATAACATATAACCATCATTGTTAAATACGTTGCCATAGTAATTACATTACTTTTTGTCTTGTATGTGTTTTCATCATAATTACGTGTACATTTCCCTAACATATGTAAATCTAAAATCTTCTTACCATAGTTTTTTACCACACGGTATATCTCCTTCCTGTGTTCGTTAGCATACGCAGTCTACTTTGTAAAAAGCGAAGGAATTTCTTGTTTGATAAACAAACACTGAGATAACGTCTTCTCTGATATATTTGTGAACTAGGAATATTTAATTGTATATATTTTGTTGCGTGTTTTAATTTTATTTGTGAAATTGGTTTTTTGTAGATTGTATCAGCTGAGGACATCAAAGATCGCTTAGCTGAGATTGACGTGTTTGGAGGTGAACGAAGAGAGACTTTGGATATGGTCAATCCTGGGATATATCAATGGAAATCCTCTGGTTTTCATCAACATTCTTCCACAACAGACGGCAGAAATGCCACGGAAATAGTACAGTTTAAAGAAGAGCAAAGTCACAATGATTTATCACAAAATGGAAAAACATCGAGAGACGGTGAACGAAAACATCGACAACAACAACAGGAGATACCACAACCAAAATTTATGCATAAACAACAAAATCAGCAGAAAGAACATGCGCAACTTCCCTCACAAGTGCAAGCGCCACCACAAAAATCGGAACAACAACAACAGGTATTATGTAAATTCTGTGATCTTCTAACCGTTGGATCTTTTGCTTGTAAAATGACAAGAATTGAATAAATGATCTTATTAATGAAATCTTACTTCCACTTAGATACCTGGCATTTGAACTAAAAAATTTAAACATTCGTATTTTAGATATATTTTACGAACGATAAATTAGCATGCAATAACCGAAATGGACAGTTGTCCATAAAATGTCATCAAGTTTCAACGTACCCATTACAGTCGGTTATCTTGTACGAAGATATTTTTTAGTAATTGTAGATTTGCACTAATATGCTCAAGATGTAGATTATCAAGGTTAGTAGAGTCCTTAGAAGGACTGTCGGCGTTGATGTTGACTGACGTTTCGACAACCTTAGCGGTAGTCATCTTCAGAGTCAATATCAACACCAAGAGTCCTTCGCAGGACTCTACTAACTTGGATGATCTACATCTGCAGACAATGTAACGATACACCTGGGCTCAAACCATTCACCAAATTTGCCCAATTACGAAGTTGGACTTTGTAAAAGTACCAATTTTGCGCGCTTATTTTATTATTTGTTTCTCTTCCTCGTGTACATAATGACTTATTTCTATAGGACCCTACTAAGGTCAATATTCAAAGGAACGGTAGTCGTTCACCACAATGGAATCACCCTCCTGAGGCATTGCTGAGGGGAAGTGTCAATTATACAACCAAGGTAAGGGTTAAATAGCAGATAGCGTTTTAAAGTCCTGAGCCTTGTCGTGCAAGCTTTGATATAAGAGCATTTACTTCGACTTTCTTATAGTATCTTGGCTCTCATTTCATCAAAGATATAATTGGAGAATCATCAACCATTGAGGCTTGCAGAAAAATGAGGGTAGGTATGATTAGTTTAATTATAATCTTGGCCAGTCACGTGCTTATTTTATGTTCTATTCATTCCATTATCTTTGCTACATTGCTTGACATTTTACTTCTTAGCGGGAACAGTAATGATAAAATTTTATTTTGTTTTTGTTCATCACTTTAAAGCTTTTATTTTTGTATGAATTATTAACACGCCAAATCTCTTTCAAGATGACTAAGAACCTCATTTACTTTATTTTGAGAAGTGAAGTCATGAAACGTCACGTGGTGATAGTGCCATATCACACGTGGTGGCGTTCATAATACTTTTCATCCTCGACTTTTTAAAAACATTCTCTTTTAAGGCCTTGAAAACAACGACAATAAAACAAACACATAAAACCTATTTTTACACGTATTTTTTCGATGTAAAACGTCGACCACATCATCTGAATCTTGAGTCATCTTTTTTTTCTGGTAAATGATTTCCTTCCTTGCAAAACTGATAATTTCATTTGACGTCGTGTTTGTCACGATGTCAGACCAGCATTTTAAGCTGAAAATTATCTTTCTGGAGTCACCATTGTGGCTTGCAAACTATTATATATATTTTTTCAAAAGATGTCCACACAGAAACTTCAAAAGATTCCTGCTGTGATTCTATCAATATCTGTAACTGGAGTGAGATTTATTGACGCCAAGTCTAGGGTGAGTTTTCTTTTAAAGACCACTATAAATATCAAATATGCACTGCGATTGGAGTTATGTTGGCGTATCTAGGAGACCCTGCAACTGATCTTGATCATTTTTAGTGTCAAATGATAGAATATTGATAGAATGTCTAATTGACCTACAATATTTTTGTTGAAAACTCACCATTACCAATACTTAGTAACTGAACTTTAAGGAAATATTTTTGCTACGTTGGTCTCTTACTTTCTGTTCATGCCTTCTCAGCACAGTCTCTTTAGAATTGCCACTTTTTTCTCTCTTTGTGTTTACGTAAGTTATAAAATTTAAACTTTTAAACGATTGAAAAGTTTATGTTTTATTTTAGATCGTAATTAGCTCACACTACATCCACAACATATCATATTGTACTCAAGATCTTGAAGATCGCTCTGTCTTGGCTTACATCGCTAAAGATCAAAAGGCAAATGCACATTATTGTCATGTTTTTAAAGTTCACAATTCCGTAAGTCAAAATTATTTTAACTTCGTTTTATATAATAATTTTTTAATGGATAGTTTGGCGCATGTTTGTAATTTTTGAATCGTCCAAAGTTAAAGTGTTAAAGCATCCATGATTACTTTTTATTAGCTTCAATGCATGTATCATTTGCCCTTACAGGCAGTATCTGATGAAATTGTAATGACCTTGGGACAAGCTTTCGAGGTATATATAATAATTGGACCAATATGAATTTACCTTGAATTGTTCTGTGTTCATTGATATGTTTGTCTTACTTTTTTCTATAGCTTGCCTATGAGCAATACACGCATGCGCAATACACTAGCGGAAACAAATAAAGACATGGCCAGTGAGTGATGTTTCTTGCCAAAATGAAAATTAACAGCAATAGCATTTATCGCCTTTTACAAACCCTTTTTTCTCCTGTTGCGTTTTTCATTCAACCAAAAAAGGAATTTTTTTTAATTATGTTCAGTGCAGCCTTATCGTAGGTGAAGTCAGTATCGCATGTTTTAGTCCTGCTATGTAAACTTCCCGAACATGGTCGTTATTGTTTTCACAGTGATCAAACACATAAAATTTATGTAGTACGACTAAATAAATGGGTTTGGCTTCATCGCTGAACCTAACGCACTCTTTTTAACAGTAAAACGTCCAACAATGAAACGACCGTCAGAAGAAAAGGTGGAACCTCAAACAAAATAACACAACCTAGTTTTTTAGGCATTTTCTTTTGCCTTCCATGTATAATTTTAGCCGTGGGCTATATCTTTTGATATTAAATATTTATAGTATTTAATGTTCTTTTAAAAGCACATTTTTGTGCTTCAATATTAATTATCACAATTGCTAGGCCATAACTTGTAGTATTTCAAAGATGAAAGCAACATATATTTTGAAGTGAAATAGCAATTTATTTTATATGTTAGAGGTATTCATTAGTAGAATCAATTTATTTTTTACCTCAGCTGTACATTCGCGAAATGAAATATAATATTTTTTTAAGAACAGTAAGTTAAACTTCGTTCAACTGTCGTCAATAGAATGTAATCATTATATATATCGCGGGTGAACATTTCTTTTTCGGCTTCGGAAACCATATTTAAAAACGAGTTTCCGAAACTTCGTTAGTATTTTCTTGCCTCTACGCTTGAATATGTGAGTGGAATATTATGGTCCATTGGTATTAAAGAACGAAAATGCGTTCGTAGTTTGTCCACTGGCATCGAGGAAAGAAAATCCGTTTGCAGTGCCAACCAATGAACTAAAATACATGGAACGCTACCTAAAGCAAAAAATTGAAACCAAATCTTACACCCAGACACGCGTGTGTAGCGTTTCGAGTTCTGAAAATTGATTGACTACACACGCGTGTCTGGGTGTAAAATTTGGCTTTAAGAATGTATTAGACTTTTCTATTACAGGCAGCGTTCCATGTATTTTAGTTCAATGGTGCCAACAGAGTTGGTGCACTGGTACCGGGAGAGAAAATATACTTGCAGTGGAAGCCAATCTGACAACCAGTGCTGTAGAAGTGGCGGCGGGGGGGGGGAGGAGTCCCCTTCTACCTTTGAAATGGGTAATTTTTCATAATTTCATGGCTTCAGCTTCGTCAAGAGGGCCCCCAGACTGATAGATTTAGTTCTACAGCACTGGTGACAACCGATCTGATTGCTGCACTGAAACCGCAGAGAAAACGCATTTGCAGGTAATAGCCCGGTGCCAACTCGACAGAGCCAGGTCTCTATTAGCCTGCATCCGCAGACTATTTATATTATTATATTATATACAAGTATATAGTCAACGATGCTGGCTAGGTTTCACATTGCTTTCTCATAACTCTAATTATTCATTGTTATCAATGTATTAGATGTCCTCTAATTTTACTGCTTCTTCAACACCGTGCACTATGCAATGCAAGATCGCGAATGCAATGTTTAAAAAATTATTTTCACACCCCCCTCCCATCCCCAAGTATTCGTTACTCAATGAAACCATCCAAACTTTACATGTGTACATATGCGCTTTGCGCACGTTATAAATTAGCTGGTTCTCAACTTGTAATAATCGAGTATTGTTGTACATCGTATTCCTGTGTATGAGAACTATATTTATCTAGAAATGGCTCATACAGTTCCAGAAACGAGCGAATTCGAAGATGGTATGTCAGCGAAACAACTTTTTCAGTCTGGACAAGGAATTACATATAAGTAAGTCTTTGCGTAAAAAATATTTCCTACTGTCGCAGATTTATAAGCTATTCTTGAATCCAGATGTTGGTAAATGTTTTAATTGCCAATAAGCACACTGTACTGAGATATGAAGATTAATGGCAATTATGAATTTGACAATGATGACTAAGAACATCAAAAAATGGCTCCACTGCGCATTTTACTAACTTTTTGTATTGTTTGACTATAATATAATTAAACGAAAGATGGGTTTAGGTATGCAAGCAAATTTGGAGTTAATGTTTGACGTTTTTTTGTTTGTCATAAAAAATACTGTTCATTGTCTTCTTTAAAAAGTTAGTGAAGTAAAAATTGAGATTTGTTAATCATATTATATTGACTGGCGAACAACTTACCTGGATTTTAAAATTAGATGCAACTTGCCAACAGTGGCGTAGCCAGCCTGCAAGTTTGGCCCTGCTATGTAAATTTCAGATCATTTACATTATTCAATGTAGAAATCAGAAATTCAGAAATCTGTTGTTTTAACAGTGAGTAAACACAGAAAAATTAACATAGCCGGACCAACTTTGCGGGCTGGCTACACCACTGCTTGCCAAGGTTGCACTATTGCTTGGCCCAATTATATGGTCAACTGTATTCTATTTCTTATAAAATTAACAAATCTTTTCATTAATTTAGTGATTTCATCATTTTACCTGGCTACATTGATTTTACACCAGATAAAGTGGTGGGTATACCATGCTTTTTATGACTTCTGCATTGAATGTGCATCAAAATACATGTATCTTTTTTTTAGGATTTAACTTCTTCATTGACAAAGAAAATAACTCTTAAAACTCCATTAGTTAGCTCACCAATGGATACTGTTACTGGTAAAAGAAATAATTTCTATAATGATCATTGATCCAATAATGAATGAAATATGAACTAGCTTGCATTTTTGTTGATTCTACATCAATCTTGTATTTTTTGCATTTAGCAAATAAATATAATACAGCTATTCTAATCGTTTTCTAAAGTAAAAGACATGAATTATAGTTAAAATCAACGATATGCATTCTGATTTTGATAATGTAGTTTAAAACCTGGCCATTCCTAGTTCTTGTTATGTAAAGTTGAGTGTTATTCACTGTTTGACATAATTTTATGCTTAAGAACACTTAATATTTGTTGTATTTTTTACTTCACTGCAGAGTCCAGAATGGCCATTGCTATGGCGGTAAGTAATATTACCAAAATAACACCACTCCAACATAATGTTATATTTAAGTCCAAGTTTAATGATAATGGTATTTTTGTATGTGTTAGCTGCAAGGTGGTATTGGCATTATACATCATAACTGTTCAATTGAAAATCAAGCTAATGAAGTTCGCAAAGTTAAAAGATTTGAACAAGGATTTATCATTGATCCTGTCGTTGTTGGTCCGAATGCTCTTGTTAGAGATATATTTGAGATAAAAGAAAACCAGGGATTTTCTGGAATACCTGTTACTGGTGAGATGGAAAACATGCTACAAATTTTTTTCAACTTTTTCAGAATGATTCTCATTGTGGAAGTTCATCTGATGCTGCTAAGAATGGTTGATTTGTTTATTGCAATTCAACTGATACTTGTTGTAGTCCTGTTGTAGACCTAATTCATTTACCTACAAGGTGTTACATACTTAGCACTTTGTCATACAGAGTGATTCAATCTACTTATACTTAGGTTAAGGAATTTTCTATTTGTTCACTATACATAAGGACTGCTTCTTAATACAAATTAAGAAAGTTTACAAGTAGATAATGTCTGTTATCATTCCAGAACAAAGATAATATGTTGAAAATGGGTCCATCCATTTGTTGAATACTATATACAGCCATACATTTTCTATGTTTTAGAAAATGGTTCAATGGGTAGTGTAATGTTAGGTATTGTTACACATCGTGATGTGGATTTTCTTAACAGCAACAGTTTGTCAATGCCCGTAACTCAGGTAAATAACCTTAATTATTTTTTGTTCTATAATTTTTGAGTGCAAAATGCAACGACATGGATATAGATGACAATCTCTCTAATGACTATGAAATCCTGTTTATAATCCTGGATTAACATCCGGGGTAATAAAGGTAAATATTAAGGAAACTAATCTTAAATCTTAACTATTTGTATGTTGTTACATAGTGTTGCTTATTTCAAAACAAAATTCAAATCAAGTTGTTCTGCCTCCAACTTCTCATGTGACTGATGTGTGCAAATTACCTTTTTCCAAACTCATTTGAAAGCTATAGTATTAATTGTAATAATTAAAAAAAAGAAATTAATGACTTAGTTTTGTTGTCTTTGAAATCAGGTGATGACTCCAAGAAATAGATTGGTTGTGGCAAAAGCTGGTTGTACACTGACTGAAGCTAATAAAATCCTCCAGGAAAGCAAAAAAGGTTTTTACTTCATCAGATACATTAAATATAATGTCTTGTTTCATCATGATGTATTAATTTAGCAATGTAAAATATATTTTAATTGGCAGGGAAATTACCAATTGTAAATGATCAAGACGAACTTGTTTCTCTTATTGCAAGATCGGATTTGAAGAAAAGTCGTGAATATCCTCTAGCATCCAAAGATAACTCACAACAACTTCTTGGTATCAATAAATACATTATATATAATGTTGTGTTTTGTTAAGTGTGTGTATGGCTACATTTAATCTTTGTTTGAGTGATTGAGTTCTTTTTTAAATGACATCTTGGAGTTGCAATGTATAATGCTGTCAAAATTTACATGGCTTTTTTACATTGCTGTCAAAATTTACATGGCTTTTTTACATTGTCATCAAAATTTACTTGGCTTTTTTACATTGCTATCAAAATTTACATAGCTTTTTTACATTGCTGTCAAATTTACATGGCTTTTTTACATTGCCTTTAAATTACATGTTTTTTTTACATCGTCGTGTATTTACGTGGCTGTTTTGCATATTTGGTCATATGTTGATCGGCAGTAAATATGATCACTTTCCTGATCTTTATGTTAACTATGCATAACCCAAAGTATTTTCAATGTTTTTTCATGAAGTATATCTTAAATGTTTTTCAAATTATTCACTTTCTGATCAGTTAATTTAACTATTATTGTATAATTAATCATGTATCTTACATAATATCATATCATATATTATGTTAACATATACTACTTTACACGTAGTGTGCATTCTGATTGGCTACCCTACTAGTATGCTTTAGCTTGTATACAATATACATGCATTAATGGGCCAGTTTGGCCTTGGTATTCTTAAACTTACTTATTATTCACGGTCGTTTGCCGTTGAGATGATTATAAATTTCGCAGCCTACCTGTCGAAGGCCTTGTCGAAGAAAATGTTGATCTCGTGAGAACGAAACTAGTTATCTATTTCTTTTAAACATTGTAGTTGGTGCCGCTGTGAGTACTCGTGATGAAGATAAAGAAAGAGTGAAAGCTCTGGTTGATGCTGGAGTTGATGTCATAATCTTAGATTCTTCGCAAGGCAACTCGACCTTTCAATTACAAATGCTTAAGTAAATATTATAAAAACTTGAATAATTTAAACTTTTAATCAACCTCATTAATAAAAAGACAGAAGAGCATCGATAAAATTTTATAATTATGCTTTTTTTTGTTGAAGATATCTGAAGTTCAATTTTCCTGGTCTACAGATTATTGGCGGTAACGTTGTAACTGTTGCGCAAGCTAAAAACTTAATAGAAGCTGGTGTTGATGGTTTACGGGTTGGTATGGGTAGTGGATCTATTTGTATAACACAAGAAGTTATGGCTGTTGGTAGATCTCAAGGAACAGCAGTTTATAAAGTTGCAAATTACGCCAAAGAATTTGGTGTGCCGATTGTGGCAGATGGCGGTATTTCCTCTGTTGGTTTTATAACAAAAGCATTAGCACTAGGAGCTTCAACAGGTAGGAAATGAGTTTTCTAATTTCTAGATAGCTGTTGCAGTGAAAGGATTACATAGCTAGAAACAACAGCTTCAAAAAGTAATTTTAACCTTTTTTATTAGGCTTGACTGCAGATTTTTGCTAAAGCTAAGTATTTTAAATTTCTTTATTCATTTTTGTTCAATAGTAATGATGGGATCGCTTCTTGCTGGTACATCAGAAGCACCAGGAGAATATTATTTTGCTGACGGTGTTCGATTAAAGAAGTATAGAGGTAGGTGCATTTACATAATAAAGAAACTTTACGTTATTTGGTCAGATTTTATATAAGTTATAACCAGAAGGTGATGGACTGTCATTATTCTGAAATCCACGGTTCAAGAAATACTTTTGTAACTGAAGAAATAGTAAGTTTGCATAAATGCATGCGACGCCTGTGTTGTACATTAAGAATTTTTAAGAAATTAAAATGAGATTGTTTATTTGTAATTCATAAGAACGTGTCGTATTCTAACTTCCTTAGACTTTAAAATACTCTCGTGTAGCCAACCATAGTGCAGGAATATCATGCATTGTATAAAATGAAATAGTAGTATACACTAAATTAAAATATAGAAGTATTGAAAAATTGTCTTGTAAAATAACTGCCATAACAACTGGAATCTTATTTCACCGTAATTAGTCATTGCTTAGCTTCATATTCCAAAACGGTTCTTGTTTCTATTTCTATATTTCGTTGTGTTTCGTTCAACGTGGAAATGCATTAAATAGTTCCATTTTAGTGAACTGTTGGGATCTCTGAAAATGAGAACTGATATTCATTATAGAACAACAGTATGATCTTATCTTTTACTGTTATGTGTCTTCATTGTGCTTTTTATAGTTACAGTAAATTTTTTCATTCATTTAAATAATTTTTTCTTCATTCATTGTAATGTACGTAGTAATATTTTAATTTTTCTAATTCATAACTTGGTTTTTGTCTATTATTAGGAATGGGATCATTAAATGCAATGGACGTAAATAAATCTAGTCAGGCTAGATATTTTAGGTAAATTACCACTTATCTTACTTGTTGGTTAGATTTGTTCTCCGTAAATTTGCCTGCTTTTTACTTAGCAATTTCCTGTTATCAAACACTTTACAAGACGTTTGTTTCTTTGCAGTGAAAGTGCTAGAATCAAAGTAGCGCAAGGTGTTTCTGGTTCGGTTATAGACAAAGGAACTATTCATAGATTTGTGCCTTATCTTATAACGGGTATACAACAAGGTTGTCAAGATATTGGAGCATGTAGTTTGAAGAAATTAAGGTGAGCTGTTTGTTAGCTTTACATCAGTATCGTTACGATGTGGTTAAGACGACAGATGTTGTTTCAATGGTAATAATTCCGTGTTTTACAAATACACGAAATCGTTCATGAAACCTCATTCTTACAGTACACTCATTCTTAGAGATTGGATCAGAGATCAATTTCGCATATTGTAAAACATGAAATCATAGAATGTTTGTATCTCACGTCAATCATATTCACCATGTTGTGTACCAATTGTAAAAAGCATTTGATATTAATCATAGCCACCATGTTGTGTATCAATTGTCTCTGACGTCAATCATAGCCACCATGTTGTGTACCAATTGTCTCTGACGTCAATCATAGCCACCATGTTGTGTACCAATTGTATCTGACGTCAATCATAGCCACCATGTTTTGTACCAATTGTCTCTGACGTCAATTATAGCCACAATGTTGTGTACCAATTGTGTCTGACGTCAATTATAGCCACCATGTTGTGTACCAATTGTATCTGACGTCAATTATAGCCACCATGTTGTGTACCAATTGTATCTGACGTCAATTATAGCCACCATGTTGTGTACCAATTGTATCTGACGTCAATTATAGCCACCATGTTGGGTACCAATTGTATCTGACGTCAATTATAGCCACCATGTTGTGTACCAATTGTAAAGAGTAATGAAGTTCTTTTGTTTGTAATACCAATATGGCGGCATCCTCAGTTGTGATGTTCATCCCTGGGAATGAGTGAAAATGCTTTATAACCGTTGGCATTGTTTGGAGTGTCATGTTGCTTGTAAATGAATTATGGCTGTTGCCCTCATTATTTACTGTCGAAACATAGTTGCATAACAGAGTTGTTTTAGTCACTAGAAAGACTAACGCACTGAATTATGTAGACGCATATCTTTTATGTGAGGGGTAGGTACTGTTCATGTTACAAAATTGCTATAATTCTAAGCAGTGTGAGAGATAACCCGATCCCCGACTGTTTTCTGGATTTTTTGCATCTCTTTATTTTCTGTAAATCTCATTTTTAAGAGAAGGTCTGTAAATTACGATAAAGATGTGAGCATTATACCTCTATAGAAACATGACTTACAAAGGTGAAACAAGGTTTGAAAAAAGGACGGTATCCGGTCAAATTGAAGGTGGCGTCCATGGATTACATTCGTAAGTTCGTATTTTGAAAATTGAAATTCATTTATGCCATGATTTAAGACAACAGCTAGGCAAAGGTTTTTTTCACGAAAACCACTGCAATAACGTCACAGAAGAATGAAAATGTTTTTAATATGTATGTGATGAAGCTTAATAACTCACAATACTGAATTTACTGTGGTGTATCTGTGATCATTTCAGGTATGAGAAGCGGTTGTTCTAGGTGTTTGGTGTCGGGAATGCATATAATAATTGAAATGTTATGTGTACAAGCAGGAACATATAAGTTAATTTAATGTTACGGATGGTACATCATGATGGTACTTGTCTGCGAATGTACAAAATTTGCATCATTTATAAAATCTTCAACGTTGTGTGAAATGAACAATCGCCGAATTTATTCATTCATCAAAAACAATTTTCAAAAAGCACGAAGAATTTACTAGTTTCAGTAGTTCTTCCACAGTAAGTTTTTAAGCTGTATTGGGTTGTCTATGTTGCCTAATTTTTGTGTAGAAGTTAAGGAGTCTGAAAATAGGCTGCCTGTATTCAACCAGTTTTGTTTTGTTTTGTTTGTTGCTTTTTTTTTGTTAAAATAATTGTTTTAACACACTTAAATTCTTTACATTGTGTGAACTTTTTTGATTGTTTAAAGCAATCATAACTTCTACGTACGTTTGTCCTATGACGTCCTTTACCGCGACATGTTAGAGGAGACATTGACCCCCACCGCCACCCCACCCCCGATAATTTGAGAGGACCACTGATAAACAGGTTTTTGGTAACGCTTTCTTCCAATGAATGAACACAAGTGACTTATTTAATAACAATGATCTTCTTTTGGCTGCTCCCTTATTCGGGGTCGCCACAGCGCGGTTTTTTCTCCAATATGATCTGTCCATCACATGATCTTTATTACTCCCATGTTCCTCATATCATCCCTCATTACATCCATCCACCTCCTGCAGGCCTTCCTCCTCTTCTCTGTACTGGCACTGCCGTTTTTTCCCAAATAATACTTTTTTCTCCTCTTAATATGTCCAAACCACTTCAGCCTTTTCTGTTTTAATTTCTGTCAAATTCTCGTGATTTTTGCAGTGCCACGAATGTACCTTATTATGTCTTTTCTCGTTACTCCAAGTGCCCATCTGACCATTACTTCTGCTACTTTTAGCCTTTCCACTTGTTTTGCTGTCACTCACTGTATCCTCTGCATGTCGTAAAAGGCGACAGAGGTTGCGACCGGAAATGCATCCTGCTTAAAAATGTAGCCAAATCATGTAATGCATAAAAATACTTCGAATAAATGCCGCATTCTCCAAAGTTCAGAGAAGTACGTAAATAAGTGCGCAGCCCAGTTGTATGACCGTTATAAAATCTAAATAGCCTGACCAAAACTGGCTACGTCACTAGGATAAATGATATTGCTAAAAGTTGTTACGATTCGAACAATTCCGCGAATGCGCATGCCTGATGAGTAATATTCATGTGGAAGTCTGGGTACGATCAAAGCCCTTGATAAATAGTATACGGGTGTTCGTTGGTCTTTTCTTTCTTGTGTTCAAGGTAAAGAGTGGTTTTATAACACGTGCTTATTATGTCTTACAATTTGCTCAGTGTCCATATTAAATACTGTGGGATTGTAAAAGAAAATTCATATTTGTAGATGTCTTCCGGACGTGGTCATGGCGTAACTGTAAAAGATGTGAATCCACATGATTTTGTAAAGGCATTCGCAGCCCATCTAAAGAGGTTAATGTTTTTTTGTAGATTTTACTTATTTTTGTGCAATGTTTTATGAATTAAAGTTGTTGTGGGTGAAATTTTGGAACGTCATGACACAAGCTTATACTAGGCTACTAGCTAATCTTGATTCTAAACTGTATCTTTAAATTTACCTTAATCTAATGTAGTGGTGTACAGCATATCATGACTGGTGGTTATATGACAGGGTATTCCTTAACTTTGCCTTCATTTGTGTAATACAACTTCTATGGCCACAATTCATAAATAAGAAGAGTCAATAATACTGAATTTTTAGCCTTACGTGTGAGCTAAACTCAAAAGCTTGTATACTGTGCACCCAGGACTCGAAATTTGCATGCATAAATGCCTCGTATTCTCAAACTTTTTAGTCTGGTATGTGAGTGAGTAGCAAAGGTAAATAGGAATAGTCAGGATGAGACAATTAAGACTTCATGGTGTGCTTGTATTGAGAAAGTGCAATTTGATTACCATATATGAATGAAAAGTGTGTCCATTTCACCTTGGATGTTCCATTTTCCTAATATAAATGCCATTAAAATTTGTGTGAGTGCTTAAGAAACTTATTTCATAGAGGAATGAAATATTTGGTATTGGACATTCGAACTACTTTTATAAAGCAGATTTTATTCATTTTCTTTTTGTTAAATGATTCGTAGAAACCACAGGTTTGCAATAAATATCCATGGTATAACAACATTCATGTTTTTGTTTTCACAATTGAAGGAGAAAGATTGATTTTCACACCAGCACACCAAACTTTCCATGAACATGACAGTACAAAAACATTTATGTTGTATTATACATGTAGTCATTTAAACCACAACTCAAATATTTTTAGACATACTCTGAGTTTACACATTTTTTTTCATTAGTTTCTAATGCATTCAATAAACATTGATTGATATGTTCAATTGCTGTTTGAACACAGGTCCTCAACTCTGGAAAGTTCAAAAACTGTGCACCTGAGTTTTAAAAATTTGCATTCATAAATGACTGTTTTCTCATCAAAATTGTACACCCGAGATCTTTGGTGCACGGTACATACTTTCCAGTCTTGCTCTGCACACCATTGAAGCAGTGTTTAGAAATCTATACTAAATACAATATCAGAAATATACAATCAATTATTTATGATAAGCCAAATGTGTAAATATCATTTCATATTCTGAAACCATTGTTTATCTTTTGTTGTAACATTATTTGCAATACAGACACATGTTGAGAAAGTATAACTTCTATGAATTGTTGCTAGCTTTATAAAGAAGGAAATTCAGTTTTTGATTAGGATTTTTAAGTGATGTAACTTTTCGTAAAACCTTTTAGGCAAGGGAAGCTTAAGATTCCAGATTGGGTTGATCTTGTAAAAACAGCAAAAAGGAAAGAGCTTGCTCCATATGATCCAGATTGGTTCTATACTAGGGCAGGTCTGTCTCTGCAATTCTTATAATAATTTATTTAGTATGTTATTAGTTAATAACTGTAATCCTTTGGTATTTTAGCTTCTATTCTTCGACATGTGTACCTTAGAGGTGGTGTTGGAGTTGGTGCAATGACCAAAATTTATGGAGGTAAAACACAAATTTTATGTAGACCTTTTTCAGCAGATTGCAGGAAAACTTCATTGATTTTGTACAATTAAAGTTGGTATTAAGAAATTTGTGTATCGCTGTTATAATTACTAAATTTTGGAATTTTTAGGAAGAAAGCGACGAGGTTCAAAACCTTGTCATTTTGAAAAAGCTTCTTCATCTGTTGCCCGCAAAGTTTTGCAGTCTTTGGAACAACTTAATTTAGTTGAACAACATCCAAATGGGTATTATGTTAATGTTATTATCGTTGGTATCAATAGTCAATTTGCTATTATTTTTCTTTTTATCTATCATTATTTTTTATTATTATTTAGAATTATTACAATTCTTTCTATTAGTATGTTTGAACAGGTCGACTTTTTCAGACAGATACTGCTTGCCATACATTTATATTTTTGTGTAATAAATTTATACTGCTTATCCTGAAAAAATTAAACTTTTTAGGGGACGAAAAATAACTTCTCTTGGACGCAAAGATCTTGATCTTATTGCTGGACAAGTAAGTTGTCATTTTTGGATTTGGCTTGCTTTTTACATTTTTGCTATTTGCAACAGATATAACTATCTAACTTTTAAAGTGTGAATAATTTTTTGAATTTACATTTTATAGATTGTTCATGCTGCTGAAAATAAGTCATAATTTTGGTTGAAGAAACATGAAAATAAATAGTTTTTGCTCTTGAAACTTGTCTATCTTTTGCTCAAAACTTCTATGTCTTTTAACATCTTCAATTTGTTTTGCCAACAAATTGCATTCCTTAGTATAGACTTTCTGGAGTTGATATTGATAAATTTTGTGCATCATAACAATTATGGTGCACAATGTATAATTTCTCTAGTATATGGCATAATCTAGGGAAATTAGAGAGAAAAGGTTGAAGTATGCATTTCGTTTTTGTTTGTTGTAACCCATCATGCATTTGTGGTTTACAGGTTTTTCATCCTTTTGCACTTAGCCTTGCCTACTCTACTGTCATAGTGTGAACTAGTCAACTACACCACTCCTTTATTCTTATTCATTCAAACCCAATTGCTCACAAACGTCATTATTTCAAGTATGCATAGGTTCCCTTGACTACTGCTAGCATGGGTACCTAGGATCCCAACACCAGTGTGCGAATTAGTTCAGAAAAAACGATGTGCAATTTTTTTGACAAAAGTGTTTCTTTAGAGCATAATCAAATTGATATTACGTTAATTATTATATAGCGCTAATTGCTAAATTAATATTTTTAAACGTGAACAAATTCATATGATTTACGACAGTGTTTCGTTAAAACCGCGTATTTTTGCACATCGTTTGAAATAGTGATGTGCAATTGTTTTCATTTTAGCTAAAACGATGTGCAAATTGCACATTGCACACCGTTAATTCGCACACTGCCCAACACGTGACCCTCATAGACTTACAAGTGCTAGTATTTTAAAATTTATAAATAGTATGACCAAAAATTCTAAAAATCAAGTATGGAATTTACTGTATTATAAATTGACAAAATTTGGTCATTCAAAAAACAGCACACTATGACATGCTACAAAAACATAATGGAATTTGTTATTTATTTAAATATTTAATTTACTGGGGTATAAAGGGTACTTGTGTGGTTAAAAACATTTTGCTAAATCACTACTATAACTAAAATCCTTTATAATAGCAAAGCATGTGGTTTTTGTAAGGTTTCTTGATCATTTTTGATAAGCAAAACAAAAACAGTTAAAAGGGATTTGTTGAGAAAGCTTTTAAGTTTCCCATTTGGCTAAGTCCTGATTGTATGTGTGCAATATGTATCTCTACATTGTTTTGAAATGAGCTGGCATTGACAGGGTCAATCATTTTCTTCAAGTCTTGAAGACTGTCAACAAGACCTTTTAATTCAAAAGAATTAAGGTCACTTTCTGCCAGCACCTTCACCTGGAATAATAATGATGTTAGTCCAGAAATCAAGCGAAGAGTGGAGCCACTTTGTACATCTTGATCGATTTCACAAGATAATTGGTCAACCATAAACTTGGCCAGCTTTTTTGGTGACTTCTGTAATCCATCAGACCGATCTGAACACTGCCCTTCTTGCTGTGAATTCATTGTTTCACAATACTCATTGACTTGCATCAAATATTTGTTAAGTTCTGTGTTAAGTCTTTCTAGCTCTAAGACTACCTCAGCATATTTTCGTTGAAAATCACGCTCTATGGGTATCTGGTAAGATTTAAGTTTTTCAGCATCACTGTTAAAGTTTTTTAATTTGTCAACAAATTCTCTTTTTGAAGTTAAAACTTTGGATAATCTGGTCACAAGAGCAAGAAACTTGATTGGAAAACCACCCACTGTATGATTACCCTTTTCTAGTACCTCCTGTAGTTGAGCTCTAGTTGGCGATTTGTTTACTAATGAGTCTGGAATCGCAGGCAGTTTATGTCTAACAGAATTTATATGAGAAAAGTTAGCAAGCCTTGGACGTTCTTTTAATTCAAAAGACGAAATTGGCATTGTTTCTTCCTCTTCATTGCTTTGAATGTCAATGTCCATGACTGACTGAGTCCCAAGTTCTGGGATATCAAATTTTACCCTATAAGTTGATGCAGTGCTGTCAACAGCATCAATTTGACCAGTATAAATACCACTAAGAGGTTTGTGTAACCGAGCTGAAACTTTAGTGCCAATCACTAGAGGCACTGGGATTTCCTTTGGTAGATCTTTGAATTTTGATAATTCAGTCACTTTCCTTTGCTGAAGAAGACGAATTTTCTGCCTTTTATCCTCTAGCGCAGATCTTTCTTCGTTAAAAAATGATTGTGAACACCGACGTGGCTTACCCATCAACCTTCTTACTTCTCTCCACTCGATCCTACGCAGTTTCTTAACGTTTAAATTTGGAAAATGCTCCTTGATGCACACATAAAAATCATTATCAGTTAGTAAGAGCGATCTATCAATACTAGAATAAAACCATTCAAAATAGCACCATTTGAAGGCCTTTGGTAGCTTCAACAAATTTTTTAATTTAGACATCAGCTCTGTGGCTGTTTGTTTACTCGGAGAACCTATAAAAGTGTAACTTTCAAGCTTCACTGGTCTCCGTGATTTTCTTCGCGGAGAACCGAACGATACTGCGGTCATCGTATAATCTGTTAAGTGTAGACCATCCACTGTTTGTGTTTCGCTTCCATAAGATGTTCGCAGAGAGGGTTGATTCCCTCTCAAACTAACCAGAGCTTGCGCGGATGACTCCAGTGCAACAGAATCATCGCTTTCCATTTCTTCATAAAATTCAACATTAACTATTTTTACTTTCTAATAATATTTTTAACCTATTCAATTTCACCGAAGAACACAATTTATTACTTCACAAAAATTTCAAAGATGGCGGTTTCTGGACGTGTAAAATTCTGGCCATGCGCAGACCAAACTAAAAGATAGCAACGTCATGGTTTCCATAGTTGATTTCACATGTTTCCACTGTTAATTTCACAAGCAGTCAGGTAGGTTAAAAAACTTAAAATACAAGCTATAGACTGACTTGTTTATTTACAATGACTATTACTTTTCAAGTTTATTCTGGCAAATGCTCTCTAATAAACGCCTTGTCCAATATACATTCTTTTTCTATTCAAGCCCCCCTCTCTCAGTCTTTGGTGCTCAACAAACGCATCTGACGTGTTTCTGTTCAGGTGTTGGAATACAACACCTTCTACATGTCAACCACAATAGCTGTACAAAAAAGCAGTATTGTTATAATACAATTAATGAGCATATTAATACATTTCAAAGGTAGTGAATTTTTGCTTGTACAAGACATTAATGAACAAAACATTCAAAGCTTTGCAAAAAATTGTGGACACTGTTAAAAATCTACAAAACATTATATGGAAGCGTGATCGAGATTTTTAGTGCATTAGCACCTTTAGTAGGTTTTCATTTTCCACACACTAACTGCAAGAAGACAAATCTATTTTTATCTATTTTTTCATTTGTTGCGCAGCCGATGATGATTGACGTTGGTGACGCCTCCTCTTTCCTTACCTCACCTTTGATGACGTAGTTTGCACTTTGGCCTGTGTGTAAAACTCGGAATTTCCCAATCAGGCAAATATAATTTTCTCTTTGTGCTATAAAGAAACGTTGTGATCTCTTATAATATAGTTGTACTGGTACAAAAGATTGCATATGATGAATTACAAGCGGTCGAAGAAAGAAGAAAATCTTGTGGATCTTTCATGTCAGGGTATCGATAATTTCCCTACTTGTTTACAATCACAGTTTCGTGTGGACTTGTGTACCTATCTTGATCTAAGTGGCAACCAAATGAAATGTTTTTCTGGTGGTGATTTATCCTCCTTTCATAGCCTTGAAACACTAGATATTTCTTCAAATCAACTTGAATGTCTTCCATGTGGACTCTGTAAGCTGAATAAACTTAAAAGATTGTTTCTCAGAAACAACGCTCTTTTTGAGTTGCCACAATGCATCACTTCAGTTCGATGTTTGGAAATCTTAAATATTAGTGGAAACAAATTTGAAAACTTTCCACTTGAAGTACTAGATTTGTGTCGTTTAAAAGAACTCCATTTGGGAGGGAACTCTATCACTCAAATACCAAAAGACCTAGCAATGCTGTCTAGGTATTGTAGCCATCATTTGTTTATTGTTGTTTAAAGTACATTGTGATGTATTGAGAAATATCACTATTACTCGTGATGTTCCAATATTTTTTATAGCTGAAGAATTGATACATAAAAATTCTTTAATACTTTACTATCTGTGCCGCATGATTGTGCTTCTATTTTAGTGAGCAGAATATGGCACAAGCACACCTGGAATCACATTAGGTTATGGTTGCCTATTTAGGAAATATGTGATTTACATTGTCAAAGTTGCAGTTAATGAAAAATTGATAAAATTTCCACATATGTGCAATTTACAAGTGTACACCAATTCGGATTTAGTGAATCTTTGATTGTACAACTGATGATTTCTATTGACATAACTTGTTTGGTGCTCTTGAGATCTTGTAAAAATGTGTCACATTCTTCAAAGAGGCTCTTATCAAGGTCAAACATCTCTAGGCATGATAATTAAGCTTTCTTGATTGTATCATTAACTGCTTAAATTAACTTCCCTTTCTCTATGTTATTTAGTTTGGAATACTTGTATCTTGGTGGAAATAAATTAAAAGAATTACCTGTGGAAATAGGAAAGTTAACAAATCTCAAGTTTCTAAATTTATCTGACAATGACATTGACATATTACCAAATGAACTGGCAAAACTACATAAACTTGAGTCGTTGAGTTTGCATAACAATAACTTAACTGTTTTACCTAGTGGAATAATAAAATTGAAAAATCTACAGGAGATCAGTGTACGTGGAAATCCCCTGGTTATAAGATTTATGAGATCGCAATGCTCAAGATTTCCTAGTCTTCAAGAACTTGCTGGAAAGAAAATTAAAAACGCACACATTCCCTACTCTAATAAAAACCTGCCAGCATTTCTTGTGAAGTACCTTGACAGTGCTAACAAATGTGTCAATCCCAAGTGCTATGGTGTATTCTTTGATTCGTGTGTTCGACATGTCAAGTTTGTTGATTTTTGTGGAAAGTATAGGTTACCCTTTGAGCAATTTTTATGTTCTCTTCATGAGAATGAATATTGGGATGACGTATCAAGCTCTAGTAATTCAAGTAGCGAAGATGATTCTGAAGTTGGACCATCTTGGATGAAAAAAATTTTGTTTGGCTAACATATAAATTAACTCTATTTAATATAAGAGTAAAGTTGTCAAAAATATTGTACATTAAATGTCATATCATGCCAACATTCATAAATGTAAAGTATATTTTATTTTTCTTTAGTTTCTTTTTGTTGGTTATGCAAAAATCATGCTTTTTTCCTCACACCTAAAAAGACCAAATTTCTGTAATTGATTAAAAAATATTTTCATAACCAATCCATTAACTATTTACAGTTTGGTGATTAAAACTAACCACATTTTTTCACTTTTATGATTTACATTTTACAATTTGTTAAACATTAGTAATATAACAAACATAATGAATGTTTACAATATAGCACTAAAACTCTGGCATATTGCAGAACACCACAAGTATGTTGTTATCTTAGACCTAATTTCTTTTTTTCTTTCATTTTCTTTTTTACAACATCTATACTTCTGTCTTTCCATGAACTTTTTCGAAGTTTGATTGGTCGATTGCCCACATATTTGCCTGAAAAAATAATTGCATACTTTATATAAGTGTATAAACAAAGCAGAAAAAAGTCACAGCATTTTTTACCATTCATTTCTCTCATTGCTTTAATGAAATCCCCAGAATCTTTGAAACTAACAAATCCATATCCTTTAGTTTTGTTAGTTTTCTTTTCCCTTATAACTTTAGCTTTTTGAAAGGAAGGATACTTTGCAAAGGCTCTTGTTAGTGCATCATCTGTCACTTCATTCCCGAGATCACCAACAAATATTCTGAAATCATCTGGTAACATAAAAATTATTTACAATTGAAATTTACTTTTATGAAACAATTTCCTTTCAGATTATTTTTTATGTTAAAAAAATAAATTTCTTTCTAGGATGATCTTTGTACAAAAAACTTACTTGGATCCCAATCAGCAAGTGAAGTGTCTTCCCAAACTACACCTCCTGCAACTCTGACAAATTTTTTGTCTTTTTTCTTGGCCTTCCCTCCAGCCATATCATTGTTTCCATAGGCAGATTCCCATTCTCTTTTCTGTTCAGGTGTGATACTGACATGCTCCACAGGTGCTTTTTGTCTTGAAGGAACCTGCATTGGTACCAATGGAACCATACCACCAATTATATTTTGTTGCATTCCGGAATGAAAATGAGATGGAATTTGTGGTGGCATTGGTGGTATTGGAAATGGTACTTGCTGAACAGGAAACTGCTGGTTGGGAGCTGGATGATATGAGACTGCAGGAGATTGTATGTGTTGTTGTTGATGTTGAGATTGTAACCCTTCTTGGTGTACATGAGGAGGCATATTGACTTGATGTTTTTGGCTTTGACTTGCAGAGGGAAATCCACTTAGATGTGGAGTCAAAGGCAACTCACCATCTCCTCGATTCACACCACCAGGGGGGTAACCCGACATAAATTGGGGATCTTGATTATGACCTAAGTTGCCTGGGTGGTGTCTTACAGCTGTTCCATGTCCATCATGAATGGTCTGATTTGCCTCATAAAATGGTTTTGAAGCAATTATCGGTCGATCAATCGTATGACCAGAAATTTCTTCTTCAAATCTACAATTTATAATATAATAAAGTCCAATTTCTTTTATAATTATTTGTACTAAAGCGATAAGTGAAAAGACATTTATTTTGTTAGAAATACCTGGACATTTCATCTTCAAGTTCTTGATGGGTCTGAAGTCCCCCTTGGCGATTCCTAAGCATTGCCATCGTTGAAAAGAACACTATTTTTTCTATCCAAGTTGGCAACAATTGACAATTTGTTGAGTAACAAGTTTTATTTACTGTGTTCAACAACTGAGCCTGCGTGTGCTAATGGAAAGCGGAATCAAATTACATATCTTTGTAGTACAGTTTATATCGTAATAATATTTATTGTGAACATCTGATACAAATTTCGATTACTTGCTTTATATGACCGGGTGTAGCTTTATATGTGCTCAATAAAAGTACACTGCACTATGCAGTACGTATAGTAATCACTTACTGTAGTGATCAATTCTAAATGGTCTATTTTTTGAAAGCAGCCTTTCGCAAATTTATCAAGTTCATGGTCATCGGTGGACAGATATGGATATAAAAATTGAGCATAAGTTACTATATGGTTACTATGGTATTATGGATTATAATAAACAAGGGGGTGAAAGGTTTTCCTTTAGCCTTTTATAATTTCTACTTTTCTGCGCAAATGTTTGTCACTGTAAAATATGGAGGTAATTTTTTCATTTATTTTTGATGTTTAAGAATCATCATAATCACAGTTAATTAATCATTTATCGTTGTGCCAATTGCCATTAGACCTTCATCGATATCAGTCCATTTGCAAAACCAAAGCTTGCAATGGGCGCATTATTTTGAAAGATCATTTTATAAAATCGACGCTAATACCATTCCTACTAGCCAAAGTGCTGTCTGGGAGCAACAATAATTGTTGTATTTATTGGAGATATTACTTTATAGAATCAGCAAACTAGCGAAATTTATTACTTTACGTTATGTTATTAAGATGGCGAAGAACTTTTATGCAATCTGGAATGCAAGACAAATGTTCTTCTTGATGATATCAGAAGAAGATGTAGCTATGGAAAAGAAGGTATTTAAGTATGTTTGTTTGGATGCATGGCTCATGAAGACGCCTTATAGTAGATTTATTTTCACCATCAATTTTCTTAAAAAGATACTACTTGTCAACTTTACAATCATAATTATTTACTCACAATAATTTGTGCAATGTGCTTTGACACTTTGTAGTAATGGTTGACTTATCTGATGAAAATGGAAATTTGAAGTACTTGAGAGGCCATCCAGAGTCATATGCAACAGAATTTTTAAAAAATCGAGAGTCACTTGTACTTGTTAGGGTAAACAGTGAGTATATATTTGTCATTATCAATATCAGTAATGCTCATTATGGAAATTCTGCTTCACTTTGATGATTAAATATTTTCTTTAATCAAACATCCATATTCATCTATTGTATTGATGTAAGTTTAACCCTCAGCCTCTGATAAAATAACTCAAGGCTTTCAACCTTCATGAATCAATAAAAATACCAGATTGCTCATTTGGTTTGTAAAAACCGACTAGTATATGCTGCCTTTGTAAGATATTTCTGCCTTCATCAGAAATCATCAATATTTGTCTGTGGTTTTGTCTTGTAATATTTGTTGTTTATTTACCTTTAAAATTAGAAAACCCAATCAATGACACTATAACCTACAGTCCTTTACTTGAAGATATCTTTATTGTTACAACATCTTTCATTGGTAAGTGGAACCATAAGATTACATTTAAAGCTATGAATTTTTATGTTTGTAATAAAAAGATTTTTCATTTGATTATCTTATTTCTGTTTTAGAACGTCTCACCAGCTGTGGTGACCTGGGTACAAAACAAAATCACACCAAAAATTCATCCTTGGCAAACAATGTGAAGAAACATCAGGCTGTTTCAAAAGCTAAAAATTCATTTCTTGCAAGTGCTAGTAAATCTCGTGGTCCACCAAACAGACGTTTAAGTAGGAGTCACTCTAAAGAAAGAAAATCCAGATGAAATTTAAGTAAGTCCATATTGTAAACAAAGTTGCTCTAAGGAGCACTTTTAGTGTTGTTCACCGGATGAAAGATTTCCTGATTTTCTGTTCAATTTATTTGAATTCATGATATTTGTAAATTAAAAAATATACAGTAACCATGTGATCCAATTATTTAGGGTGTTTCTGAAGGTGATGACAAAACTACTTCTAAGATTTACTTTATTCATGAAAAAAATAGTTTATTCAGAACACGACTACATGAGAAACCTAACTAGTTCGATATTTTGAAGTCCGCATTTCCGTAATTGACATAAAATAGTCCGAATTCAATAAAGCTAGTAAAAATCACGAATAAAACGAAATTTTTAGCGTGCAAAGCAATGTCTTAATCTTAAACCTTCTAACTTCATCCATGTTATTTTTCAGAAATTTTATTTTCTTAATTTGACGTTTTATACATTAACTTTTGCTACAAAATGTAATCTACAGGAAGTGTTTGTTGACAGAAGGTTCGTTGGTGCATTGCTTAAATTCTTTTCATTAAATTATATCGGCTTATCTTGATTCATTCGAAGCAATGTCACGAATCTTTTGTCAATACAATCAGCAAAACTATCAAAACCTTCTTGTCGGTTTTAATATTTCATCTTTGATTTACAGCACCTTACGTAATCTCTAAAATAATTAATATTTTGCTTTGATTTCGATTTCTAAGAAATCTTTTGTGGTTCAATAGAAACGTAACAAGTATACAATCCATAATATATATATATATATAGTAAGATATGTACAGAATATGTAACACACTAATGGTTAGTCTTGCTTAACATTTAATCCAACAGACGACCGCTTTCTTTTCTTTGTCAATAGTTGCTCGCTAGTGCTCGCATCTTCCTTTTTCTTTTCTTGGGAGCTAGGCGATGTAACTAACAGGAACTCAAGAAACGGATTAGACAAAATTATGGCTGCCTGAATCGAAAGAACTCTTTCTTGATTTTTTACACCATCAAATCTTTCCCAGTAAACGCTGTGCTCCCACAAATGTTTGGTAAAACACACTTTACCTTTGTATGATTTACCTGTAGAATAAAAGTTGTTAGCATTTATGGAGTGGTCTCTTCACTTGAACGCAATTTTGAATATTGCTAAACAAAAATCACGGTGTATTTTCATGAAATAACGAGGAAAATATTAATCAAAATGCTGGTAACCAGTAAGCAATGAAAATGTTGATTTGTGTCAATGTGCCATGCACATATTATTTAGTGTATGCTGCTTGAAACACGATATATAATTATAGTTGTGTCACTGGTTGGTTTGTGTTCTTCATTGTGTAATTTCATTTCTTTAAAAATTCTTCAACATTGTAACTAAATTGGTAAAATGACGTTTTGATCCATTCGTAATAAATTATATACATTTGAAAAATTTATTAAACTTGCAAAAGTTTGTTTGTGGCAATCACTGGAATATCGCAGTTGGGACACACAATAGAGGATACAATTGTTGTGAGTGATAGAAAAAATGTTTCCACACTTAATTGGTAACTATTCTAGACACAATACATCGAGCGAACATCACGCGTTGATTCAACTACATTGTGTTGTCTACATATAGAGAGAAAGTAAATTTCTACTTACCACACATGCAACAGCTAATGTCATTGCCTTCCATATATTCATATTCTTTGAGCACTTCTATCACGCCATTCAACTCCAATGTTCTTTGAATTGGAAGACTATTTGAAATTGAGTTCACGCTACTTGATGAATCGGATCGTGCTCTCTTGCGCTTTGTAAAAATTTCAATGGAACTCGAATTATTTATTGCTTCCTCCGTCATTCTAATCATTAGTGTACTACACTTTTCTATTAATACTTCACTTTATTCACAAACAAAAGAAACCAGCGCAGTTCTTTAAATGAGAAAAATTATACGCTACACAGTTAATGTTTGTCCCTTTAAACAGCACGCGGTAGACAGCGACAGTTCACAGATTAGCATTTCTAGTTTGTTTATCTCGTATCTCATTGGTTAATACATGCAACTTAGCAATTCTTTTTTTCTCACATGAAATTTGATTGGCTAAATTTTGAGACGTGTGTTTACATACTTCCATTGATTGATTTTACATTTGTTCGCTCATTCAATCAAAAGCGTCGTTAGACTTTTTGGCGGGTAAATGTGTGACAAACTTCCCGCGTTTTTACAACATTGATCACATATTTAGCTACGAATTTTTGTATGCTCTGTTATCACATAAAAAGTCCGTATACAATGGTGTATCAAGATGTCTTGCCAATTACGCCCGTACAATCATAATAAAAATATTTACTCATAATTATAAAACAATGTTCTGATCTTTCTTTAGTATCGCGCTCCATCACTGTTTTCTCAAACAAGATTTGCCTCCAGGAGCTCTTGCGTTGTTGAAGGAAAACGTCTATCACATAACTATTTCCTTGAACGATTGTTTAAACGAAAGTAGCTCTTTTGCATTTCTTTTGGACTTTCTTTCTATATTTCTTTCTGAATATAATTCTATGTAAGATAGGTGTCACAACTAAATTTAATAAATTAACCTTTAATTCCCTAAATTCAGTGGCACCAGCCAGGACGGTAGAGGGTTTTCTTCAAAAAGTTCATTAGTAGCTACAATTAAATATTAGTTATATTAAAAGTTTATGTGAAACATATAATTGTCTTTTTGGGAGGTTTACGCATCAAACCTCTCCCCTCCCAACCCCAAAAGGAAAATGAAAACTTTGCCGGCATCGCTGCCCGAATGGGCAATGGAAGTAAATGTATACATCATACATAACATTTGCAATCAGCAATTTTTCAGAGCATTTTGAGTTTTGTAATGGCGTTTTTAGATACGCATAAAAGACAGAGGCAATGATGACGTCATAAGAAAAAAATTTCAACAGCTGAAGTAAACTTATGACCCCGGGTGTAAACGTCTAGCGGAATTTGTACTTCAAGACTCAAACGATGCTGAAGACGACAAATTTCAATATTCGCTATTTCCATTTGTGCGAATTTCTTTTTGATTTTTCGAGTAAATAAAAAAAAGTAAACATTAAGTAGTGAAGTTGACGTAGCTTCCTAGCTATTTGTTTCATCGTTTACAGTAAACCTTAGCATTTGCACTTTTAGATGGTTCTCTGGTCTTAGAATTAGTATTTCTCACAATTAGTCCCCCATTCCGGACAATTAGGATGAAGTTTACTATTGGTAAACTCCGCCATTGATACTTTTTCTAATTCTTTTGTAACCTCCTATAAATTCTTTTATGCATAAAAATATTTAAGAGCGTTGCTTATTGACGGAATCAAAAACATTTTTGACCAAACATATTTCACATCAAGCCGTATAATAACTACATATAATGAAAATGTACCTACGAAGCAAATATTTTTGTGCCTATTCAAAGGAAACACAATGCACAGAATCAATATTCTAAAATAATTCACCTGAACATTATGCATTCTAGAAGAAAATGCTTGGGCGGTTTTACTAATGGCAAAAAAAATAAAACATGGAAACTCCGCTTTGCAAGTCGGTGCTCTGTATTAATTAAATTAGATTTTAAGTTGCTGCTTGCCATTAGCCACTTCATAATTTCATTATGCTTAAGCCTGGTTCACACGACTGAAGTAAGGACAAGAACAGGCGTCGACAAAAGATAAAACAAAGATAATCAACGAAGCATGTGACATAAGCATCGACATAATCGCAAACATGAGGAAAAAATTCAAGCATAAGCTAAAAGAAGAACAATTGAAGAACAAAAAGAAGATTTAAAGAAAATCCCAATGTCTTTGTCTTTATAAACCTCTAGAGCAATAGAAACAAAAGTCTCGACGTTCATGCTTATTTTACTCGTGTGAACCAGGCTTTATTTGTCATGTCATAAAAGCTCAATTGGCTGGCTGTATTGTATGGTAATAACATACGTAATGAGTTATGTATGACACAAAAATTCGGTGAAGTCGCCTTTCTGTATGTTCCTCACTGTGTGCCATTGGCATATGTAGTTTAATGATCAAAGGTTTAAACAGAAACATGCAAGCTAATACAAAGTTTACCCAATCTTCCGTTCTTTTCGTTAATTTCATGCTCATTTATGTAATTCTTTTGTCTCAGAGAAGGCTGTTGAATCAAGTTTTTTGCAATGAAACCTCAATCTTTGAGTCATACTTAAGTCCCCCGATTGCGATGTTTCAAGCCAATCCAATTCATTGCTCATTCTACATAAATAGACGTTTTGGCACGCTGGATATGGATACTACATTTGAACTCACATGTGTTTGATGGGGATGAAATCAGTAAAGACAATGAACGTATGAGGTTAGTGTATGAAATACCAAACTAAAGAGCTGATTGTGTCAAAAAACAAGGTGAGATAACTTTGGCAAAATGATTACAGTATCTTTAGCCAATTTTTGCACTCAAAAATGGATTTCAATACAGCAGTTAGCAGATAAATAAATTGAGGATCTAAAGTATGTAAATTGAATCAATATGAAAGAATATACTTAATGCTGACGTGGAGATTTGAGAAATCTCTCTTTATACTGAAAGAGTATAACAATGATTACATTTGTAAGTGGGAAGAGAATGTGTCTGCGCAGATTTCCCCAAACATACAAATTCAAATTACTTTGATTCAAAGAGGAACGAGGGAAAGACAATAGGCTGAAATCGCAATGATGTAGATATTAGTTTTCGATCTTTTGGGGAATTCTGTATTAGCTGTTAATTATTTTTGTTTTGGGGGAGTGTGATATGGTTATGGTATCTGGCCATCATTAATCAAACTATAGAATCGTTATTGACTTCAATTAACAAGTGCAAACATTCTTTACCACTATAACGACAAAAGGAAGAACTTACTAATTACAAAATTGAGGTTCGGGTTTAGACATGTTGCAAAGTAAATTACACTGGTCAACAGCAAATTTGGTGTCTCAATTTTGTAAACTGATTTTGGACAATTTTGAAGTGCTGAGTCCAAAAATAACACTATTTTTGCTGGGTCAGGTCGAGATTTTAAGCTATCGTTAATTTTCTATTTTTTTAACTTTTAAATACCCGAAAAAGGTACAACAGAAGTACTAACCATTTACCTTTTAAAGTTCTATTATCTGAACAAATTTAAATTTTTTAGCACTAGTAATAAAAAGTAGAAAGCATTTGAATAAGCAATTTTTGATTGAATTTCAATTAGGGAGTTTAGGTTTTGCGATTATTATGGGATATTTAAAGATAAAATAAGGCTTTATTTAGCCCATACTGGAATTCAATGGTAAAACTTGTTAAAACACACCAACATATTAATGTAAGAAAAATAATAAAAGTAGAAATAATAAAAATAAGCCAGATGTTTTTTGCTATGTTTGTGGTGAATACACACTTGCACCAAATCGCAATACTGTCACCACCATTATCAAGCGCGTTTACTATGCATATTTTGGCATGAAGCTCGGCGATCAAGACAAAAGTTGGGCACCTCACATGGTTTGCAAAAGATGCACAGAGCATCTCCGTCAATGGAGCAAAGGCACGCAAAAGTCCACGAACTTCGGCATCCCCATGATTTGGCGAGAGCCTTAAGTCATGCAACCGATTGCTACTTTTGTGCTATCAATGTCATGGGAATTAACAGAAAAAATCGCACAACACTGGAGTATCCCAATCTACCGTCAGCTATGCGCCCTACTCCTTATAGTGAAGAAATTCCCGTACTTGTATTTGAAGATACAAGTATTGAAGAAAGCAGTAGTAGCCAGGATGAAACTCAAAGCATTGCCACTACCGATGATGCATCCTTTCCCGATGACAATGATGAGCAGCCAAAATTGTTTTCCAAAAACGAACTAAACGATCTTGTTCGCGATTTAAAATTGCCAAAAGACTCTGCCGAACTTCTTGCATCTCGTTTAAAGGACAAGAACATGCTAAATGGTAAAGTTAAGGTAAGTTTCTTCCGTACCAGGCACCAGGAATTTTTAAGATATTTTGCTCAAGAAAAAGAATTAGTCTATCGCAATGACATAGTAGAGCTACTGAAACATCTCGGCGTACCTGAATACAAATCAGAGGACTGGCGACTTTTTATCGACAGCAGCAAAAGGTCCTTGAAATGTGTGTTGTTACACAATGGAAATCAATTTGCATCTGTGCCAATGGCACATTCGACAACATTAAAAGAACAGCATGAAGCAATTAAGTATGTCGTAGAAAAAAATTCTTATGACCAACATAAATGGCTGATTTGCGTTGACTTAAAAATGGTCAACTTCTTGCTTGGTCAACAGTCTGGATTTACCAAATACCCATGCTTTTTATGCCTCTGGGATAGTAGGGATCGTACTCATCATTACGTGAAAAAAGAATGGCCAGTACGTAAAGAGCTTGCAAGTTGTAGAGCAAAAAATGTGATAAACAAGCCTCTAGTTGACATGGGACGTATATTATTTCCTCCACTGCACATAAAGTTCGGTTTGATAAGGCAATTCACTAAAACTTTGGATAAAGATGGACGGTGTTCTCAGTTTCGTTGTAAAACCTTCCCAATTTGTCAACTGAAAATTAAAAGCTGGTATTGATCCCGAAAATCTTGGCTCTTTAAGCGATGAGCAATGAGAGCGCTTTCACCATGACTTAAGAGAAAGGTGGGACATGGTGATGATGGCGGACTACTGTTGGAATTTAAAAAGAGATGTGCAAGCACCAAAACATTCACGACAATCAAAAGAAACGAAAATTTAGACCGTAATAATGCAAACATTAAGTTTTCATTTCTGGTTACATGTACTGTACATGAAGTGTACATGATTCTTTCTTGGAATACTGCAATTTTATCATAAAAACTGACATTTTGTTTTGAAACATCTTGAAAACATGTAAATCTTGAAAACATTGTTTTAAAAAAATATAACTAAAGTCGCATAATTTTAAATTCAAATTTGCAAAAAAATTTGACCTCCGAGAGCAAAATGAATGTTATTTCTAGATTTAGCATAGCAAAAATATAGTAAATCAGTCAAAAAATATCAGACACCTTTTAAAAAGTTTCTTTTTGTTGACCAGTGTTATTAAGGCAAAAATCTTTTGATTGTGGGGTTTCGAAGCAACAGGATCAACATGGCTTTGAAACACTTTTTAGTTAATGAGCTGATTAGTGAAAAACAATTGATATTTACTCTGATCCATTATAATAACGCATTGAACGCAGTATAAGTAATGGGCATAATTAATAATTATAGATTAACTATAAATAGATCACATGTAAAGCATTTGAAAATCCAACGTTGAACTGATTTGAGAGTAGTTTACTGCTTGTCTGCAAAAAACGTTGAGCTGACTAACATCATGAAGCTGTGTATTTTTACATTATTTGGTGTTTTGTTATGTTGGAGCAATGCTGATGTATATTTTCACAATCCTAGAGGTTCAAATAACCGACTGAACGAAGCTACTTCAGCACGAAGGAATGCCAAAAGATTGTTTAACTCTGAGGTAAAACAATTAATTTGCCCATGAAAAAACCTGCATATCTGTTAACGACCATTTGTTATTTTATTAGGAAGTCTATTGCGCACTTTGTGGTTGTACTGACAAAAACAACCTTCATTTGAATTTTATTCGAATTAAAATATTTATTTGATTTATTTCCTCAGAATTTCGTGCTGTCTAAAGTCGTCAAATTTATATAGAGATAAGATTTGGCAACCTCCCCCCAATGATTTTGAAGTGAGCTAGTCTGGAGCTACCCACCTACTCCCCAATGATTTTAAAGTGAGCTATCCCCCTGCATGACCTTGAAGTGAGTCTCGCTGGAATGAAGATAATTTAGTGAATATATAAATTTGTTAAAATTTTTGAATTGAATGAATTTCATGGAAATTTTATTAGTTAATTCGCAGTTTGAACATAAAGAGAAAAATTATTTCACTTTTGCAGCCAACTTTGAAATTTCCTGGTGAAGCACTGCTCAAGAGTTAAAAAATATTTTTAAAAACATTTGTTTGAAAAGAATGCAATTTGTGGACATTTTATTTACTGATCTAATCTTTTATGTCATTTCTTCAGAACAATAATAATGGAGGCTATAATGTCGGTGATCAAAATCAAAAATCAAACTCTGAAAGCACGCAATTTTATATGGTAAAGTTTTCTTTTAAATGTCAATATTTTATTTTCTTATCTGCCAAAATGAATTGATGTTCATTCGACAGCTATAGAGTCACATGTTATCAACCATCTTTAAATCAACAACTCAGTAAACATCGTGTTTTTATTTTATTTCATACAGCACTATTTTCAAAGTAGTAAATCCCATCACAACTCTGGTCTGGCAGGAAAATCTCTTTTTACAGTTGAATGGACGAATCAACATGGTTGTGGTGACCGAGATTTAAACTGTAATATAGTTCTTCAATACAAATGTCAAGATGAGACAAAATACAAAGCACTATATTATCATTCTATGAGAAATGGTGAGATTAATAAACACAATAAACAATTGATTCAATCTATATTGAAAATTATTTTTGTGCATGTTTTATACAATTATTCAGAAGACGTTCTATCCTCTTGTTTGGTTAAAGTTTGGAAATAAATCCTTTATCCTTTCTTTGCTCTCTTCATTCGTCATGCCAATTGATTTTATTGTCATTAATTTGGTTTAGGGCGACAAACGAACACACCCCCGTATAATAAACGAACCTTTCACAGCCGATCAAGCAAGAACTCTAGAATGCAGGCAGACTCCTTATATAACAGAGGTCTCCACGAACCTTGGGAGTGGTACGATAAATGCAACAGAAGGCAACGAAATTATGGTGAGTTGTAAAATCTCGTATGCATGAGCATTGTCAAAATTGTGTTCCGGCAAAGTTTTTATATGTTGACGTCTTTGATGAGTCTCTGGCTCAAACTTAGAAAATTCATTTCTATTTTATAGGATTATTCACTGCTGACCAAAAGCTAAATGGTCAACAAAGTATTTATACTCGTCAAAATCCAAACGGTGCTCGTTATGGTTATGAATGTCCTGAAGAACGTGATTATTACCCATATTGGCATCCCACAGACTGGACTGACATTGCTGTTCTTGCTTATATTGAATCCATGTGTGAATATTATAAAAAAGAAAGCTTCAATGTTAAAGAAAAAGGTTTGTACAGTTGTGATATTTGTTAAATGTTTTTTTAAGACATTGAGAATAACTAGATCCTCCTGGTCTTTTAGAACAAAACCTAAGTAAAATTTAGGCAATTACTCATAGTGTTTATTGTTATTGTTATTTCAAAGGTGAATGTCTTCAGTACTACAGCACAAAGTCACATGGCTTTCGTCACTATTCCATTTACAACAACAAAGTCGACTGTAATAAGAATAAAGGTTTTTGGATTCCATTCAGCAATTATCTTGAAGAGTATCCCAAATATCAAACGAAAGCCACGTGTTTAGCAGCAAGTTCAAAAAATCTACGTCTTCTCTGGGCGATTCCTTATCGCTCTGAAAATATCGACAATTTGAAAATGATTGGTGGTAATATTGAATCTTTGAAACGGTGTTTGGTAGCTTTAGATCCACCAGAATGTTATAAAGCTCCCTATACAAGAAGTAATCATTTAGGAAATGCAAAAAATGTCGTCCCTCTTCGCTACAACTGGGCTCTTCCATATTTTCCATCAGGTCATGCTCACAAATGTGTTTTAAGGATAAGGTAAAGATGATGTCTCAACTTTGCTTAAGTCAATTTTTTCATTTATAATATCTAGCTACTGCCAATTTTATTTGGCAATTTTTTTACATGAAGGTATAACATTTCTACTGGTGATTATCCTCCATTCAACACATTCAGTAATGAGAACAATAACCCGTAAGTGTCGTAAGAAAGTTTTTTTTTCAACAAGTAGATGTGTGAAAATTTTATTTGTTTTTATTTGTACTGAATGTCACTCTTTCATATTAAGAAGCAACAACGTATACTCTCCTGTGCAAAATAATCCAAAGATTAAGGTTGGAAAAGTACAATTACCATTGCAACTTGCAATTAACACGGCTCAATTTGGACGCACTTTTCAAGATCGATCTCATGTATTTAAACTGTTACCACGACCTAAAGCCGTTAAAGATGATGACGTCATTTATAATCTGAACATCCGTGGTAAACGTGGTAACATAGTACAAGTTTATCCAGCAGTGGAATATGACTTTATTCCCAAACGACTTCGCATAAATAGCACAGATCTTGTTCACATCCAATGGACAGGTTAGAGAAACAAACTATACTGGTTTGTATTCGTATATGTTGTAACTCATAACGTTTACTAGTTTACTTAGCTAGTACGAAGGGATTTGACAAAGTAAAATTCTGTGGTTTAATTGTCTCTTTTGACATAAAGTAAAAGCATAATATTAAGATTTGCACGACTGAATGATTGTATGAAACAAGGGATAGAATTTTTATGTAGATTTGACATTTTAAAATCATGATAAAGCTATAAGTCGTTATGTACAGGCATGTAGATAAAATCTTAAATCGATTTTGTGGAAAATTGGCATGATGAACAAAACTTGTTTAGCAGCTTATTTTCGTCGTGCATGGTCAATTTTTGAACCCAAACAATTTGTCCATTTATCATTCCAAGCGAGCAAGTATGCATGTTTGAATTTATACAAGAAAAATAGCTTTACCAATACTAGTAAGCAAATGCATCCTTACACACTCAAAAGAAAATAATTGTCTACCGTCGTGGAGGTGAGATGGCTTTTAAGGGTATCAAAAAAGTTGCTTGGACGTAAAGGATTTTGGAAGAGACTGCCTTTTCTTAAAATAATTAAATTTTTTAAAGGTTCAAATACAAACCCTTCTGGCAACGCTGGACAAGGCACTGCAGGTAAAAATAAATACAACTTGTTAATATAGTAAGATACAATCAATAACAGCAACATTATAAATTTGTTTTTAAAGGTACTGATCGAAACAATATGGTGGAAATGCAAGACCCTTCAGTGAATTATCCACTCACTTCTGAGAAACCATTGACAATGTTTGAAAATGCTGAAATCGTCTGGTCCAGTGATATAGAGACTAAGACAAAAGAAGATCTTGTTTTAAGTATGGCTTCTTCTGGTTACTACAACAGCATGTCACTTTGTCATGCATCTCCAAAGAAAACTGCTCTTAATGAATTACTGAATAACGCTCCAGCCTCATATCGTGGTATGTTGCTCAGATTTGCACCTGGAGAATATTACTACATGTGCACCAGGAATAATAATTTCAGTAACAGAAATCAAAAGGGAAGACTAATTGTCGAAAAAGTTGGCAAAGCTGCATAAATATGACTGAAAAACACGACGAGGAGTGATTCTGGTAATTTTCTAAGTTACTTTTACTACATTAATTCAAAACTAACATTGATAGTTTCATTATTCATTTAACAAATAGTAATTTGTATCTTTTTTACTGCTAGCCTAGATATGACTAAGTATGTTTGAATAAATCATTGATTTAATGAATAATTTACACTGGTAAATATTGGCAAGAATGACTGCAACGTCATAACGATGCGGGGGACGTGAACACGTCCACCATCAAATTTACAAAGAGCTAATTTTCTACCCTATCGCTATTCAATATATCTTCCCTATCGCTTCAGATATTTGCTTCTTTAAAGGCCCGTTCTCATGATCCGATTTGTGAACGAGCCTTAAGGTTAAAAGCCAATGTAAAAGTACAGTATCAATCACAGCATGTTAAGTCAAAAACTATTTTTCGTCTGCTAAACACCTGCTTACTTTACAACTAATATTTCACTGGTTTTCTTCACATTGCAAACAAATCATGCGTCGCTAGCTTGCAGGCAACAGACATGTAAAATATTATGAAGCAACCATATTCTCTTATGCAGTATTTATGTAAAATGTTGATTATTTCACAATTCGCATGCAAATGCACCATGCACAAGTAAAATCTTAATTTGTCAACTGAATCTTTAACTCCAGAAACGTTTACACATTCTTCAAGTAACACATACTTCACCTTTGTTTTAAATAGAATATTTTGTTAATCTGACATGTGTTGCCATTTAGTGTGCCAACAGCCCTGGTGGCACTTCGGCGTTAAGAACAATTCTTTATTGTTATTCTTAGGAACAATTATTTTTCGCTTGCTACAGCTTTGACTGTAGGCGTTGCTATATTTGTTGCATTTTTATGTTTAAACAGCAATATGAACAAGACTGTTCTTCAATGAGATAGGAGCAAAAATTGATTGATTATAAAAGCTTGAGTTTCTTTAAGAAAGCCTTGTTTACGCACGTTACCGATTTATTCAGGTGTGGAGACACAAGTGTAGTGACGTACATAACATGCGTATATTATTCATCTAGATTTATGTATTAGCAATAGAGGAAATAGCCAATCCTACACTTACTCAAACGCGCTACTTAAACTTACGCACTTAACTTTATAATGACGTAAAACTACTCAAATTTCAAGTACATTATCCATCTTGTAATAACTGCACCTTGTTTAGCTAAATATATAAAAAGCCTGTAAATAAATTGTAAAATATAGAATACTCACGACTGTTGTAAATCACTTCTTCGCTAGTGAATAAAATAATCACAAAATTTAATAGCGTTCTAGTACATTGAACTCACGTTCGGAGCTCATACAAAAGACTTAAATAACGCTAAACAAGCACTGTTATTTCTAGGTAGTTTTGTTGCTTCGTACTCTTGGTTGACAATCGTCATAACTAATTGTTATTTAGATCAAAATATAAGACATTTGATAAAATATTGCAATGGCTTCGTGAATGTGCAATGGCGACACTGTCCTTCGCGCATAATCAATGATAAAGTGTTTACTATAATGTCCCCGACACGTAGTGACCACCGATATTAGCTACTTCCGTAATGGTTTGCTTGTTGCTGAATTTTTCATTAACGAAATATTGTATATCACGCAATCTTTATTGCTTATTTTAAAAGCCAATAGGAGATTTTTATCACCTGACTGTATATCCATGAAAGATAGCAATCTAAACCAGAATTTTTTGTTCATGAAAAATGTTGTAATTTAAAAAAACCAGTTATATGTGTATACTGATTATTTGCTATGTATGTTAATTATTACCTATGTGCATTGATTATTTTTCTAGAATTGTCTCCTCATTTCCCAGTTTCTGCTAAGAGTAGATTGGCAAATATTACCACTCGAAGCCTGTTGTATTTCCATGCATCAGCGATTGAGCAACCGCGAGCTAAAGTTAAATGTGCTTAAGATTACAGTTATACTCATTTATATCGCAACGTTTTAAACGCCTCATAACCAAGGCTGTTATAGTTTATTGATCCGCACTATAACGTCAGTTTGGATGTAGTCAGTTAACGACATATTCAGTGTTCTGGGTTTTGGCAGCATTACTATATGTTGACCATGTTTCCTACACTTGGAACATGATTAACTTATGGCTACATTAAACTAAAAAAAGCAATTCATTAAATATTGCAAAACTTACTACACTGTGTTTTATTTTGACGAGTTTTGAAATTAAGACTTCCACAAAAAGATTGAAACACTATTCATTCATATGATTACGGTATGCTTTATGCATGAATGATTGACTGCGTGAGCTAAAGATAGAGATGCGTTGATTGAGATTGCAGTTATAGCCTGCGTAAATAAATGTTAGGACATTTTGTGCTAACATTGTATTTTGATAGAGAAAAATTGGATTGCAGGAGACAAGTTATAAAGTGATTAGTGAAGAATCTTTGTCGTCTGCAAAACACGTGATATACTTTGCAACGTGTAGCGTTGTTAATGATGTGATATAGAAGATTTCCTGTATGATTCAACAACAAGCATATAACGTAACGCATGTAGCCAATATAGAACATAGTTATTATTTTTATCCACATTAGACATCAAAAGAACTTGCAGGAGGTTAGCATCATCATTGATAATACTATAGACCACATAGTAGTGAGACTGTTCAAAGTTTTAGTTTTGATTTTTTGCGCTCAATTATTTCGAAATTGTTCGTTTCAATTTCTTGTAAAGATATTCCTGAGGTTTCTAATTGAAACATCTTCGAAATCAAAAATTGAAATAATGATTTCTTGTAGATTGAAAGATATATGTCACAAACAAATCAAAAACAAATGACATAGAAGTACAAAGAGAACACTATAGATAAAAGCAATATGCGACGGCAAAAATATGGTTAATAGTTTTCATTTTTAGGGGACAAGATGAATCGGTGTTTAATCGTACATATGGCGACACTGTCCTTCACGCATAATCGATGATAAAGTGTTTGCGTCTCACAGCTGTATTGTTATGTCCCCAACACGTAGTGACCACCGAAGGTTCGTTACAATTTGCTTATTGCTGAATTTTTCATTTACGAAATCACGTAATCTTCAATTTATTGCCTATTTTAAAAGCCAATAAGAGATTTTTATCACCTGACTGTATATCCATGAAAGTTAGCAATCTAAACCAGAATTTTTTGTTTATGAAAAATGTTATAATTTAAAAAAACTAGTTATATGTGTATACTGATTATTTGCTATGTATGTTATTATTACCTATGTGCATTGATTATTTTTCTAGAATTGTCTCCTCATTTCCCAGTTTCTGCTAAGAGTAGATTGACAAATATTACCACTCGAAGCCTGTTGTATTTCCATGCATCAGCGATTGAGCACCCGCGAGCTAAAGTTAAAGGTGCTTAAGATTACAGTTATACTCATTTATATCGCAACGTTTTAAACGCCTCATAACCAAGGCTGTTATAGTTTATTGATCAGCACTATAAAGTCAGTTTGGATGTAGTCAGTTTACGACATATTCAGTGTTCTGGGTTTTGGCAGCATTACTATATGTTGACCATGTTTCCTACACTTGGAACATGATTAACTTATGGCTACATTAAACTAAAAAAAGCATTTCATAAAATATTGCAAAACGTACTTCACTGTGTTTTATTTTGACGAGTTTTGAAATAAAAGACTTCCACAAAAAGATTGAAACACTATTCATTCATATAATTACGGTATGCTTTATGCATGAATGATTGACTGCGTGAGCTAAAGATAGAGATGCGTTGATTGAGATTGCCGTTATAGCCTGCGTAAATAAATGTTAGGACATTTTGTGCGTTTGTAAATGAACGATTAACGTTAAATAATTGTATTTTGATAGAAAAAAATTAGATTGCAGGAGACAGGTTATAAAGTGATTAGTTTAGAATCTTTGTCGTCTGCAAAACACTTGATATACTTTGCAACGTGTAGCGTTGTTTATGCTGTGATATAGAAGATTTCCTGTCGGACGCAACAACAAGCATATATCGTAACGCATGTAGCCAATATAGAACATAGTTATTATTTTTATCCACATTAGACATCAAAAGAACTTGCAAGAGGTTAGCATCATCATTGATAATACTATAGACCACATAGTAGTGAGACTGTTCAAAGTTTTAGTTTTGATTTTTTGCGCTCAATTATTTCGAAATTGTTCGTTTCAATTTCTTGTAAAGATATTCTGAGGTTTCTAATTGAAACATTTTGGAAATCAAAAATTGAAATAATGATTTCTTGTAGATTGAAAGATTTATGTCACAAACAAATCAAAAACAAATGACATAGAAGTACAAAGAGAACACAATAGATAAAAACAAGATGCGACGGCAAAAATACGGTTAATAGTTTTCATTTTTAGGGGACAAGATGAATCGGTGTTTAATCCTACATAATTATTAATTGATACAAAACAAAAATACTTTGAAATTCCTAACACGCTTTATTCGTTTATGTAGGTGAGCGTGTTGTTCTACAGCTTTTTAACGGAAATTAATTGTATTCAATCCCCTCTTATTAGTATGTGACTTTTTTTCAAATTAGCTAAAACGTATTTTCTGTTCCTATCTATTTATCTTTGAAAACTAAAATGTTTCTATAGTTATAAGGCGTTATAAATGCAGTCCAAGATGCCGCTCGATCAACACGACTGCTAGGCTAATTTTCAAGGCTCAGTTCTCATAGCTATGTGTCAATTTTAACGATGACGGTTGTTCACCGAAGCATGTTGATGCTTAAAATATTTTTGTAATTATTTACTCAATTCCTGTCCAATTTTTCCAGACAATAACTTCGCCAGTAGCCGACAATCTACGAATACCACGCCTTACTTCATAAAAGAAGACGTTCTGCAGATCTGGAAGCAGTTCACTTTGTACGTGCAAAGAACTTAGAGCTGACTAACATCATGAAGCTGTACATTTTTACATTATTTGGTGTTTTGTTATGTTGGAGCAATGCTGATGTATATTTTCACAATCCTAGAGGTTCAAATAACCGACTGAACGAAGCAACTACGGCACGAACGAATGCCAACAGATTGTTTAACTCTGAGGTAAAATAAATTTGCTTAAAAAATGACTACCTTCATTTAGATTTCGATCAAATTTCAGAGCATTACTTTCATTTACTTAGTAGTTTGATAAGATTACTAACATTAAGATTTGTTGGATGAATTTATAATTATTTACATTAAGATTAATTACATTAAGATTAATTACATTTAAAAGTATTTCACAAGCACTGCTCAAAGGTCTGGCTAGAGAAAGTGTTATTTTGAAATATATGCAAATAATTAATGTGTAAAAAAAAACCCCGAAATTGAATATACTGATCTCATCTTTTATGTCTTTTCTTTAGAACAACAATAACGGAGGCTATAATGTCGGTGATCAAAATCAAAAATCGAGCACTGAAAGTACACAATTTTATATGGTAAAGTTTTATGTTAAATGTTCAATATTTGATTTTCCTATCTTCCAAAATGAATTGATGTTCATTCGACAGCTAAAAAGTTGCATGTTATCAACCATCTTTAAATCAACAACTCAGTAAACATCGTGTTTTTATTTTATTTCATACAGCACTATTTTCAAAGTAGTAAATCCCATCACAACTCTGGTATGGCAGGAAAATCTCTTTTTACAGTTGAATGGACGAATCAACATGGTTGTGGTGACCGAGATTTAAACTGTAATATAGTTCTTCAATACAAATGTCAAGATGAGACAAAATACGAAGCACTAAGTTATCATTCTATGAGAAATGGTGAGATTAATAAACACAATAAACAATTGATTCAACCTATATTGAAAATTATTTTTGTGCATGTTTTACACAGTTATTCAGGAGACGTTCTATCCTCTTGTTTGGTTAAAGTTTGGAAATAAATACTTTATCTTTTCTTTGCTCTCTTCATTCGTGCATGCCAATTGATTTTATTGTCATTTATTTGGTTTAGGGCGACAAACGAACACACTCCCGTATATTAAACGAACCTTTCACAGCCGATCAAGCAAGAACTCTAGAATGCAGGCAGACTCCCAACCTTACAGAGGTCTCCACGAACCTTGGGAGTGGTACGATAAATGTAACAAAAGGCAACGTAATTATGGTGAGTTGTAAAATCTCGTATGCATGAGCATTTTCAAAATCGTGTTCCGGCAAAGTTTTTATATGTTGACGTCTTTGATGAGTCTCTGGCTCAAATTTTGAGAATTCATTTATCATTTATAGGATTATTCACTGCTGACCAAAAGCTAAATGGTCAACAAAGTATTTATACTCGTCAAAATTCAAACGGTGCTCGTTATGGTTATGAATGTCCTGAAGAACGTGATTATTACCCATATTGGCATCCCACAGACTGGACTGATATTGCTGTTCTTGCTTATAATGAATCTATGTGTGAATATTATAAAAAAGAAAGCTTCAATGTTAAAGAAAAAGGTTTGTGTTGTATATATTCCTCATTATGAGCATATAATTGGTGTCTCTTTATATACAGTTAGTGGAAACTAATGCTGGAAAAAAATACTAGCATATCATAGCAATCAGGCAATGTTTAAATCAACTTAAAAACCAACACTTAGATATTAAATCAAAATTTAAGATCAGTAGCTAAACCTTATCAGAACGTCAACTTACATCTGGCTAATTGATATTCACAACTTCTTCTTTTAGTTTGCGTATACTCCCAACTGTTTTCGTGTTTACTTGAAATCAGTTCGACCTAATTTTTTAAACTTAGAGTAATTGAACACTCAAGTTATATAGTGTTGCTGTACATAATGCTGCATGGTGCATATCTCGGCTCTGTAGTATGGTCCGAACGTGTAATAGAAAATAAAAAGATTGTATTTGTTAAAAAAAAATGCGCTGAATGCAGAATAAATGGCAATGCATTCAATATGAGTCAAAAATTGAATGCTATGAAAAGTGTGTTATATAAAAGCGTTACGCGAAGAAGTAGCCTAACAAAAGAAATTTTACCATGCCATGAAACCCAATTCATATAGACAATCTGCTAGTACATGATATTTTGGTAGTATAGTTGTAGAAAGCTTTGTTATATGTTATAGTTTGTTAAGGCAAGGGCGCCGGAAAAACGAAAGTGAGTGCGAATTTAGCAGTAGTGTTATTTTTTCTGAATCTTGCGAATAGTGTGGATACGTGTTTTCGATCGTCAAATTAGACCTATAGAAAACATTTTATTCTATAGTACTTTTGCTATTTTAATGCAAAGTAAGGGGGCACTGCCTCTTTTCAAGTAAATTAAAGATTACTTATAGCTCCCCCGCTTCCAACGCCCCGGACAGTGAAAATAACCAGATCCTCGTGGTCTTTTCAAATAAAATCTAAGTTTTCGATTTTGACAGTTTTCGACAGTTTCTTACTTTTTTCATTGTTTTCTTACATTGTTATTGTAAAGGTGAATGTCTTCAGTACTACAGTACAAAGTCAAATGGCTTTCGTCACTATTCCATTTACAACAACAAAGTCGACTGTAATAAGAATAAAGGTTTTTGGATTCCATTCAGCAATTATCTTGAAGAGTATCCCAAATATCAAACGAAAACCACGTGCTTAGCAGCAAGTTCAAAAAATCTACGTCTTATCTGGGCGATTCCTTATCGCTCTGAAAATATTGACAATTTGAAAATGGTTGGTGATAATATTGAATCTTTGAAACGGTGTTTGGTAGCTTTAGATCCACCAGAATGTTATAAAGCTCCCTATACAAGAAGTAATCATTTAGGAAATGCAAAAAATGTCGTTCCTCTTCGCTACAACTGGGTTCTTCCATATTTTCCATCAGGTCATGCTCAAAGATGTGTTTTAAGGATAAGGTAAAGATGATGTTTAATCTTTGCTCGAGTTTTTTCACTAATACTATCTGTACTTTCCATTTTATCTGCAATCTTTTTTGCACGAAGGTATAACATTTCTACTGGTGATTATCCTCCATTCAACACATTCAGTAATGAGAACAATAACCCGTAAGTATCGTAAGAAAGTTTTTTTTTTTCACCAAGTAGATGTGTGAAAATTTTCTTTGTCTTTATTTGTACTGAATGTCACTCTTTCATATTAAGAAGCAACAACGTATACTCTCCTGTGCAAAATAATCCAAAGATTAAGGTTGGACGAGTACAATTACCATTGCAACTTGCAATTAACACGGCTCAATTTGGACGCACTTTTCAAGATCGATCTCATATATTTAAACTGTTACCACGACCTAATGCCGTTAAAGATGATGACGTCATTTATAATCTGAACGTCCGTGGTAAACGTGGTAACGCAGAACAAACTTATCCAGCAGTGGAATATGACTTTATTCCCAAACGACTTCACATAAATAGCAAAGATCTTGTTCACATCCAATGGACAGGTGAGAGAAACAATCTATACTGGTTTGTATACGTATATGTTGTAACTCATAAATCTTACTAGTTTACTTAGCTAGTACGAAGGGACTTGACAAAGTTTCTACTGATTTGAAATCTAGAAGGATTTGTTCTTCTGTTTATTAAAATTGTGGTTTTATTGTCGCTTTTGACATAAAGAAAAAGCATAATATTAAGATTTGCACGACTGAATGATTGTATGAAACCATAGATAGAATTTTTATGTAGATTTGACATTTTAAAATCATGATAAACTATAAGTTGTTATGTACAGGCATGTGGACAAAATCTTAAATCGATTTTGTGGAAAATTGGCATGATGAACAAAACTTGTTTAGCAGCTTATTTTCGTCGTGCATGGTCAATTTTTGAACCCAAACAATTTGTCCATTTATCATTCCAAGAGAGCAAGTATGCATGTTTGAATTTATACAAGAAAAATAGCTTTACCAATACTAGTAGGCAAATGCATCCTTACACACTTAAAAGAAAATAATTGTCTACCATCGTGCAAGTGAGATGGCTTTTAAGGGTATCAAAAAAGTTGCTTGGACGTAAAGGATTTTGGAAGAGACTGCCTTTTCTTAAAATAATTAAATTTTTTAAAGGTTCAAATACAAACCCTTCTGGCAATGCTGGACAAGGCACTGCAGGTAAAAATAAATACAACTTGTTAATATAGTAAGATACAATCAATAACAGCAACATTATAAATTTGTTTTTAAAGGTACTGATCGAAACAATATGGTGGAAATGCAAGACCCTTCAGTGAATTATCCACTCACGTCTGAGAAACCATTAACAATGTTTGAAAATGCTGAAATCGTCTGGTCCAGTGATATAGAGACTAAGACAAAAGAAGATCTTGTTTTAAGTATGGCTTCTTCTGGTTACTACAACAGCATGTCACTTTGTCAAGCATCACCAAAGAAAACTGCTCTTAATGAATTACTGAATAACGCTCCAGCCTCATATCGTGGTATGTTGCTCAGGTTTGCACCTGGAGAATATTACTACATGTGCACCAGGAATAATAATTTCAGTAACAGAAATCAAAAGGGAAGACTAATTGTCAAAAAAGTTGGCAAAGCTGCATAAACATGACTGAAAAACACGACGAGGAGTGATTCTGGTGATTTTCTAAGTTACTTTTACTACATTAATTCAAAACTAACATTGATAGTTTCATTATTCATTTAATAAATAGTAAATTGTATCTTTTTTACTGCTAGCCTAGATATGACTAAGTATGTTTGAATAAATCATTGATTTAATGAATAATTTACACTGGTAAATATTGTAAAATTTTATTAAGTAAGAATGAAAGCAACGTCATGACTATGCGAGGGGCGTGACTACGTCGACCAGCAAATTTCCAAAGAGCCATTTTCCACAATAATGGTGCAATAAATAGACTTAACGAAGTCACGCTCAAAATGATCAAATATATCTAGGAATGCGAAACAAAATAAAAAAGGTTTATGGCACAATACGAGGTAAAATGATTTTTAAAAACCGAACAATAATAATACTACGACGATTGTACGGTGTGACTTATTACATGAAGTAGAGTTTGAGCAACTTCTACCAACAAATGCGGAAATTTATACCAGATATTTTTTATGTTAATCTTGAAAGTTGATGGCGTTCAAATTTCTAATTTAAACTCTTAAACTCAAGACACATAAAGTGAATTTATCATGAATTGATCGTATTTTCATGAATTGGCATAAATAGTGTTTTATTACGGAGAGATTGTGATATATTGTGTAAACACTTCAGTCTTTCGTTGATATAAACCCATTTCTTTATATTTCTCTTACCTCTCGTGTGATTAAGCCCAATCTCCGGGCACGGCTTCCAACAACGAAAGAAAACTCACTAACTTGAGCTAAACCAGCTGCTATTATAAATCTAACATTCTTTGATTCAGTGGTCAAAAATCGAAGAACAGAAGATGCCACCACAAGCTAAAATACATAAAGCAACAAGATAAAACAACAACTCGGGGGCAAAACTAAACTGGTGCGGGGTGAGGTTGTTAAACATTTACTTTCACATCTTTACATTGATGTGTCATAACTATGGAAATCAACATGTGTATTCTCGTTTTTTCGGCAGATCTATTTTTATTGAAAACCACAAAAATAGAAGAACACATGGTATACGAATTTTTTTCATTTTTTGGCAAATATTTCAGCAAAAGGATAGTATAAATTTTAAACAACCTTTAAAAGGAATTTTCCGGAATTTAAAACTGTAAGTAAAGCAATGGAAAACATAAAATAATTATTATAAAAAGTAAAATAATACCTTAATTATAACAACACCCAAAGTTAAAACGACAATTAAGGTTAATTGGTCAAAAAGAAACGTTGGAAATACATGTAATCCTAAGAACGAAAACATGTAACATATTCAGAGAAAATGACGACATGACGTCTTAAAAGTCGTATTTGCTAAATTTCTCCACACTTCGGAAGAAAACTGTACTTGCAGCTAATTGAATTTTTTCTTATTAATGTCTACAACATACCAATTGAAGTAAAGAAAATACAAGAAAATAAATCCTTGATTGATTCCAGTAACTTGTTCAACTGCACAAAAAAATTCTGTATTATTGTTCACAACTTATCACACTCGCTATATTAACGAATTAAAGTGAAGCCACCTCTTTCATATTTTCTTCACCCAGAGAGCTTATCATTGTTCCTGCAATAAAGCATCCCAGTTCCATTGAAATTCCAAGTAGGTCTGTCAACTATCAGGAAAATACATGTAAGTGTATTGTTGATAAACGTTTTTCTCGTTGACACGTAAAAGTCGCCTAATTGAGATCTATAATTCTAAGAAATCAACAAGAAATAAACTCAGAATAGAAATTTAATAAAGAAGCTAATCAATTTATAATGACCTGCAAAAAGATAAAACAAAAAGATAATATTCCAAGTGTAGTTAACTCTGAACTGCCTTCTTCTCTACTTTGAAGAAACCTAAAAATATACACACAAGATAAGCAGTACAATTTTAACAAATTATTTATGATGTTACAAAAGATTAGTTCATTTTCACACATTGAAAAGGAGCATTCTTTTTATCAAACCAGATTATAAGTTCAGAAATAAGGATATTTGGCTTGCTGTTGAAAGCAGAATAACGCACATATCGTCACGGTACTAAGTATATTTTTTCAATTTTAAAATTTTTGCCTAAATTTATTTTGTCCACGTGTGTGTATTCTGTATTTACTTCTGAAGTCTATTCACAATCAAAGCGACTCAAAAATGTTAAATATATCATATATTCGATAAAAATGTTTGAGTGTTTTCAAAATTATATTAATTCTTTTCTTTTTTCTCAAAATTTCCAAAAATGACTGAGGCATACAAGTTTAGTCACATGAAGATATGAGAAAAATGGATTTCAAACGTCTTGTTTTCTTATTTTGATTGTGATGTAGGCTAACAATGTCTTTACGATTTATGCAGACAAACCAATCGAGTATTTAGAAATTATCAGTCAATCTTTCAAATGATATAAGTAATCACATCTTGCATTGTATTCAATCCACAAAAGTCACGTTTTCCACAGATTATTCAGATTTAAATCCACTTGTGGATTTTTTTAGAAAAAACGCCCAATTTCAGTTATGATTTAATAGATCTTTTCTGGCCTATTGTACAAAAAGAAATGCGACTTTACAAGGAAAGAAAATACGTACGGCCTATAATAGACTTTAGAAAACATGGCAAAGAAGCATCGTTAAAACGTTTTTCATTACCTGAAAAACTTGCCTAAAAAATATTTTGTAATAAAGTATCCAAATATCATAACTCCAATGACAGCCAATATCAGTTCAAACATAAGCCAACCAATTGGTAATGCTTCCTCTATGAAACAAAGGGAAGAGGCATTGGATGAAAAAATGTACACTTTAACCGTACACATATTGAATAAAAAGATATCTTCTTCAGAGAAATAATGAACGAAGAGATTTGAAAGATTCAGTCATTGATTTGATGGTACATGCTGATGGTACAATTTTATTGACGATTTACGTACCAGAATGCCTTATTCCATGTAAGAGATTATGAACTAATCCAGTCTTGATAACTCTTGCACTTCGTGTGCCGTGATGTCCAGCCAATGCAGGAAGAATGGCGATGAGAAATCCCATATGAACGTCTTGCATAACAAGAATTCCGAGCAATGGACTAGCATAGTCATCACCGTTTGTATGAACTAAAACGGAGAGTAAGACTAAAATTGAAAAGGTTTTTGTAACCTGTTTAAAACATGATCACCACTCACAGTATTTTCCAGCGTAATTTAAAGTAGATTACAAAAAATGTTGAAACAAAAATTACGTTTATCTCCGGTGTGTAGTGATGTTTTTTCTAAAGATGACGATGATATGAACTTGGCAACAAGTGGAGTACTGGAAAGACACAAGCAAGCAGCAACAAATAAACTTTGTCTTGCTGGAATACCAAAAAACAGCCCCCAAACAACACCACAAAGTACAACAGTAATCATGATGGCTGTACTACCAAAAACTGCAACTTTCCACACCTGTAAAATTGAAAGAACTTACAGTCGTTAAACAGATTCCAAAAAAATCAAAAAACAATAGCTATCAAGATACTTGCCTTTTTTATTTTGTCAGGGGAAAACTCCAACCCAAGTGAAAATATAATGAGAAAAACACCAAACTCACCAAGTGTTTCAATTTGAACAGTTGACTAAAAATATAATAATCGTTAGTAATCACACCAAAAAAATTTCAAGTTGTAATTAACCAATCCAACAAATTATACTTTCTCATTGAATTAGATATAAGATGTCAGGGTTGTTGAATTACATTGAGTAGAATTAGATTTTCACCAATTGCTACATGTACTTTGTTTGGCACTGACAGAATTGAAGCAAGGATCAATAGGAATTGAGCTGAAAAACTGTTTTAAAACATGCATTTTACTATCATGTCTTACCTGTATTAAATTCAAACCAGTTGGACCAAGGATCATGCCCATTATAACAAACCCAAACATGGTAGGCATATGAAGTATGTTACACAGCAGTACAAAGATAAAAGACAATATTATTATGAAAAATAAACTTTGTATGAGATGTCGATCTTCGTGTGGCAGTGTAGGATCATTGGCTTTTGATAATACATAACGATTACTGTTTGAGTCAATCAATGATGTCATGACATATTTTGTTTGATCGCTGAGTAATTGACTGTAATTGTTGCCTCTACTATCCAAGATATCCCCTTCTTCATTTTCATTTACTCTCAACACAACCTCATAAGCCCCACCTTTTTGACTTGAATATACATTTTCCTCTAAAGAATCTTCCAGTTTATCTGCGGAATCTGATACCTCACTCAATACCTCTTCTATATATTTTTGCATTTTTGATGAATGAGTGCTTGAGGTGTCATTTTGTTTCTCTTTCTTATTGATGGTATTAAAATCTTTCTCGGCTTTTGATATCTCAGTTAACAACATTTGCTCACGTGCAACCTCGTTTTCCAAGTTTATCATTCTTGCTTGAACTCTTTCTTTCACATTAGCAATTGATTTACTATCCTCACTGAGAAGTTTTTTCAAAAAGTTGAATGATGCAAATATAGCATGTCTGGTGTCATTCAATTCCTTAAGAACAAGATGGAGAGTTTGAATTTGAGGATGCAGAAGATTTTTTAGTCTTTTATCTGAAGATTTAAACTTCTCAGAAAATTTCTTTTGCGATTGGCAAAGTTCATTCACGTTAGTACAATAATCCCTTTTTGGAATTTGCAACGATTTAAAAAAATATTTTGGATTTGATCCTCCTGTGGCTGGAGTAGTTAAGACTGAGCAAAACAATATTGCTGTAGTCAAAAAACCGAATTGCATAACGCTGTGAAATGGATCTAATTTAAAAACCAATACTGATTCCTCTCATCTCTCGCAAAACCCATCCACGATAGCCATTATACAGTATTTTCAATAAGTAGTTATATAAACGATGTTTTCAAAGTTGTCAACGTGGCGATTACGTAGGAGTGCAAAATTTGAAGTGAATTATACTTTAATTGTATCGGCAATACACACTCTCATAAGCGTAGTGAAAAATATCGACGATATGCAGCTCACGAATTATTCTTCATTACAACTTTTGTTTGTAAATCAAACGGCATCGTATACAAAAAAATGAAAAAAATTATGGTGTTATTTGAGATTAGTGTTCCAATAAATGGATTACTATGGATATGTAGTGATACAAAAGTCACTAAAGGTACATTTTTTCACTCATGATTATAAATCTTTGGCGGGAAAGAGAAAAGATGGCGGAAGATGGTAAGAAAATCGGCGTTGATCAAAATGAACTCGAACTCGAACACGAAGGGCACAGAATATCTATTGATAAGTTGATAAATACATTGGAAAATGGTAATGACATGCATATGTATTATATAAGTGGACTTTTGTTGTGATATTTCATCTTCAAATTTGTAAATTTTAGAGTTTATGCATATTCATATTTTTTCTAATAATTAGAAGAAGCAATTCGAAGAAAACCACCGGCACTTTACAATGGTACCTCTGTCATTGTTTGTTTGCAAGAAGAAGCATGTCATAATGGTTTGAGTGATGAGCAAATTACACGTCTTCTCAACATTTGCTGCAGTAAGAAATTTGGTAAGAGCACAACCTGCACATGATACCCTTGCTAAATACTAAATAGATGATTTTTATAAATTATAATATTTTTAAAAGCAAATGAATTTAAAAGAGAAAGACTTATGTAGCAAGTTATTATTTCCCACGTGCTAATTTTACATCATCACAAATGAATACTTTAGATCAACATGTTTGGTTGTGCTATGTAAACTTTTGGTCATTTGCTTCATTGACTTCTTTAGAAATCTATTGATTTTACAGTGAGTGAAAAATTTAAACAGCACATTCAAACTTGTAGGGTAGCTACATAGGTGCAGCCATCTATATTATATTATATATATGTATATATGTATATGCCAAAGCAGTAAACGATGCATTTGCTTTCATTGAATTTTTTTATCATATGTTAGTTGATGCTGTGAGAAATCAAATCATCAAATGTTTGATTCCAAGACATGGCATTTCAGCAGATTGTATAATAAATGTTTTTTCAAGAATGAGTGCAAACATTATCAACACCAGTATTCAGGTATGTTGTGTAATGCATGAAAAACATGCATTTTAAACATGTAGCATAGCCAGCTTGACTTTTTGTTGGTTTTAAGGCACCCTCATATGTGATGTGTCTAAAATATGCTCAGTAATCACATCTTTGCTGTGTTTTGGTATTACATATGTCTTGACTTTTGGAAATTGATATAGCTTGTTTGGATTATCAAATTCCAATCGTGGAAGCAGGTTCATGTGTCTAAAACTATTTTTGTTCATTATAAATGTTATGATACAGTTTTACTTACAAAGAGTTATGTATGTATTTTTAGATTAACTTATTTGCTAGTTTTAGCTAGTATTGTTTTAGCAATTATTAAATTTTTTCTTATTATAAAGCTGTTCTTGCATGCAGAGCTTAGTAGAGACCAGTGCTTATTAAGATTTCTACCAGAGTATTTATTACTTTATCACTTAAGGCTCATCTAGTATATTTTTATTGTCCAAAAACCTGTCTACATGATATGTATGCATATAAAGATAAAGTCAAAAGTTGCTACATGCATTGCTTTATAAGGAGTGATGCTTAAACAAGCGTTCTTTGTTACCTACTACTATTCAGCTTTCAAACAACTCATGTTTGGCACAAACATTCTGTATGTAGTAAATGTACATATCAACAATTCTATTTTTTCTTTTCTTGAATACGTATTATAGGTATCGTTATTGAAATGGATAATAATGGTGTACGAATTGATTGATGACAGGGATAAAGTTCATAATTTATACGGCATGATATTTCACTTTTTGGACAACGATACTTTGGTAAAGTTTTGTTGTTGCTCTGAAAGAGAAATTTTGCCATTTAATTGTAAAATTTCGTTTCCTTTACAATTTTACATTTTTTAGTGTCCTTATGTTTGTCACTTGTTGTATCTTATGACGAGAAAGGATGATGGTGTGTGGTGAAATTTATTTTTCGTGTATTTTAATTCAGTACTGAAAAAAGCGTACGTTTTTATAGTGAAGGCTTTTAGACTGAGAAAGTTATTGGATCTTATGGGAAAAGTGGTGAGTGCTGTCTGTGTTTTTGTACCAGTTTCAATGTTTGCTGATGGGTTTAGGGTCTGTTAGCGAATATTTAGTAAAGCCAACGACTTTGGTAGCCCACTGGGCATTACCAAAACCGAAGGGGCTCAGATTCTTGCAGAAGGTCACATGTAGCAAAAGTTTTTTTTCTCGTTTACTCGATTTTAAGTGTTGTAGGCTATGTCTTTTAGCTTTTTCACCTTCTTTCGGTTTTCATAGCGTGCTTATTTATGAAGTACGCAGATTCAAACTTTTGTGATTGTTTAAAAAAGTAAACTTCCGTCTTTTGTAAGCAATTTACAGACCTTTTGAACTGTTGCTAGTACATTACTTTTTTCATAGTTTCTTTTCTGACTTGGTAAAGCAGGTAAATTTGTTGTTTTTGATTGGGTCTTTTGGTTTCTAATGATCTGATGATTCTGAAACTCTAAATGAGAAAATTTCTTTACTTTGGTAGAAATTGTAGAAAGAAGTTACATTTCAGTACTAGCTACATGAAGTTTGCTCTGATCTTTCTGGAATATTGAGCAATTTCTTCCCTCTTATAATATCTATAGAATGTTGGAATGAATATCAATTGATTTTTCTTGCAGGGACAACAGTCGTATTTGATTGGACTTTTATATTTATACAAAATCTACTCGCCCCATTTGGTGTCTGTCAATATTCCCAACATAAAAAAGGTATTCATTACCTCTTACTCTATGGTAGAGATGTATTGTACCCAGAAATCGAACCCTAATAACATTAAATTTAATTTTTTTAATTTATTTGTTTAATAATGCAACATCGAATTAATTTCGGTAAATGAGAATACGTAAGTTAAACTGTTTGAAAAGTCTTGTTTTTCTTTTATTGAGGCATTCTTCAAAAGAAAAGATGCAAAGTGGTTGGATATTTTGTGGAAAGTAAATTCAGCTTATCAAGGAAACAAGACAGGGGAAGCAAGGCTAATGAAGCAAGAAAATAAAATGTTCATTTTGCAGGTATAACCAGGATTTTGCTGTTTTTTTGTTTTCTTGTTGTTTCACGAAATAGCTTAAACAATGTTTTCCATTATTTTATTCTCTCCACTATGTAAATGATATACTTGGACTTTAAGATTACGTTGTAGAAACAAGACTTATTATTAAACATTTAAAGAAACACACCACATATATTTATGACGAAACTCCATCGATATAATGGATGATATCGTCTATAAAGAAACTCAGTAAGATTTATATTATATATATTTAGGAGACAAAAAGACGAAGAAAAGATCACTTTCTTCATTCATCACACAGTTATTATACAAATGTTCACGATGGAGAAATGAACACGAAAGTAACCATGGACAAAATAACGTGTTTCGACGATTTTCTCTCAAACATTGATTATATAGAGGTAAAACTATATTTTAGAAATAGTATAAAAGGAAGTCATCTTTCATATTTTCTAAATAAACAAAATGTATACAGTGATGTTGCTAGGCTTGTGATTTAGCCGAAAATTTTACTGTGCATGTTCACTTACTGTGAAAAAAGTATATTTCCAAAGAAAGAAATAATACCTCCTTTATTCTGAAAGTTACTTAGTTGTTATAACCAACCTTGGAGTTGTTTACGCTAATAAATTATGTGTTTCTTTGTGTTTTGAAGCAAATGCAAGATGTAAATTATTTTTTCGAATTACTTTCTCTTATAGTATCCTAATCAAATGGGTTGTATTTTTGAATCTCAATATTTACAACTTTATTTGACAATAACTCAAGATGAAGCAGCCATTGTACGACTGAATTTTTGGCTTCAACAAGTTCTTTACGAAGGTATCAGTATATACCTGATCGATTTAGTTATTTACGTATCTTGTATTATAAATTATACAGTTAAGAATATGTAAAATTTCTTTTTATGTCACAAAACGAAAACTTGAATGTATGTACATTGGTGGATCCAGCGTTAGCAAAATAAATAATAGCAGCTATTTAAATTTTCAAAAAGTAAAATTTTGTACCAATTAAACTGCTTTAAGGTATTTTGGTATGTACATACAATAAAGATCAAACTGTTCTAGAATGGTCAAATGCATATGGTGAATTTAAACTTTATCATTCTGCATGTTTGGTTCACATGCTCTGTTTGTAATCATTTGGCCTCATAATGCTAATGGTTTGGCATTATAGAAAAACTCCACTCTGACTTTGGATTTCGGTTTGCAGTAACGAGTGTAAAAGCGAAACAATTGTAAATTGTTTTATTTCTTAATTAAACTATAATTTGTGATAAAGTTTGTACCAAACTATAATATTATCGTTTCTTTAATACGTTTAACATGCATGTATAGCATTCGTAAAAATCGCGAGAAGTACTACCTAAATAAAGTTGTTTGAACATTCTTAATGCTTAGAGCTAGTAAGTGCACCATCTGCTGTTATAAGAGAAAGAGTTCGGAAGCTTCTTCAAGCAATACTTAATTTTCTCATGGTCTACCAGGTTTGTGAATTCTCAATGTAAAAATTGTTTTTACTCTTGTCTTCCAGAGATGTGCACATCAATATTAGTAGTTGGGCAAGCTACGAAAATTGAAATCATATTCACAGTGCTGTAAGTCAGTTACAAACAGTTTCTTTTTTCTTTTTTATAGAAACCACTGTCATCTTTGGAGCTTTGTCTTTCACAATATTTGGTTGCGTGGAATGGCGCAGATTATCAAACGTTGATATTTTTACTTATCTCTCAAATGCCGATGACACCATATGAAAGTGAAGCTTTATTTGATATCTTAAGTTTAATTTATTTGGCTAAGTCTTCTTTGATTTTAACATAAATCAGTTCAATTTCTTACACAAATTTACTTTCTAGAGTTGAATGATTTGGTACTCGAACCTCTACGAAATTTATTCTTTTGCTCAGCTGTCGAGTTCAAGGTACAAAAAGGTTAAGTTGCATGCACACGACTGAGGCTAAAACATGAAAACATTTATAACATTTATGTTCATAAACATTTTATGTCCCAACTTTTATACTGGCGTGCTGTGAATGAGACTGAAATAGTAGAATGGAAGTTTAGAGGAACGATTGAAAATTGTGGTTTCCCATTCGGTCAAGAAAAGTTATAACATCCATATTTTCTAGTGTCAAGTTCTGAGTTGCTTCACGGAAATGCTAATTACATATGCACGTTCAGCAATGATCATTTCATTGGAAGAGAAAAATAAATCAATGCGAGCTTCTTATGAACAAATGAGGTATATAGACTTTTTAAAATTGATTTTTACCTCGCTTTTATAATGTGATAGCTATACCAATTACATTGCTCATTTTCTCGTATATTATGTTCCGTTAAAGTCTCGACAAGGAAGAAATTTGTACTGTAATGATGAATTTAGTAAAATTTGTTGATAAAATTTCAACTATGGCCATGCAGGTACCAATCAAATTATCTTATATATATTTAATTGCACCATCAGTCAATTTGATTTATTTTCTTCCTTGTAGATGGAAAGTGACAACATACTACTTCAACACTGCATATTGTATTTCTTTGAGCAGGTACGTAGATGTAAGGATTTTATCTCACGTAGTTCAAAGGTAGATTGGATAATTGAGTTAGTGAAAACTATCGGCGCTAGTAGATCTAGTTAATCATTGCTCTGACTATGAACTGCAACAATTGGTCTGACTATGAACTGCAACAAAAGCTCCCTCAGTTCGTCGAGTAAACTGTGGAAGTTTTCCGTCATTCTTTATTGGCATGTTGTCTGTCTTCAGCTTGTTTCAACAAATGTATTTTCAAATTTGTTACCTCAATGACCTCTACCGGCCTTTCGTGTCCTCACCATTTTCAAAAACAAAAGAGCCAATACACAACCATAGACATTACACCGTGGAACAGAAAGAAAATTGCTTACATGTACATTTTAGACAACAAGACAACTAGTGGTTATTTAGACTATAGTTTGTGATAGGTTATACAAAAAATGTTATTACTCGCCATGAAGTCATTGGATGTTTACCTCGTGATGTTTTTTGAAACTCTGCACTATCCTTGGATCCCTAGTTATTACATTTGTTGTATTTATTATAAACTTTGTTAATTTTTTGTAGGTTTCCACGCTTCATCATCGTTTTCCTGGAGTAAATTTTGTTTACACACCTTCTCCCACCATCGTATATCGATTTATTTTTTCTACAAATCCTATGACTATATCGAGACTTTGTAATGTTATGGTAAAGTACGTATGTGCAATAATTTATTTGATTACCATCTTAATAATATACATGAAAAAAATTCTCAATTCTGATTGGTTAAGAGCAGTGTAATTTATCGTAAATACCAGTGCAAAAAAAAAGAAATACAGTGAAATTTCTTTTTGAAAAATACGTTCCTGATTTGTTAGTCTAACAAAGGAATGATGTAAGAGCCAATCAAATTAAAACATTTCAAAAGCTGGAAAGTAAATTGTTGTAAACAAAGCATGGTTTTTCGTGCAATTTGGAAAACAAGCACTCGTGAGTTTTTCAAAGACTTCAAATTGCACGAGTCCTTCGGACTTTTCGGATTTTTTCCAAATTGCACGAGAAACCATGCTATTACCTATACATATTGTACCATGAACCCATAAAGGTACAAGGTGTGATCACATAAGAAAAACGCAAATTGACTGCTCACCATCGACATATCATTTAATGTCCAGCGTCATTTCAACTCGATAAAATATAGAAATATAGCAAAAAAAGACTAATATACAAGGAAACGACTATTACTCTATTGCCATCACTATCGACTGAGCAATGACATATTGCAGAAACGCAACTTTTTTCAAATCTGCGACAGGTCGTGCAAGTGTTTATATTTAGCTCCATTGAGATAAGACTATGGGTAAAAAAATTGAAAACTCGCCTAGTACCTTTTACGAAACAAGAAGTGCTGTTGAGATAAAAGATTTTAGACTCAGGATTTTGAAGATGCATGACGCTAATGGTCTTTCTTCATGTTGCAGTATAAAAGATACATTTGAGTACCAGAAGCGTGCAACCACGAAACACGAGTGTATTGGGTTTGATAAAGTTGACCAGTTCAATCGATATATTCTTGATATATGTGACACAATTTGGAGAAATAAAGCTTTTGAAGATCGCTCTAATTCATTATGTTACAGCATACCAAGGTATTAATAGAAAGATTACTATTCTTTTTGAGGTAACGTTTCTTTGTTTTATAATTCATTTTTCGCGTTTCATAAGTATCGTTTCTTTATAGACCTATAACACAGTCCCTTGAAATCCCACATGTTAACGAGCGCTTCTCGATTTTAAATCATGTAGCGTTTGTTTTTCTTGCAAAGAAATATTTGGAAGAGGTTTGTTTAAATTTGCAGAAATGTTTAGATGGATCACTATGTCTTTACCTAACTTTGCATAACAATAGGAAGATAATTAAGTCAAGGTCTGCCTGAGAGTACTAGCGGCGTGTCAGTACTAGCGTAGTGTCTGTACTAGCGGGATTCAGCATATGGTGTCTGTACTAGCGGGGATTCAGCATATGGTGTCTGTACTAGCAGGGATTCAGCATATGGTGTCTGTACTAGTGGGGATTCAGCATGTGGTGTCTGTACTAGCAGGGATTCAGCATATGGTGTCTGTACTAGCGGGGATTCAGCATATGGTGTCTGTACTAATGGGGATTCAGCATATGGTTTCAGTACTAGCGGGGTGTCACTTGGAGCGTAGTGTCCGCTAGGCAAGAGTTGCATTGATATAAAAATGTTTTGTTACATACAAAAGATTACCATTGCAGAGTGGTCTATACATTTCAAAACCCTGTATTCTCGAGTTAATGGTATCATCCACTGATATTTGCAAGAATAATTTTTCATCTATTCTTATTTTTATCACATCCACCATTTAGACGCAAAAAAAGGACATAAGAGTGAATCCAAGTTTAATTCGAGTAAGTCTACTTCCCTTAAGAAAGGCTCAATTTTATAACTTATGATCCATTACAAAAGATCTACCCATTTATACCTCAATATTTCTTGCTAGGGGAAAGTAAGAACTGTTTACCTTGAATTTTTGAAAAGTCAAAACCATAATGGAATTATCAGGTTTTTAAACACTTTTATCAAACAAAGGACATCATCATCTGTCAACTGACTATTGTGAAACTAAACAAGGAAACTTTACTTCTTTATTTAACACCTATAAGTGCATTAACTTACCAAAAAACACAGAGCAACAGTATTGTAACATAGTATTATATCTCCAACAAAGGTTTGCTTGCAAGCACTGAACTTGACCCAAAGTATGTAAATAATATTAATGTAATAATGGTCAAACATTTTATATTTTTGGAACACCTGTTTTTATCTTTGGATTGGGTGCATTTGGGTTGGTTTGAAGGTAAAATCTTTGAAGTAAATCAATTGCTTCTTTGGCATAAATTCCAGATATTGCCTGAAATGGCTGACCTTGTATTTGGTCACAATTGCAGGATTTATTTTCCCAAACATCTGAATCTATGTTCAGTATTGAACCACAACCACCAAATCTTTCATTTGCACAACCATATACAACTTTATTAATATGCAAACTTCTAAGTGCAGAAGCACACATGATACAAGGCTCAACAGTAACATAAAGGGAACTTTCTTTTATCACATTCATAAATTCCAAACCATTCATCTCACAATAATTTTGGACTTGATCTATTGCTATCATCTCTCCATGCCTTGTAGCATTCTTGGTTTCATTAACTTCATTACATCCTTTACCAACAACCATTGAGTTATAGACAATTATACATCCTACTGGCACCTCTCCATTAGCTAAAGCATTTTCGGCCTGTAATTAAGAATATTAAAGAAGTGACCATTGAGTTTTAGGGGACAAAATAACATTTGGACTATTATTGGCTATTTTCCCATTCAAAATTAGAATTAACAAACAATTTCATGACATGTCTACACCAGGTAAACAACAGTAGTTGCATTTCCTTTGCAATACCCACATGAAATAAAAGGTGAAGAGGTTTTGCCACTTTTGCCCTCTATATTAACAACTTCTATTATTTATAAGTTGACAAAGTTCAAATGATCCAGAATGTCAAAAACAATCATTCTACACAAAAAAATCGTTTAAGTCACTGAAAATTTATAAAAACCTTATATAATTATAGTGATGTTAATTTTATGATAGTAACAAAAATAACCTAATTTACCATTATCAAGCAATCCTTCATCCATTTCTTGTCAACTTCTGACATTAGCTCCATTTAGCGGTGACGGTCCGACGGTTATCATTCATGATTCATATATTGTTTATTATATTCAACATACACCCTCCCCAGTTCGTATCGCGATTTGGATAGCCAAACAATCGAACATATCTTATTATCTATGATCTATTCAACCAAAGATGAATTTTTGCCCAATAAAGATTTATAGATTTTAAAATTGTTTGGTGAATCGTTGCTAAAAGTTAATTTTATTTGACCGTGGGGGGACGGGGATTAGTATCATTGGGTGCTTTCTTTTGGCAAAACATCCCCACGTATAATGTGAGTATTCTAAATTCTATATTTTTGTGATCATATGCTATTACCATATATAAAGTTGATACGTATAGTATTAGTATAAAAATAAAAAGACACTATATTAAAAGATTAACGTAACAAAGTCTTGGTTATGCAGATTATAAATCAGTGTTATAAATGCAATATCATCATCATAACACTTAATAATGAAAGAACTGCCTTAATTAGCTGCTTGGCAATAAAGATTTATGAATTTGGGTGTCAAGTAATAAAGCCCAAATTGGATTCATATACGTTTAAAGTGTTGTGAAATAGCATTTTACTGTCTTGTGTTTCTGCTTTAGTTTCATAAATAACAGAATTGAAGACAACTCTCTAGAAAGTATGGCAGGAGAGGTAACCACCTACCACTGTTATAAATTGCATGTAGGCAGTAGCAGAGTCAGACCATAAGTTTTAGGTCCACATTTACATGTGTACGAACATAATAACATTAAATTAACTCCATTTGGAATTTTCAATCTCACTGTATTTAGACAAACATTCCTTGGTTAGAATGTAACCTGGAAATTTCTTCAAGATGACCTCCAATTCAATAGCTCCTAATAAAAATCAAATTTTGTCAATCTGTAACTTAGCCAGCTTATTGATAATTAGGGGTGTGGTTGGCCTGGCAATATTCATATTCCCAAATTTTGAACTGGTTACATCATGTCATCAGTAACAATTTAATCAAAGGATTAGAATATTTTGACTTTTTCTTATTTACTACAAGTACTTTGATCAACAAGTGAAACAATTTGTGGCTGTAATTTCATGTTGTAAATCAATTTATATTCATGCATGTAACTTGTGTTCCTCTTCTACTGTTCTTACATTAATTTTTTAACTTTGCATCATTTTCATCTTGATGTAGTCAATGTGAATTTCATTGATATTATAGGGAGGACGATTATGGGGTGGTCGTTTTACTGGAAAAACTGACCCTGTCATGGAATCATTCAATGCATCAATAACATTCGATAAGCGTTTGTTTTCTGTTGATATTGAGGTGATCATTATTTGTTATTGTTCATGTTAATTTTTTGAAAGAGTTTCATGATAGTACAATAGTAATCATACCCATAACTACATTGTGAAAACTTTGATATTTTTTTATTTACAGACAATAGTTGCTGCTCTAGAGTTTATTATTATATTTATTGCTATATATTCAGCTAGACAACTAAGGATTACGAGGTGTAGGTGAAATTAAAGTGGTTATTGTGATTGATCACCAAGGGATTATAAACCGGACTTAGATAGTTTAAAAAGTGCTTTTTGAAAAATGTACTCTCCAAGAATATAGATTAATTTCACATCGTATTTCCCATGAAACCATAAGCTAGGCAAATCATTTTTATAATATGCTAACTTCATATTATATAGGGAAGCATAGCTTATGTCAAGGCTTTGGAAAAAGTTAAGATTGTCAGCAATGATGAGATGACTTCAATTATCAAAGGACTTGAAATGGTATATTATCAATGAAAATTAAATGATAAATTTGTTAATTTATAATTGCTGTTTTATTTGTTTAATCAGATCAAGGAAGAGTGGTTGAGTGGTGTGTTTAAGCTGCAACCTGGTGATGAAGATATTCATACTGCCAATGAAAGAAGACTAAATGTAAGCTTTTCAAGCAAGTAGGGAACAGGAAACCAAAACATGAACAAACTTATAAATGAATTATCAATAGTTGATCTGCTAGTTTGTTTCATCTACATTAGCTGTTTTTCTCTTTTTTCTTTATTTTTCAAATTAAGTCTTAATTTTGTTTATAATTACTTTGTCTACACATCATATAAAATTGCTTGCTTTTTCTTTAAATCAGCATAGATTAGAGCATTTTGTGAATATTACATTCAATAAAAATAGTATTTTAATGTTTTGCCAGGAACTTATTGGAAATGTAGCTGGTAAACTACATACTGGAAGAAGTAGAAATGATCAAGTAATTTTCATTCATTCATTATCTTTTAATCTCAGTTTTTTCAAATTACTTCAAAACAAAATATACATGCACGGGCGACTATTGGATAATTTATTTGATGCTAGAAAACATAATTTTTTGTAATTTTAATTTTAGGCTGCCACTGATACAAGGTAATGGGTACTTATTGTGCACCTAGTTAACCATCCATATTCTAACAAATGCTTTCATGGGAAATAAAAAGATAGATCCTTAAATTATTCGTTTGCAATGAACAAATACGTAATGGTCAGATAAATGTTAAACTCCGTGCATTACATATACATATACTTTAAAGATAGGAAAGTACTTACATCAAAATCTTAGATCTAAATGATGTATCCTTAACTTAATAAATGAATTTCCATTGATCAAGACAACAACATATAGATCAAAGGACATTTTAATAGGAGGTATTGTTGGTCAAAACTCCATATAATTCTGCTCAAGTGCTGGCACAAGAGGTGGGAGGTTTCAAGTTTTTTTTTAAAAAAAAGGGCAACGTCTTTCTAAAGCAAGAACCCCTGCTTTGAAACATAGTTATTTAAGTTAAAAACCTAACTTAAATAACGGAGGCAAGGTCATACTTGTTATTGTTGTTGCCAAAATTCCCAGTTCAGTGGCAGAGTACATCAAAAGAAATTACTGCAGCACATTTAGGCATACATTTACGTTTCTAAACACCTTAGAGGCAAATTCATTGGCAAAATTATATTCTTCAGAAATTAAAAACCAATATATTTTTTCTGAATATAATTCGAATTTAAAATTGAGGAACTCTTATTTATTTTGAATTTCCTTGGATCCGGCACTGCCCCAGTTTCCTTTTTGTTCAAAATGTGGAAATATCGGAATTAAAATTGTATATTTTTGACTGACTTATTTATTTCTAGATTGTGGTTGAGGGGGAAAATTATGAGTCTTAAAGGCCATTTGAAAGTTTTAATCAAAGTTTTCGTGGAAAGAGCAAATCAGTATGTACAGAGACAATCATTCAATATCATTTATTATACATTTTTCAAACACGTCGTTGTTTCGTTACTTTCAATAATCGTGAAAGTTTAAACGTAACCTTACGTACATGATGATTTCATTAAATTAAAGTACTTTATAACCAAACTTCTTCTGACTGTTGTCTTCAATCATCTACATTTTTAGCACTTTCTTTTGTAGGGAAAAAGACATTCTCATGCCAGGTTACACACACATGCAGGCAAGTCAGCAGCACTTTGAACATCTATAATCTGGTGATCTGGGCATACACGCATTTCTTCATGTTGACAAAAAATGTGTAGATTTGAGTGTAATTGTTAATGCACTTAAATAATATATGAAATTATATGAAGTTGACGACAATGCATGGATAAAAAAAACTTGTTGAATGTCAAACAGCCACATCTGTCATTTTCCTTGTCATTTGGTAATTTTAATCCAAAATAGGGATAAACTATAGGTTTCCTAGCCTGTGCTGCCGATTCTATCTCACGTTTATATCTTATAGAGAGCTCAACCAATCCGTTGGAGCCATTGGTTGCTAAGGTAAACCTCACTACAATCATACTCCTATAAAAAAAACATTTTTTCAGTATGTACACATGCGTACAAACCAAAGAATTTTGAATTTTAGAAACCTATCAACGTCATAATAGATACTTAGTTATTATTTGAATCAGTGACTCAGCTTGTTATTTTAATCATGTGTATTTTAGTTAAATTCTTATTATAGCTACGCTTGGTCTTTAAAACGCGACTTTGAGAGACTAGAAGATATCAGTAAAAGACTGAATATTTTACCTTTGGGAAGGTTAGCTACATGTTTTAATACTCCAAATGATTAAAATGACCGTCATATCAGGGAAACTGGAATTCGGAAATTAGTCTTCACTCAATCAACCCATTTAAAGTCAGTTGCGAATTTTGGTAAGTGAATTGTGCAATTGCATTTTCTCAAACATTGATTAGCAAAATGGTATATTTTTTCTTATGACGAATCCCAGTCCTTCTGATACAATGATAATCAGAAAAGGGCCATAACTTTGATATTTGAAGCTTTTATATAAGAACTATTTAATCAAATGAAAATGTTTCCTTACTACCAATTGACTTTTTATGCTACATTCAATGCAGTAATCCTGTCTGTGACAATCTTCATTTTTTTTTACGCTGAGAATCTTTGCATGCAAGTTGTTATAGTCCTTGATTTTTATTGATTTTATTGGTCATTGATCTTATTGGTTATTGATCTTATTGATTATTGATTTCATTGGTCATTGATCGTATTGGTTATTGATCTTATTGGTTATTTATTTTATTGGTTATTGATTTTATTGGTTATTGATTTTATTGGTTATTGATCTTATTGGTTATTGATTTTATTGGTTATTGATCTTATTGTTTATTGATTTTTTGGTTATTGATCTTTTTGTTATAAATCTTGTTATTAATCTTATTTGACTTAATCTTTATCAAGTAAAAGATCGTGTAATGTTTCTTTATTCAGTTCAACAAGATCGAGACTAACTGTTTGCTCGACACCATTATTCTTACATAATGCGTGCCACACAAAAATATGACGTACAGAAAATATCCAAATTTAAAAATCGATAATTTTCATATGGATTGTTCATTTTTTCTGCTTTTAGCGGTGCTTTAGCAGGAAATCCTTTTAATATTGATCGCAAATTTCTTGCAGAAGGTTTGTAAAGTCTCTATTTTAATTCCAACTTTTTGTACTCTATGTCATATTGAGCTCCTTTTTGTAATATAGCTACACCTTGACCTATTATACACCTTGATCTATTGTACCCCTTGATCTACTGTACGTCTTGATCTACTGTATTCCTTGATCTATTTTACACCTTGAACTATTGTACACCTTGATCTACTGTACCCCTTGATCTAACGTACACCTTGATCTATTGTACTCCTTGATCAATTGAACACCTTGGTCAATTGAACATCTTGACCTATTGTACACCTTGACCTACTTTACACCTTGGCCTATTGTATACTTGTTCATTATTCTTTTCTATTTACAGTCCATTCTTCGCTTTCATTTACCTTAGAACTTGGGTTTGACAATGTTACCAATAATAGTCTTGATGCTACATCAGACCGAGATTACGTTGCAGAGTTCATGTTTTGGGCTTCATTACTCATGACTCATCTAAGGTATATCAAAGAACTAACGAAGAACTCGACAAAACTTTGTGCTCGTGGTGGTTGTGATAATAATAAACTTTTCTTACAGTCGCTGGGCTGAAGATCTAATTATTTACAGTACATCTGAGTTTGGATATGTTTTGCTCTCAGATGCATACAGGTTAGAGTCAATACAGTGCAGCAGGGAGAATTGTTTGAAGACTGTACAATGAGGATAAAAGTTGCTATAGTAAATAGTAAATACATGTTGTAGTCTTGAGCAGAGATACTTAAATCTTAGGAACGCAAAAATATATACGAGCAATCACGTCTATAGGCCTGTCCTGCAATCGACGTGTTCGATAATTTTATTAAAGAAAAATTTTTGAAAAATGTTTTACTGTTTGTTTTTTTTTTGAAAAAGACCTTTCGGTAAAAATTGTGTAAAGATTATCCCATTGATAAAAACGTGTATTATACTATTATATCATCTACGAACTGCTAACGACTAAAGTAACTTATGTTGTGTAATGGTATAAAGTTACGTAGCAACTTATAGAAACTTATAAATTATTTTCAGTTGTCATCATTTGTCAAGTTCTTGTATCTGATAACCGTTTTTCTGAAAATCTGATAATCGTTTTTCTATGATCAGCACGGGTAGCAGTTTAATGCCTCAGAAAAAAAATCCCGATAGCCTGGAACTGATCCGCGGAAAATCTGGACGTATAATTGGTGATGTAAGTAAATAATTCAAACAATGCAACATTAACAGTATATAATGTAGTTTTCTCTAGTGAAGCATTATGTTGTGTGATCAGAATAGTTTTTTTTACATGTTGCCGTAGTAAACTAAAATTCTTTGATTTACGAATTTTAATTATGATTGATCCATTCTCCGGTCCTTTACCTTCACCACATTTTAAACCTTGTTGCTATGAACATGGTATGCATATAACATATACTGACTTATGTTATCCTGTTTTATTTCCTTCTTATCCCCATTAGAAGAGGTTAAGAATTTATATGCTTTTTGCTCAATTCTATCATTCCTTGGCTGTTATACTTTTTATCGTTAAAAAATTTTTTTTCTCTTCACTTTAGTTCACTGGGTTTTTGGTAACATTAAAGGTACATGAAAATTTGTTTTCTTTATTTCATTACTTTTTATTTATTTCTTTTTGGAAAATACCATTTCATTGGTGCGATCCAGGCTCCACACGGCCAAGTCTAGCCAGCACGAATAGAAACGCTCTTTCGGTTACATCAATGAAAACATTGCTTGTTCGTTTTATACGACAACCATTTGACTTTTTTGGCCCCAATAGGATTAAACAAGATCAAGTCTATATTCATATTTGCTGATTACGTGTGTGTTAAAAAAACACTCTTTAAGAATTATCTGCATATTGTATAATGTTCTACTGCTGCCCCCTGCTATTTGTGCTGAATGAGAGTCTTTTATCTGCTATACACTTAGTCATGAAGTGTATATATAGTAAGAATGTTAACAAGAAGAAAACGGCTAAGAACAAGCAGCACGAACTCAGTTTTGTTTATAATACATCGCTCTTTAGTTTAAAATGTATCGAAGAATAGAATTTAAAACAACTGCAATATTGCTCTTCGCCATAGGACAGATACTAAATTGGCCACACAACTATTTCAGTTTAAAGACATGTTGAGATATACAAGCGATGAAATTTCGAGCTTTCAACGTAAACATTTCTACTAACTCTGAGTCACAAACTTCACTTTAAAATGATCTCGTAACAAACAAACTTGATGATGGGGAAACGTTTTGTCTCGATTCACCAATTTAATGGAGCAACTGGTTGACACGTTTTTTTATTATGAAAACATTAAGCTTTAAAGAAATCGAGGTTGAAGTTGTTACAATTTTTATCAGTTCAAAGCTAAATTTTCAGGTTTTACTTTTAAGCAAATTGGCAAGCTCTTAGGTTTAATTTTTAGTGTTGTTGAAGTTGATTTTATATTAATTTGTTCTACTATTATAGCAACTGAAATTTTATTTTTTCTTATAAGAATTTTATGTAACACTGCACTTACTTTTCAAGTTTTACAGATCTTTCATTTACTTTGCAGGGCTTACCCAGTACGTACAACAAGGATTTGCAGGTATAGGAATGCCCCTTCTAGGCGTACATATAACAGCTTAAGAGTCTCATTTGATTACAGGAGTGAACTTTGTATTTTGTTGACTGTTACCGAGTTTTAAAATTTGTTTTTATACAACAAAGCAATGTTATCCACCATCGTTAAACGTAGCTGGCATGAAATTCATAACTGTTTTCAGTGTATGAACATTTTCACCGAATAACGCGAGATTTCAAAGAACTCTATGACCATCAAAGTTTCTTCATGATTTAGGTCTGTTTCAAACGTCGTATTTTGCATGTGTCGAATAAAATAGTTTGAGTTAAGTGCATGCGAAATTTGATGTATGAAACAATTAAATTCGACTGCTTTAATTGAGGGTAATTTACTTCGCATATTTTGATGATTAACTATGGTTCTGCTAATTCCTAATTTTAGGAAGATAAAGAAGCTTTATTTGATGTTTGTGACACTTTAGATGGAGTCTTGCAAGTTGCTGCAGGAACACTTTCAACTCTTAAGGTTTTTTTATAATTTTATATGTTGTGTAAATAAAGTGTGTTTTTCCTACTTATGTGCATTTATTTATGCTGTTCCAAATTAAAATTTCTTTCAGATTGATAAACAAAAAATGAGCTCTGGTCTTGTGCCAAGCATGCTCTCTACAGATCTTGCTTATTATCTTGTTCGAAAAGGCGTAAGTTTGGTCATTAACAACTTAAATATGTTCGCATTTTAAATGTTCTGAGTAAGATATAAAATGCGATCTTTAATTTGATCAAAACCACTTTCTATAAAAATGGCGATATTATAAACTTTCACCGTAATATGTATGTGTAGGTTCCTTTTCGGGATGCTCACAGTTTATCTGGCTGTGCAGTAAAAATGGCGGAAGACAAGAAGTGTTCATTGAGTAAATTGACATTCGAGGATCTTGTAAGCATAAGGTAGAAAATTCAATGCTTCATTATTCAATTTGTTTTAGTTTAACGAAATTGAAGTATCAATGTGACCTATGACGTATTGTCATATGAATTGTTGAGTTCATGCAACACTTACTCTTGAAATATTATCCTTTGATACTGTAAGTCATGCTATATCAAATTGTATTTCATAAATATATTTTGTGGATAAATTCAACGTGACATTCACTAATCTTTGCATCTGATTTTATTTTTCATTTACGCCAAAAACGTATTCTTACTTAGTCATGCCTTTGAAGCGGATGTGATGAGTGTATGGAATTATCATGAAAGCGTTGAGCAATATCAGTCAACTGGTGGAACAAGCCTTGACTCTGTATCAAATCAAATTGACTTGCTTTTTGACTGGTTGAATTCGAAAGAATGATTATTCACGTGGATAATAGTTTAATAATAATTCTAAATTTGGAAAAAAGTATTTGCTCGACGCTTGAAATAAAACTGATCACTTAATTTTGTTTTAAAATAGTATTTTTCATGTGCAATTGAATTATTGCTTCCTTTTCTGTGGAACATCTTACATCATCGAACGGAAAATGTTTTTGTAATAACATTCAGTGACAGAAATTAAGTTCTGGAGGTGTGGTGGTCGCACTCCATGCTAAACTTGAAGGACTAACAGCAGTGGTAGTACTTTTCAGAGAGCTTCTTTTGTTAATATTTTGGCAATCAGTAAGAGTTTGTTCTTGAGATTGCTCTGAGGAGGAATTGCTTGCCGCCATCCTTAAGAACCTCTTCCCTTAACGAATGTAAAAAAGGCATCTTTATTTAATATAAAATAATATAATTTTATGTCGTTCATGTAAAGTTCGACGTTTGAACTAGGCCTTAATCTAGTGACAAAATCCGTCGTTTTGGGTCCAAAAAAATCATTCTAAGAGAAAAAATATTTGTTGTCGATGTGACATAACAATGTTTTTCTTGGTCAATATCCGTATTAGAAAAATTTATTGCATTTCCTTTACATCAGCGTGACGTAGCTTGGAGTCAGCAAATGTGAAAGGGGAGTAAATCAGCACTAAAAAACCGTTAAAATATGTTGAAATGTAACTATTTATATAATATGTAGAAAAACAGTACAATTATTTTATAGAGAATAAAAACGTTCACCTTAACCTAACAGTTAAATTCTTAACTTTCAATATACTCTTTGTCTTTTGAATTTGGCGAGGTTAACTTTTGGCCAGCTTCCATGAGTGTGCTAAACAATGTTTCCCTCCTATAAAAAGACTGGGACTGAAGAGGGGAGCATTGAGCCAAACAGCATTGTCATTGTCTGTTGTGTTGTCACTTTGATCAGTTCAGTTGTAGATTTGTCTGACGATAACATTGGAGAGGTTTAATTACTTTTTTCTTTTTCTAAACCAAATTCATACCATCTCACGAGTATGTCATTAGACGGAGAAAGACGCTGTCACACGCTAAAGTTCGAGATTGGCCCTATTCGTCTCAACTTTAATCCAGTTGTAAGCGCGGTTGCTGCCATCTTTATATGGGCGTTCATAGCAGTATGCATGGTATTCCCTGTGAAATCGCATGAACACATGACGACTTTAAAAAATTGGATTACAGGCAACTTTACATGGCTCTACATTGGTGGTATAAACCTTTGGTTTGTGTTCATTGTTGTCGTTTTCATATCCAAGTATGGCAATTTAAAAATTGGCCGCGATGATGATGAACCAGAATTCAGCGATGCATCATATTTTACTATGTTGTTTGCAGCTGGAATTGGTGTTGGTTTCTTCTATTTTGGCGTAGCAGAACCGGTGTTTCATTACGAACCCAGGAGTAAATACAAATACGGCAATCGTTATCAAGAAAGGTTAGTTGTAAAACAAATGTTGTGAAACATCCTAATATCAAGTTATTTAACACAAAGGAAGTAAGGTTTGTTAACATATATTTGTACAAATACGATAGCAGTAAAGCATCGCTTACATTTTTCTGTATGTGTATATTCTCTACATCTCTTATATTTTTGTTTTATGTGTCTTTATATTGTAGATTTGTGTTTGTAGTCTTTCACATTTGAAATAATGGCTCTTACCGTACACGTGCTTATATAAAATATTTATTAAAATCAGTTTTGCCACCTACGCTAAGAGACATTTGTACTGTTACTCATATTTAGTTTTAAACTAGAAAGCACTATGGTGTGTCTTGCTTTTAAATAAAATTTGTTGTATCCGTGTCTGTTGATGTTCAATGTCATGAACATAACCCATGCCTTTAGCTTGTTTTACATCATTTTTTCATTTTAAATTTCTTATTTTACCGATTGCATGAAAATAAAAACATTTTCTCAAATAATAATTGAGTATTGGCTGTATTGCGAAAAGCATGCTTAGCCAGACGTGTTTGCAAATACACAAGCTACGCGGGAAAGAAAGAAATTCTAGAACAAAGACAAAAGCGATGAATTGATTTCATAAACGACCATGTGTTGCGACATTGTTGTGATTTGAAGGAGAATTAAAAACTGGAGTGCATATAATTTCATCGAAGCAAATGTTCGGCGTACCCAAATAATGCTTTACGACCATTTACGCTACCATTTACGACAAAGCATCATGTAAATTACTATTCATGAATATGGCTTTATTGTGTTGTGTGTTAAATTCACTCAATTCTTCTAATTCTAGAACACACGATTTTTTCGTGAAATATATTTTCGTTTTTTTTATCAGCATAAACTACCTTTTTTAAAGAGTTTTACTCTTTCCTTATTTGAGAAAAAATTCGTGTTTGAGTAGTTATCTACGTGTCAATGTCATTTGTAAATATGCAAAAATTTGCGTGCGTGGCTTATGAACCCGTGGTTCTGGGCCCCGTGCTTATTTTTACATAATTGTGTCAGGTTGGATCAATATATAATCCTCGTGTTTGGGCAATTGAAAATTTGAAAGAGGTTTTTATTTTTTTGATAAGTAAACCAAAATTCCAACATTTACGTTGTCAATGCAGTTTAAGACAAAGATGCCTGCTCATGCGTACATTGATGTTCATGCGTACACTTATGCGCAGGCGTGTGCTGGTGCTAAGGCGTACATTGATGCCCAAGCATACACTGAACACAATCAACATTGCCAAGGGATTTGGGGAGGGTTGGTTTTGGAACCACGCATACTGAATGAACCAATTCAATTTCTTGACTTCAACCAGTTGACTTCAACATATGGTATTTCCTATATTTATCCTACATCCTCTTCCACCTTCTAATGATCCCCACTTAAAAGGTTGCAAAAAAGAATAAACCCACAGCCTCTATTTTTCCTCGTCTCTCAGTACAGTAAATGATCACAGGAAAGTCAATCTTATGTTAGTTTTGGTCTTACGAGTGTCTTATGAACTTATGCACATACTGAGTTTAGTATTTTTTTAAATAGAAATTAACATTGAAGCATGTTTTGCTCAAATTAGTATGTTCTAACAATTTAGCCCCATCCTTCCCCACGTTTAACAGACAATTTCTGACAGACTGTCTTTGGTGTTGTTTTATCATGTCTATTGTGTGTGCATTTATATGCCAAGGCAATTTTGTTTTTGATTATTGGTGGCTTAACTTGATACATACTTTTTAATGTGGCTTTGTGAAACAACAGTATATTCTGTTGTTATTGGTCAAGTCTGGGTTTTAGTAGTGCATAATCTTTTACTCAGCATAAACCTACTTTTTACTTCAATTTTCATCGCACTGTTTACAAATTAAGGCAACCTCATCACTTAAATTAATCATTGCCTGTGTGTTTACATTTTAATGTCTTCTGTGCATAATTAATAAATAGAAATTTGTGCTTACTATTTTCAATTTTACTTTACAGGTATTCGGATAACCAAAGAGCTCAAGATGCGATAAATCTTACTCTTTATCACTGGGGCATTCATGGTTGGGTTGTTTATACCCTTGTTGGTTTAGCAATGGGAATCATGTCTCACAGAAAAGGATTGCCTATGACAATACGCTCATGCTTTTATCCTCTTCTTGGTGATCGTATCTTTGGCTGGATTGGAGATATTATCGAGATCACTGCTATTGTATCAACAATGTTTGGTGTATGTGCAAGCTTAGGTGCTGGAGCTTTGACTATGAACTCAGGTTTAAATCTACTCATTGGTGCAATTAAAGTTTCTAAAGGTAGTCAAATTATCATCATATGGGTAATCACAGCCTTTGCCACCATCTCAGTTGTTTCTGGTCTTAAACTTGGCATTCGTAGGCTCAGTGAAATTTGTTTTGCACTTGGCATCTTTATCATGTTGATAATTTTGTTTTGTGGAAAAACTTTCTTTTTACTTAATTTGTTTGTTCAAAGCATTGGTTATTACATTCAAAATGTTATTCAGCTTGGCTTCCACACTGATGCATTTGCCCAAGTTAATAATGCACCTGATGAGAAAGAAAACCATAAATGGATGGAAGGTTGGACCATTGCATACTGGGGCTGGTGGATTTCGTGGTCACCATTTGTTGGAATGTTTATAGCAAAGATTTCAAAAGGTAGAACAATAAGAAATTATATTATCTCTACACTGGCAGCTCCCATTATTTTCACTTTCTTGTGGTTTGTTGTTGTTGGTGGATCAGGTATAGATATGGAGCGTGAAGCTGCTGGTAGAGGTATTGAGTGCAGTGCTCGCTTTGGTGGCAGAAACTCAAATCAATCAGATAATGGATTGTATCGACTCTCTTGTCGGGATCAAGAACAAATGTATTTCGATATGATTCAACAGTATGGCGATGTAGGAAAGTTTCTTCGAGTTCTGTCGTTAATTAGTATTTTATTGTATTTCGTGACGAGCTCTGATAGTGGTTCACTAGTTATTGATTGTCTATCTGCCAATGGTAGTCCAGATCCTCCTGTAGCTCAGCGTGTTTTCTGGGCTCTAACAGAAGGTGCAACAGCAACAGCATTGGTTACAGCTGGCGGGGAAAAAGCCGTTGAGGCAGTGCTTGCTGCTGCAGTAGCCTCAGGTCTTCCGTTTACACCTGTTTTGTTTCTTCTCTGTGTTTCTTTGTGGCGCATCCTAAAATCTGAGTTTGGTGATATTAAAGGTGATGAAAACGAATTTCATGCAAGCATGTTGGATGTGGTAGATAACCCTTCTTTGAATAACGTCAAGCACGTTATTGTTGCAATTTTCGCTCCTTGGTGGCCAGCTGGTAAAGCTGCATCCAAAGTTTCTCAGAAACCCTCATGGATATACATGAGTGTATTGGCTCTTTTGTTTTATTCTGGCTTTCTTTTGATAATCTTGAATCTTGTAAGTGATGGACTCATGTACATCGGTTTTGCAGTTCTTTGTGGTTTTCTTGGTTATTGTGTCGCGCTCAGGAGCTCAATTCGCCAAGCCAGTAGAATCCCTGGAAACTTATTGGAAGATACGTTTGCCATGATTCCGTACTTCCTCTGCATTGATCAAATGTATAAACATGCATGTATTGAAGAGACTCAAAAGAAGAATGACCCACAACCTTTGATGGAATATAGCAAGGGCGATGGTATTGAAGATATGAAAGCGGACTTGAACAGACTGTCTGAGACGTGCGCAGTTCAAGTTAACTCGTACGTTTGATTGAAGTTTATTATATTACTCATTGTCGTAACTATTAGATTAGATGTTTGAAAATTAAATGAAAAAAAAGTTGACAAAGATGTGTAGAACTTAGTGACGTTGTCATGAGTGAATATTTGCGTTCTTTCAAAAACAGGTCTATAAAAAATGCTTTAGGTATCGTGTTTAAAGGCGTTTTATCCCATTTTTCACAGTAATTTTGTTAAAGATGCATCTTCTCTAAACAGCATTGTTTTCCCCTCATTATACGTCACATACTGGTGCAAGATGCAGCCGGATATTGCAATGGTCTACCATTTCCAAAGAAGAGTGTTTACCATCACCATTGTTGATGTGCTGAAACCAATATTGATGTCTCTAAGTTAGAACGCTTTATTGGAATGATGTGCAATAGGTGCTGCTTAAGTTTAAACTCAATTTTCTCATCAGTCTAAAAGATGTTCGGCCTTGCATCGTGTAAGAGGGAGTTTACCCTAAAAAATGTCTTAATTTTCCAGGTTCTATTGGACCGTTCAAAGTATACATTGCCGGAAAGCTTTAAAATTGACGGATCTAAAAAGACATAGACTGAATAGAAAATGCTTTATTAATGTGACTTTGACCCGATTACCTCATTACACTTTCATATCCTATATTAAACACATCGTTTTAACTGTTTTAGCTAATCGGGTAACTGTCATTCTGTCGATGTTAAATGTAAGTCATGGCATTTGATAAAGAAAGTGTTTAAAAATAATTGTTGCAGTAGCTTCTTCTGACATTGTTACGTGTGACTTTTTTACATACTCGGCATTCACGATCACCCCTAGAAAACTCTGCATTAGGAAATTTTCGATTGCATAAAATGCAAGTAGTCTTAGCCAATGGAAAGCTTGTTGTTCCCTTTTCAGGAATTATATCTAATGGAAGAAATGCGTTTCTTTCATATCCATCGTAAGTACGATGTTTCTTGCCACGGTAATAACATACTTGTCTGACGCAACCTTCAAACGACTTTTCTCAGGAATGCTAAGCATCTGTCTCAATGCTTCATAGATCTTAAACATTCTAACTGTATCAACAACGCAATATTGTATCTGCATTTTTGGTAATGGTCGATCTTTCCAAGCTGTGGGTTTTGATTGAAAAAACTGTCCCCCATCGTCCTTCATTTTAACCATTTTGGCATCTCTAACATACCAATTCCAGGCAACGACGATATCCGTAGATTTTCTCTACTGGTGTTGATCGGCTAGACCGTCCAGAATTGGAAGAATAACCTCCAAATGTTGAATATTCACGGCGGTACATGATTTCCAGCAATTGCAGATCCAATACTCCAGCCAGTTTGACATTAAATTGATACCAGAGTGCATCAGAATCTTGACGACAATCAAACATCAGCTTCTCTTGTTCTTTATCTTCCAGGATTTCTTTCAGCCCATAGCAGAATATAAATTTTCCAATGGTCAAAACATCAAACAAGTACACCTTTTCTCTCGTGGCTATGATCAAAACTGTAAGTTGGCCTTTTCTGCTTAGTGAGATTCCTTCGCAGTCAACTGCTATTATATTTTCATTTCTTTTCTTGTATTCTCGAAGCTCTGAAATCGCTTTATTCAGAGCGGCCTCGCCATCAACCAACAGATAACTGCCAAATTCACAAATTTTTTTTCCATGTTGTGTCGATGTTCTATAGCAACAACAAAACGAAATGTGTCACGGTAAGCTGTATTCTGAGAATAATTAAGTACACGAAAATAAATTCCACAATTCTGATTGGTTATGGTTCATTCGGCATCACAATTATTCTGGACTATAAAGAGTCTGCAGTTTATCTAACATAGCGATGCTTAAACGAGCGTTCTTTGTTACCTACTACTATTCAGCTTTCAAACAACTCATGTTTGGCACAAACATTCTGTATGTAGTAAATGTACATATCAACAATTCTATTTTTTCTTTTCTTGAATACGTATTATAGGTATCGTTATTGAAATGGATAATAATGGTGTACGAATTGATTGATGACAGGGATAAAGTGTGTTTTTGTACCAGTTTCAATGTTTGCTGACTGTGTTTTTGTACCAGTTTCAATGTTTGCTGATGGGTATAAGGTCTGTTAGCTAAAGCCAACGACTTTGGTAGCCCACTGGGCATTACCAAAGCCGAAGGAGCTCTGATTCTTGCAGAAGGTCACATGTAGCAAAAGTTTTTTTCTTATTTACTCGATTTTAAGTGTTGTAGGCTATGTCTTTTAGCTTTTTTGCCTTCTTTCGGTTTTCATAACGTGCTTATATATGAAGTACGCAGATTCAAACTTTTGTGATTGTTTAAAAAAGTAAACTTCCGTCTTTTGTAAGTAATTTACAGACCTTTTGAACTGTTGCCAGTACATTACTTTTTTCATATTTTCTTTTCTGACTTGGTAAAGCAGGTAAATTCGTTGTTTTTGATTGAGTCTTTTGGTTTCTAATGATCTGATGATTCTGAAACTCTAAATGAGAAAATTTCTTTACTTTGGGAGAAATTGTAAAAAGAAGTTACATTTCAGTACTAGTTACTAGATCTTTCTGGAGTATTGAGCCATTTCTTCCCTCTCGTAATATCTATAGAATGTTGGAATGAATATCAATTGATTTTTCTTGCAGGGACAACAGTCGTATTTGATTGGACTTTTATATTTATACAAAATTTATTCGCCCCATTTGGTTTCTGTCAATATTCCCAACATAAAAAAGGTATTCATTACCTCTTACTCTATGGTAGAAATGTATTGTACCCAGAAATCCAACCCTACTAACATTAAATTTAATTTTTTCATTTATTTGTTTATTAATGCAACATCGAATGAATTTCTGTAAATGAGAATACGTAAGTTAAAATGTTTGAAAAGTTTTGTTTTTCTTTTATTGAGGCATTCTTCAAAAGAAAAGATGCAAAGTGGTTGGATATTTTGTGGAAAGTAAATTCAGCTTATCAAGGAAACAAGAAAATAGAAGCAAGGCTAATGAAGCAAGAAAATAAAATGTTTATTTTGGTATAACAGGTTATATTTCAGGTTATATTTCTTGTTGTTTCACGAAATAGCTTAAACTATGTTTTCCATTATTTTACTCTCTCCACTATGTAAATGACATACTTGGACTTTAAGATTACGTTGTAGAAACAAGACTTATTATCAAACATTTAAAGAAACACACCACGTATATTTACGGCGAAACTACATCTATAGAATGGATGATATGGTCTAAAAAGAAACTGATTAAGATTGATATTATATATATTTAGGAGACAAAAAGACGAAGAAAAGATCACTTTCTTCATTCATCAAGCAGTTATTATACAAATGTTCACGATGGAGAAATGAACACGAAATAACCATGGACAAAATAACGTGTTTCGACGATTTTCTCTCAAACATTGATTATATGGAGGTAAAACTATATTTTAGAAATGGTATAAAAGGAAGTCATCTTTCATATTTTCTAAATAAACAAAATGTATACAGTGATGTTGCTTGGTTTGTGATTTAGCCAAAAATTTTACTGTGCATGTTCACTTACTGTGAAAAAAGTATATTTCCAAAGAAAGAAATAATACCTCCTTTATTCTGAAAGTTACTTAGTTGTTATAACCAACCTTGGAGTTGTTTACGCTAATAAATTATGTGTTTCTTTGTGTTTTGAAGCAAATGCAAGATGTAAATTATTTTTTCGAATTACTTTCTCTTATAGTATCCTAATCAAATGGGTTGTATTTTTGAATCTCAATATTTACAACTTTATTTGACAATAACTCAAGATGAAGCAGCCATTGTTCGGCTGAATTTTTGGTTTCAACAAGTTCTTTACGAAGGTATCAGTATATACCTGATCATTTTAGTTATTTACGTATCTTGTATTATAAATTATACAGTTAAGAATATGTAAAATTTCTTTTTATGTCATAAAACGAAAACTTGAATATATGTACATTGGCGGATCCATCTTTAGCAAAATAAATAATAGCAGCTATTTAAATTTTCAAAAAATAAAATTTTGTACCAATCAAACTGCTTTAAGGTATTTTGGTATGTACATACAATAAAGACCAAACTGTTCTAGAATGATTACATGCATATGATGAATTTCAACTTTATCATTCTGCATGTTTGGTTCATATGCTCTGTTTGTAATCATTTGGCCTCATAATGCTAATGGTTTGGCATTATAGAAAAACTCCACTCTGACTTTGGATTTCGGTTTGCAGTAACGAGTGTAAAAGCGAAACAAGTTAAATTGTTTTATTTCTTAATTAAACTATAATTTGTGATAAAGTTTGTACCAAACTATAATATTATCGTTTCTTTAATGCGTTTAACATGCGTGTATAGCATTCGTAGGAATTGTGGGAAGTACTATCGAAATAAAGTTATTTGAACATTCTTAATGCTTAGAGCTAGTAAGTGCACCATCTGCTGTTATAAGAGAAAGAGTTCGGAAGCTTCTTCAAGCAATACTTAATTTTCTCATGGTTTACCAGGTGTGTGAATTCTCAATGTAAAAATTGTTTTTACTCTTATCTTCCAGAGATCTGCACATCAATATTAGTAGTTGGGCAAGCTACGAAAATTGAAATCATATTCACAGTGCTGTAAGTCAGTTACAAACAGTTTCTTTTTTCTTTTTTATAGAAACCACTGTCATCTTTGGAGCTTTGTCTTTCACAATATTTGGTTGCGTGGAATGGCGCAGATTATCAAACGTTGATATTTTTACTTATCTCTCAATGCCGATGACACCATATGAAAGTGAAGCTTTATTTGATATCTTAAGTTTAATTTATTTGGCTAAGTCTTCTTTGATTTTAACATACATCAGTTCAATTTCTTGCACAAATTTAATTTCTAGAGTTGAATGATTCGTTGTTCGAACCTCTGCGAAATTTATTCTTTGGCTCAGCTGTCGAGTTCAAGGTATTGAAAGGTTAAGTTGCATGCACACGACTGAGGCTAAAACATTTATAACATTTATGTTCATAAACATTTAATGTCCCAACTTTTATACTGGGGTGTTGTGAATGAGACTAAAACAGTAGAAAGGAAGTTTAGAGGAATGATTGAAAATTGTGGTTTCCTATTGGGTCAAGAAAAGTTATAACATCCACATTTTCTAGTGTCAAGTTTTGAGTTGCTTCACGGAAATGCTAATTACATATGCACGTTCAGCAATGATCATTTCATTGGAAGAGAAAAATAAATCAATGCGAGCTTCTTATGTACAAATAAGGTATATAGACTTTTTAAAATTGATTTTTACCTCTCTTTTATAATGTGATAGCTATACCAATTACATTGCTCATTTTCTCGTATATTATGTTCCGTTAAAGTCTCGACAAGGAAGAAATTTGTTCTGTAATATGATGACTTTAGTAAAATTTGTTGATAAAATTTCAACTATAGCCATGCAGGTACCGATCAAATTATCTTACATGTATTTAATTGCACCATCAGTCAATTTGATTTATTTTCTTCCTTGTAGATGGAAAGTGACAACATACTACTTCAACACTGCATATTGTATTTCTTTGAGCAGGTACGTAGATGTAAGGATTTTATCTCACGTAGTTCAAAGGTAGATTGGATAATTGAGTTAGTGAAAACTATCGGCGCTAGTAGATCTAGTTAATCATTGCTCTGACTATGAACTGCAACAATTGATCCAGCCTACTGCAATACCTGAGTGGAATGTGCATGATCATATGATTTAAATAGATGCAAGTAAATCCAGTGCTCATTGCCAAGGCAATGATGAATGGACTGCGCATGCTTAGGTAGTTTCTCTTGTAATTTGTGAGAAAGAGAGAGCTGAGAGCTGATCGAGTCGACTGCGCAAGCACGGATTTTTCTCATAGTATGTAACCAAGTGAGCTGTTTACTTCCAAAAGCAAAGCTAGTTCATCCAATTGATCATTGCTACAAGTATGAACTGAAACAGTTTGTCGAGTTGACTGTGCATGCTCGTATGATTTCTGTAATAATTTGTGACTAGTTACTTTGAAATCAATGTAGGTATATCCAGTTGGTTGTTGCTACGAATCAAGCAGTTAGGCAATTAGACTGCGCATACTTAGTTAATTTTTTCAAGTTGACTCGTATGAGCTCAAAGCTCCATCAGTTCGTCGAGTAAACTGTAGAAGTTTTCCGTCATTTTTTATTGGCATGTTGTCTGTCTTCAGTTTGTTTCAACAAATGTATTTTAAAATTTGTTACCTCAATGACCTTTACCGGCCTCGCCATTTTCAAAAACAAAATAGCCAATACACAAGCATAGTTATTACACCGTGGAACAGAAAGAAAATTGCTTACATCTAAATTATAGACAACTCGTCCTTCGGACTCGTGCAATTTTGATAGTCTTTGAAAAACTCACTCGTGCATATTTTTTCCAAGTTGCACTTGAAACCATGCTATTAGAGAGCTTTAGCAAAAGTACGACTACGACAACGAGTACGAAGTTTGACCGTGTATGGGAAATGGCACTAGAAAGTTTGTTGTCGTAGTCGTTTCGTCATACTTGGAGGCATACAGGTTAGAGTCAATACAGTGCAGCATGAAGAATTGTTTGAAGACTGTACAATGAGAATAAAAGTTGCTGTAGTGAATAGTAAATACATGTTGCAGTAATGGTCTTGAGCAGAGATACTTAAATCTTAGGTACGCAAAAATATATACGAGCAATCACGTCTATAGGCCTGTCCTGCAATCGACGCGCTCGATAATTTTATTAAAAAAAAATTTTTGAAAAATGTTTTACTGTTTGTTGGTTTTTTTTTGAAAAAGACCTTTCGGTAAAAATTGTGTAAAAATTATTTTCAGTTGTCATCATTTCTCAAGTTCTTTTATCTGATAACCGTTTTTCTGAAAATCTGATGATCGTTTTTCTATGATCAGCACGGGTAGCAGTTTAATGCCTCAGAAAAAAAATCCCGATGGCCTGGAACTGATCTGCGGAAAATCTGGACGTATAATTAGTGATGTAAGTAAATAGTTAAAACATTGCAGCATTAACAGTATATAATGTAGTTTTCTCTAGTGAAGCATTATGTTGTTTGATCAGAATAGTTTTTTTTACATGTTGCCGTAGTAAACTAAAATTCTTTGATTTATGAATTTTTAATTATGATTGATCCATTCTCCGGTCCTTTACCTTCAACACATATTAAACCTTGTTGCTATGAACATGGTATGCATATAACATATACTGACTTATGTTATCCTGTTTTATTTCCCTCTTATCCCCATTAGAAGAGGTTAAGAATTTATATGCTTTTTGCTCAATTCTATCATTCCTTGGCTGTTATACTTTTTATCGTTAAAAAATTTTTTTTCTCTTCACTTTAGTTCACTGGGTTTTTGGTAACATTAAAGGTACATGAAAATTTGTTTTCTTTATTTCATTACTTTTTATTTATTTCTTTTTGGAAAATACCATTTCATTGGTGCGATCCAGGCTCCACACGGCCAAGTCTAGCCAGCACGAATAGAAACGCTCTTTCGGTTACACCAATGAAAACATTGCTTGTTCGTTTTATACGACAACCATTTGACTTTTTTGGCCCCAATAGGATTAAACAAGATCAAGTCTATATTCATATTTGCTGATTACGTGTGTGTTAAAATAACACTCGTTAAGAATTTTCTGCATATTGTATAATGTTCTACTGCTGCCCCCTGCTATTTGTGCTGAATGAGAGTCTTTTATCTGCTATACACTTAGTCATGAAGTGTATATATACTAAGAATGTTAACAAGAAGAAAACGGCTAAGAACAAGCAGCACGAACTCAGTTTTGTTTATAATACATCGCTCTTTAGTCTAAAATATATCGAAGAATAAAATTTAAAATCACTGCAATATTGCTCTTCGCCATAGGACAGATACTAAAACGGCCACACAACTATTTTAGTTTAAAGACATGTTGAGATATACAAGCGATGAAATTTAGAGCTTTCAACGTAAACATTTCTACTAACTCTGAGTCACAAACTTCACTTTAAAATGATCTCGTAACAAACAAACTTAATGATGGGGAAAAGTTTTGTCTCGATTCACCAATTTACTGCAGCAATAGGTTGACACGTTTTTTATCGTGAAAATATTAACCTTTAAAGAAATCGAGGTTGAAGTTGTTACAATTTTTATCAGTTCAAAGCTAAATTTTCAGGTTTTGCTTTTAAGCCAATTGGCACGCTTTTAGGATTAATTTTAGTGTTGATGAAGTTGATTTCATATTAATTTGTTCTACAATTATAGCAACTGAAATTTTAGTTTTTCTTATAAGAATTTTATGTAACACTGCATTTACTTTTCAAGTTTTACAGATCTTTCATTTACTTTACAGGGCTTACCAAGTACGTACAACAAGGATTTACAGGTATAAGAATGCTCCTTCTAGGCGTACATGTTACAGCTTAAGAATCTCATTTGATTACAGGAGTGAACTTTGTATTTTGTTGACTATTACCGAGTTTTAAAATTTGTTTTTATACAAAAAAGCAATGTTATCAACCAACGTAGCTGGCATGAAATTTATAACTGTTTTCAGTGTATGAACATTTTCACCGAATAACGCGAGATTTCAAAGAACTCTATGACCATCAAAGTTTCTTCATGATTTAGGCCTGTTTCAAACGTCGTATTTTGCATGTGTCGAATAAAATAGTTTGAACTAAATGCATGCGAACTTCAACTTGTGAAACAATTAAATTCGACTGCTTTGACTGAGGTCGACCTTAACTTTAAATTCGACCGGTTTGGTCGCATTATGCGACGAAAGTGCGACGTCGTTTCAAACGCTGAATTTTGCATGTGTCGAATACAATTTGGCTCTCGCGTTTTACTCACAACAAAGTCTGAAACGAGATAAAGCGAAGACGTGTAATAATTGCATTCGACGCATGCAAAATTCAACGTTTGAAATGCACAGTCAAATTTTGCATTTTGGTCGAATAAAATTGCTTATTGTATTCGACACATGCAAAATTCGACGTTTGAAACAGGCCTTAGAGTTACTCATGCACTTTTTATGTCCGTGCATGTGGACTGGCTGCCAAACGGTTTCTAATTTCATAAATAGCTCCTTCTTTGAATTCTACTTGGTAATTTTGAGGGTAATTTACTTCGCATATTTTGACGATTAACTATGGTTCTGCTAATTCCTATTTTTAGGAAGATAAAGAAGCTTTGTTTGATGTTTGTGACACTTTAGATGGAGTCTTGCAAGTTGCTGCAGGAACACTTTCAACTCTTAAGGTTTTTTTATAACTTTATATGTTGTGTAAATAAATTGTGTTTTTCCTACTTATGTGCATTTATTTATGCTGTTCCAAATTAAAATTTGTTTCAGATTGATAAACAAAAAATGAGCTCTGGTCTTGTGCCAAGCATGCTCTCTACAGATCTTGCTTATTATCTTGTTCGAAAAGGCGTAAGTTTGGTCATTAACAACTTAAATATGTTCGCATTTTAAATGTTCTGAGTAAGATATACAATGCGATCTTTAATTTGATCAAAACCACTTTTCTATAAAATGGCGATATTATAAACTTTTTCTAAACAATGTTTCCCTGTTATTAAAAGACTGGGACTGAAGAGAGGAGCATTGAGCCAGAGAGCATTGTCATTGTCTGTCGTGTTGTCACTTTGATCAGTTCAGTTGTAGATTTATCAGACGATTTATCAGACGTTAAATTACTTTTTTCTTTTTCTAAACCAAATTCATACCATCTCACGAGTATGTCATTAGACGGAGAAAAACGCTGTCACACGCTAAAGTTCGAGATTGGCCCTATTCGTCTCAACTTTAATCCAGTTGTAAGCGCGGTTGCTACCATTATAATATGGGCGTTCATAGCAGTATGCACTAAACACCCTGAGAGATCGCATGAATACATGACGACTTTAAGAAATTGGATTACAGACAACTTTACATGGCTCTACATTGGCGGTATAAACCTTTGGTTTGTGTTCATTGTTGTCGTTTTCATATCCAAGTATGGCAATTTAAAAATTGGCCGCGATGATGATGAACCAGAATTCAGCGATGCATCATACTTTACTATGTTGTTTGCAGCTGGAATTGGTGTTGGTTTCTTCTATTTTGGCGTAGCAGAACCGGTGTTTCATTACGAACCCAGAAGTAAATACGGCAATCGTTATCAAGAAAGGTGAGTTGTAAAACAAATGTTGTGAAACATCCTAATATCAAGTTATTTAACACAAAGGAAGTAAGGTTTGTTAACATATGAGTAACAGGAGACAGTACAAATCTCTCTTAGCGTAGGTGGCAAAACTGATTTCATTAACTATTTTATAAAAGCAGGTGTACGCTAAGAGCCATTATTTCAAATGTGAAAGACTACAAACACAAATCTACAATATAAAGACACATAAAACAAAAATATAAAAGATGTAGAGAATATACACATACAGAAAAATGTAAGCAATGCTTTGCTGCTATTGTCTTTGTACAAATATATTTAGTTTTAAACTAGAAAGCACTATGGTGTATCTTGCTTTTTAATAGAATTTGTTGTATCCGTATCTGTTGATGTTCAATGTCATGAACATAACCCATGCCTTGTTTTACATTATTTTTTATTTTAAAATTCTTATTTTAGCGATAGCATGAAAATAAAAACATTTTCTCAAATAATAATTGAGTATTGGCTGTATTGCGAAAAGCATGCTTAGCCAGACGTGTTTGCAAAATACGAAAGCTACGCGGGAAAGAAAGAAATTCTAGAACAAAGACAAAAGCGATGAATTAATTTCATAAACGACCATGTGTTGTGACATTGTTGTGATTTGAAGGAGAATTGCAAAAACTCAAATAATACTTTACGACCATTTACGCCACCATTTACGACAAAGCATGATGTAAATTACTATTCATGAATATGGCTTTATTGTGTTTTGTGTTAAATTCACTCAATTCTTCTAATTCTAGAACACACGATTTTTTCGTGAAATATATTTTCGTTTTTTTATCAGCATAAACTACCTTTTTTAAAGAGTTTTACTCTTTCCTTAATTGAGAAAAAACGCGTGTTTGAGTAGTTATCTACGTGTCAATAATGCAATTGTAAATATGCAAAAACTTGCGTGCGTGGCTTATGAACCCGTCGTTCATATGAAAAATCTGGCCCCCTTGCTATTTTTACATAATTGTGTCAGGTTGGATCAATATATAATCCTCGTGCTTTGGCAGTTTAAAATTTGAAAGAGGTTTTTATTTTTTTGCTAAATAAACCTAAATTCCAACATTAGCGTTGTCAATCCAATTTAAGACAAAGATGCCTGCTCATGCGTACATTGATGTTCAGGCGTACACTTATTCGAAGGCGTGTGCTGGTCCTAAGGCGTACATTGATGCCCAGCATACACTAAACTCAATCAACATTGCTAAGTGTTTGGGGAGAGTTGGTTTTGGAATCACGAATACTGGATGAACCAATTCAATTTCTTGACTTCAACCAGTTGACTTCAATGTATGGTATTTCCTATATTTATCCTACATCCTCTTCCACCTTCTAATGACCCCCAATTAAAAGATTGCAAAAAAGAATAAACCCACAGCCTCTATTTTTCCTCTACTCTCAGTACAGTAAATGATCACAACAAGGTCAATCCTATGTCAGTTTTGGTCTTAAGAGTGTAAGATGAACTTATGCACATACTGAGTTTAGTATTTTTTTTAAATAGAAATTAACATTGAAGCATGTTTTGCTCAAATTAGTATGTGCTATCAATTTAGTCCCATCCTTCCCCACGTTTAACAGACAATTTTTGTACTTGGTGGTATTGTTTTATCATGTCGATTGTGTGAGCATTTATATGCCAACGCAATTTTGTTTTTGATTATTGGTGGCTTAACTTGATACATACTTTTTAATGTGGCTTTGTGAAACAACAGTATATTCTGTTGTTATTGGTAAAGTCTGGGTTTTAGTAGTGCATAATCTTTTACTCAGCATAAACCTACTTTTTACTTCAATTTTCATCGCACTGTTCACAAATTAAGGCAACCTCATCACTTAAATTAATCGTTGCCTGTGTGTTTACATTTTTATGTCTTCTGTGCATAATTAATAAATAGAAATTTGTGTTTACTCTTTTCCATTTTACTTTACAGGTATTCGGATAACCAAAGAGCTCAAGATGCGATAAATCTTACTCTTTATCACTGGGGCATTCATGGTTGGGTTGTTTATACCCTTGTTGGTTTAACAATGGGAATCATGTCTCACAGAAAAGGATTGCCTATGACAATACGCTCATGCTTTTATCCTCTTCTTGGTGATCGTATCTTTGGCTGGATTGGAGATATTATCGAGATCCCTGCTATTGTATCGACAATGTTTGGTTTATGTGCAAGCTTAGGTGCTGGAGCTTTGACTATGAACTCAGGTTTAAATCTACTTATTGGTGCAATTAAAGTTTCTAAAAGTAGTCAAATTATCATCATATGGGTAATCACAGCCTTTGCCACCATCTCAGTTGTTTCTGGTCTTAAACTTGGCATTCGTAGGCTCAGTGAAATTTGTTTTGCACTTGGCATCTTTATCATGTTGATAATTTTGTTTTGTGGAAAAACTTTTTTTTTACTTAATCTGTTTGTTCAAAGCATTGGTTATTACATTCAAAATGTTATTCAGCTTGGCTTCCACACTGATGCATTTGCCCAAGTTAATAATGCACCTGATGAAAAAGAAAACCCTGAATGGATGAGAGGTTGGACCATTGCATACTGGGGCTGGTGGATTTCCTGGTCACCATTTGTTGGAATGTTTATAGCAAAGATTTCAAAAGGTAGAACAATAAGGAATTATATTATCTCTACACTTGTAGCTCCCATTATTTTCACTTTCTTATGGTTTGTTGTTGTTGGTGGTTCTGGTATAGATATGGAGCGTGAAGCTGCTAGTAGAGGTATTGAGTGCAGTGCTCGCTTTGGTGGCAGAAACTCAAATCAACCAAATAATACATTGTATCGACTCTCCTGTCAGCCTCAAAGACAAATGTATTTTGATATGATTCAACAATATGGCGATGTAGGAAAGTTTCTTCGAGTTCTGTCGTTAATTAGTATTTTATTGTATTTTGTGACGAGCTCTGATAGCGGTTCACTAGTTATTGATTGTCTCTCTGCCAATGGTAGTCCAGATCCTCCTGTAGCTCAGCGTGTTTTCTGGGCTCTAACAGAAGGTGCAGCAGCAACAGCATTGGTTACAGTTGGCGGGGAAAAAGCCGTTGATGCAGTGCTTGCTGCTGCAGTAGCCTCAGGTCTTCCGTTTACACCTGTTTTGTTTCTTCTATGTGTTTCTTTGTGGCGCATCCTAAAATCTGAGTTTGGTGATATTAAAGGTGATGAAAACGAATTTCATGCATGTTGGATGTGGTAGATAACCCTTCTTTGAATAACCTCAAAGACGTTATTGTTGCAATTTTTGCTCCTTGGTGGCCAGCTGGTAAAGCTGCATCCAAAGTCTCTCAGAAACCCTCATGGATATACATAAGTGTATTGGCTCTTTTGTTTTATTCTGGGATTCTTTTGATAATCTTGAATGTTGTAAGTGATGGACTCATGTACATCGGTTTTGCAGTTCTTTGTGGTTTTCTTGGTTATTGCGTCGCGCTCAGGAGCTCAATTCGCCAAGCCAGTAGAATCCCTGGAAGTTTATTGGAAGATACGTTTGCCATGATTCCGTACTTCCTCTGCATTGATCAAATGTATAAACATGCATGTATTGAAGAGACTCAAAAGAAGAATGACCCACAACCTTTGATGGAATATAGCAAGGGCGATGGTATTGAGGATGAAAGCGGACTTGAACAGACTGTCTGAGACGTGCGCGGTTGAAGTTATTTCGCACGTTTGATTGAAATTTATTATATTATTCATTATCGTAACTATTAGATTAGGTATTTGAAATGAAAAAAAAGTTGACAAAGATGTGTAGAACTTAGTGACGTTGTCATGAGTGAATATTTGCGTTCTTTCAAAAACAGGTCTATAAAAAATGTTTTAGATATCGTGTTTACCATCACCATTGTTGATGTGCTGAAACCAATATTGATGTCTCTAAGTTAGAACGCTTTATTGGAATGATGTGCAATAGGTGCTGCTTAAGCTTAAACTCAATTTTCTCATCAGTCTAAAAGATGTTCGGCCTTGCATCGTGTAAGGGGGAGTCTACCCTAAAAAATGTCTTATTTTTCCAGGTTCTATTGGACCGTCCAAAGTATACATTGCCGGAAACCTTTAAAATTGACGGATCTAAAAAGACATAGACTGCATTGAAAATGCTATATTAATGTGACTTTGACCCGATTACCTCATTACACTTTCATATCCTATATTAAACACATCGTTTTAACTGTTTTAGCTAGTCGGGTAACTGTCATTCTGTCGATGTTAAATGTAAGTCATGGCATTTGATAAAGAAAGTGTTTAAAAATAATTGTTGTAGTAGCTTCTTCTGATATTGTGACGTGTGACTTCTTTACATACTCGGCATTTACGATCACTTCTAGAAAACTCTGCGTTAGGAAATTTTCGATTGCATAAAATGCAAGCAGTTTCAGCCAATGGAAAGCTTGTTGTTCCTTTTTCAGGAATTATATCTAATGGAAGAAATGCGTTTCTTTCATATCCATCGTAAGTACGATGTTTCTTGCCACGGTAATAATCAACATATTTGTCTGACGCAACCTTCAAACGACTTTTCTCAGGAATGCTAAGCATCTGTCTCAATGCTTCATAGATCTTAAACATTCCAACTGTATCAACAACGCAATATTGTATCAGCATTTTTGGTAACGGTCGATCTTGCCAAGCTGTGGGTTTTGATTGAAAAAACTTTCCCCCGTCGTCCTTCATTTTAACCATTTTGGCATCTCTAACATACAATTCCAGGCAACGACGATATCCGTAGATTTTCTCCACTGGTGTTGATCTGCTAGACCGTCCAGATTTGGAAGAATAACCTCCAAATGTTGAATATTCACGACGGTACATGATTTCCAGCAATTGCAGATCCAATACTCCAGCCAGTTTGACATTAAATTGATACCAGAGTGCATCAGAATCTTGACGACAATCAAACATCAGCTTCTCTTGTTCTTTATCTTCCAGGATTTCTTTCAGCCCAGAGCAGAATATAAATTTTCCAATGGTCAAAACATCAAACAAGTACACCTTTTCTCATTTAAACAAGTACACCTTTTCTCATTATATTTTCATTTCGTTTCTTGTATTCTCGAAGCTCTGAAATCGCTTTATTCAGAGCGGCCTCGCCATCAACCAACAAATAACTGCCAAATTCACAAATTTCTTTTTCCATGATGTGTCGATGTTCTATAACAATAACGAAACTAAATGTGTTAAGGTAAGCTGTATTCTAAGAATAATTAAGTACACGAAAATAAATTCCGCATTCTGATTGGTTATGGTTCATTCGGCATCAATTATATTATGGACTATAAAGAGTCTTTGAAGTTTATCTAACATATTCGCTTATAAAGAAGACTGGCCTTTGTAAAATCAAATGCCGAATGAAATGGACGTCAATTTCAATTCACTTTGGCTACGCTTATGACAAATTTACTTTTAAGTGCACATTAAGGGGGCGATGGGACACTTGACACCACTTACTCACCACCACGATAACTGTACATGTCAACAATACTGACCATGAATTCTGGCCCTTCCATCGCCATGCCATGCACTTTTCTTACCCTGAAGCTTATACACTAGTAATCCTCTAAAACACCATGAGAAAAATTAGGTATGAACTATAGAGTGTGAAAACAAATCACTTGCCTTGTGTTTGTTGACTTCGGTCAAACTGCAACGAATTACTATCAACCGAAGACGATCCAGGTCTAGGAATTGGCGATTTCATCAATTTCCAAACGAGATATGCAATAACAATGATGAACAAAATACGAAGAACAAATATTTCGAACATAGTTAAAGATATTCAAGATAGACATTAGTTGACATGCAACACAACAGTGTATAATTGCTCGGCTTGAAAACCTGAAAACCCGCCTTTCGATTCCATACTCTGCTTACGTCACATGAACGGAAGTGACCGAATTTCAAATGTTGTTTGTTATTTAACTGGAATGAAAATAAAATATAATAAAATAAGATATAATAAGAGTCAAAATAAAATATGTGATGCATTGCAAATTGAGATTTCAGTAGAGCAACTATTCAGTGACCAGGTGAGTGCATTTAAAATCTTTATACTGTAAAGTTACATGCTTCATGTATGTCAGTAAGTCGGACAGCCAGTCAGACCAGTGAACTCTACAACAACTGGAAGGCTAACTCATTATAAACAAACCTAGACTTCTTTGAAGCCACTTAGAAGCTGATTTGCCGCTTCGCGTGTATCTCGCGTGGACTGTTTTATTTGCGTGACGGATTGTTTTGCAAAAACTGCTAACTTGGAAATAGAATGCTAGCCTAAATGCTTTATTTTTTTCAAAACCGTTACCAAAATTTGGTTATTAATGTGTTAAGATGCATTGTGGACGTTCCAAGACATGTTTTGTATACGTAACGCTGTATTATATAAAACATAAGAGGGAGAACTTGCTTCGAAATATGAATTTCTCATTTGTCGTCGAAAGACCAAAGATTTAAGACAAAACTGATAACAAGTAGTCTGCATCTTTGAATGCTGTGCAAAATACACACAATCCACTTAACATAACATGTTTCATAACAATTTTATTGCTTTTAAAGTTAGACTTGCTTTGTAAGAATTTCACATGCTCTTTTTGTAATGTGTGATAGTGATGATTTGAAATTTTGAGCTGTGGGTGATTGTTGGTTTTTGTCATTTACTTCTCCCACTTCTCAAGAACTGGTGGAAGATTTGACATGCACCATATTTGTGTATTGAGCATTTTATTAGCAAGTTCATGCTTATAAATAAATAGCCAAGTGTACAACATGACAAGTATTGCTATTATAACCTGCTCTACATAAATGCTAAAAAGCAACCCTCATCCTCAGTGGTTTGAAACAGGGTTTTAAAATGATTATAAAGCAAGCAAAGCTATATCCTGTATCAAAATTTTATAGTATATCATATTGATTGTAAAATTAGTTTTTTTTTGTAATACAGATGATGATAAATGTATATGTAATATATTAAATTTTAGGATGTGTGTTTAAAATGTTTGGTCATATTTGTGAAAATATATGATTCTATAATATTAGACTAATAATCGTTTTCATACTTGTATTACAGTACAATTTTTACTTAAGTGTTTCAAAAGTTATGAATATGGAGTGTCAATTGTGTTTTTGTCTTTTTTTTAAGTGAGTATTGACCCTTTTGACTCTTTAATGGTGCAATTAATAATAACACAATAATATGGCATAACATATTTTTTTTAAAACTAACTCAAAATATTTTTTTGCTAACTTTTTGAAATATTTTGCAAAGTGTTTTTCTTTTTGTTTATGCTCTGAACTTTCAAAAAGGACTGGGGCGAGCTAATTTTGCTCGGAAACACAAAAATTACCGAAAAACAGCGTTTTTTGCCCTGACAGCTTCATTTTCACAGATTCAAACAATATTATAAGGCTAGACAAGTGCATTTTACATCCTTTTAATGAAAAAAAACGAGGGGTGTCAGTTTTGTATTCAAGTTATAAGGCATGTTTTCACGTGCCAAAACAAAGTTCGCTTTTCATCCTTCCAAAAAGAAGCTTAAACATGTACAAATGTCGTTCAAACTTGTTTTATATTAAAGTCCAAACATTGTATAAGATTTTTAGACATTAAGCTGGCTTGAAGACCACTGTTTTTTGCAAAAAATCCGGCAATTTCGAAGTGATATATTTCGCCTCCGTATCTTCAATGGCGGCGCTCATGCAGGCTTCAAAGATGGCGTCCAAGTTAGCCTTCCAGTTGTTGTAGAGTTCACTGAGTCAGACCAGTGAACTCGACATTTGAATAACTGGAATGATAACCGAAGCCAAAAATTGAAGCCAAAAAAATATTTGTCGTCATCATTCGTCATTACACGTCAGGCTCTAGTCTCTCGCGTGTTCATTTTAATTTTTTTTAATCATTTGTCCCTTGGTAATGGTAGAGTTCGGATCTTGATCAGAACGTAAAAATAACGAAATTTTTGGAATGAAAAGGTTCACGGAAAGTGAATCAAAGTGATAAATTGAGAAGCAAGGTGAGGTGAACTTAGTCGATCTGCTCTTACGCTGCGGTTTTCCTTTAAAACATATCAAAGTGTTTAAGGTAAATGGTTTGAACCGGGAGTATCGTTACATGTTTAATGTAGATCGTCCAGGTTATAGTCCTGAGAAGGACTGTTTTGTTGATTGACTGACTTTTCGACAACCTTAGCAGTAGTCATTTTCAGAGTCAAATGAATCAAAGAGAAGATGACTACCGCTAAGGTTGTCGAAACGTCAGTCAACAACAACAAAAACAGTCCTTCTCAGGACTATACCAACCTGGACGATCTACATTTACAAACATGCAAAGTCTTTAAGGATATTCAATTATTGATATCGAGATGACAACCATGTAGTATTTCAAGCACAATAAAAATCGATGAAAAATACAATCGCTCTGTAAAAAGTAAAAATGCGAGTTATAGACTCAATATTTTTTGTGAAACTGGATATTCAAGTTTCTTTTTTCTTTGGAAAAACAGATCTTTGAATCCACTGAAATGACAAAAAAAGACAAACACTGTCTGACACCGTTTGACAATTTACCTTCCGACGAAAGAAAAGTTTATGCTTGAATATTTTCTCGTCATATTTTCTATTGTATTGTTTTTTAGCATACAGTGTAATTTTCAGTTGGCTTTTCCTCGTTACAAGTTGTAAGTTACAACGAACTCACTGTAGTAAAGTTTCAGCTGTAAAAAATAACCTTTTGCGAAGAGTTGTCCTCGTGTGTTGTTTGTCGTGATGTTGTTTATATGTTTATTTTTTCGCATTTTGTATTCAAATTTATATTGGCCGTGTATGTTTGGCACTCAGGGGAATGAAACTGACGTACAAACCGCGTGAATATTCGACTTTGAAGGACTGGAACTGACGTACAAACCGCGCAAGAGACTAGGACTTTGGCTTCAATTTTATAAAAATAATAAATTTAATAATCTAATAATCTAATAATCTAATAATAATAATTAATAATAATAATAATTAATAATAATCTAATAATCTAATAATCTAATAATTAAATAATAATTAATAATAATAATAATAATTTAATAATTTAATAATCTAATTTTATATCTATAAAATGTATTGTCGTTATCATTCCAGATATATATATATGGAGTTCACTGAGTCAGACTGACAGACTGCGCATAAATATGAAACTGTTATACAAGTCGAAGCTAATAATCGAAAAATTGATATGAAAAATTTTATGAGATAATAACCAAGAGAGCTTATACGCTTTTGAGTTTTGAATAAAAAATTCTCAAGCCTCGTTTTTCAGGTCAGCCACCTTTCGTCACTAGTCTAGATCAGTCTGGACTAGACTTGAACTGAATTGAAATATTTATGCCCTTTGAATGCGAGCTGCGACCTTCTAGAACTATACCGAGAGTCATATGCCTCTTTGTCATCATTGTGATGTCGAAAAGTTGGAGGAGCACAAATGAGTAAACTTCAATTATATTTTGAATACTACGATTTTATTCATTCTCGCTCAAACATGTTGCATCATTACAACGGTTACTCCTGTTATGTATTTTATTAAAATACTCAGTGGTTGCGGAAAACATGTTATCATATATCATATATTTGTCTTAATGGAAATTGGTAAAGATTGTAAGTTATTTGCCACTATTGCCATAGTAATAACGTATCATAAGATATTTGCTATGGAAATGTGTTGACTGTTGACAAATTTTTATCCTCCCACACGAATGCAACAAACCCAAATACGAACAAATTTATGATTCATGAATGCCTCAATTTGTCTTTTATAATGATTCTGTGCGCAACGGCCCGCTCTGCTAGGTGCAACTAGCAAATCTAAATCTACTAACCTGGTTAGTAGCTGCATTACTCTTAAAAGCAAAATTTCGTCGAAAAATTATTTTGTACTTTGATCTTTGACCATCACTGTTCTTTGAAATTTACTAAATATCAACTTTCATTTTTCCAGCTAAAAAACGTTGACATGCCTACGTAAAATATTTGAGAAGATGATGAAAATATTACAATTTTTTTTTAATGTAAATATCCGGGGAAACTACATAGACGCAGGACATTCTCGATATAACAGTCATGTCTCCCAATCAAAATTATTGAAAAAAATAGAAAAAATAAATTAAGTAAATGGACATTCTTGATATTTTTCAGCACTTTTTGATGCTTTAAAAACTCAAACAAATATTAACAGCTTTTATATTTTCCCTTGAATTACCTCACACATCAAATACAGAAATTCCCAGTAGTTTACCGCACGTGTTAAAGTTTAGAAATAGCCAATAGAAACATGTTGACAACATGCCATTCATTCAAGTGAAACTTTAGCGCTGTCATATTAAAGTGAAATCAAGTAGTTATTGTTGTCAACTGTGCACGTAGAGTGAAAACGTAAACATTTGAGATGATGATGGAAAGAACCACGAGCAACAAGCGTTGTCACACATTTAAATTTGATTTCGGCCCTATACACCTAAATTTAAACCCAGTTGTAACTGTTTTATCGGCCTTAGTAATCTGGGGATTGGTTGTTTGGTGTGTTCTCGACCCAAAAGGAGCCAACAATGATATGAAAACGATTAAGACATGGATAACTAGCACTTTTACTTGGTTCTACATTGGCACAGTTAATGTGCTACTCGTCTTCCTCATATACCTCTATTTTTCGAAGTATAGCAATCTCAAATTGGGTAAACAGGACGAAGAACCAGAGTTCAGTGATGGAACTTATTTCACAATGTTGTTCGCTGCAGGCATTGGTATCGGCCTGTTTTATTTTAGTGTAGCTGAGCCTGTTGGACATTACTCGCCGAAGAAACCTTACGGAAATCGTTACTGGGGGAGGTGTGTAATTGCTTGTTTTATTTTGCAATAATCATTGAAATGATTTTAAATATTGATAGTTCGTCACGATTTTAATATTGAAATAATTGCATATATTTATATTGGCTTTTATAGTTTTATTTTAGAGAAAGTCTGGCTTTTATGTTTCGTTATGTACTAAAAGTCGTTTTGCAATCTACATTATCATTAGCATTTAATACAAAAACTATTCATAACACGCCTCCCACTTGTGGAAAGTATTTTCACATTATGAAATCATTATTATTGGCAAATCGCCAAGTAGTTGAACTGGTTTTATGCACGTGACTTGCTATATGTGACATGATCATCACGTGCTGACAAACTAGAATTGGATTTTTTTTGTTGATATGCAGTAACATAAAGCGTTTGCAGTAAAACTCTAAAAAACTGCCCAACGTATAGCACTTTAACTTGTGGAGGAAGACAAGACGTAAAAATTTTTATGTGTGTTGAATTTTATTTTCTTTCAGTATTCTTTAAAATGAAAATGTGTATGGTACAAATTTCAATATTCTACTAATGTAAAACACTGTATTTGCAAGGAAATTTCAAAAAAGACTCCTCTAAATTATTATAATCATAATGTGAAGGAAATTTTTTAAAAAGTTGTTTTGGGAATGCCAAGAAAAGTTTCAGATTGTTAACATATTTTGTCATCAAACACAACATTACTAACTTGACAGCATTTAAATGTTTGAACATGCTTGCATATTTTTCTCCCTGAAAACTTCAATTACTTTTTATTATTTTTGAATTTCTAAAATCACTGGTATACTTTTGCTAAAGCCAGTACAGACAGAGCGTGTGGCAGTAAAGCCTGGGCCACACTATTGTCTATATTGACGACAACGAAAACGAAACGAAAATTCGTGCACGAAATGCATGCCAAACACGACGAAAAATTACAAGCATGTTTGCAAAGCCAAAACGTTTTTGGCCAATAAGCAAGCGGCATTTTTGACGGATTAGAAAAAATGGCGATCTCTAAAGAAAAAGATTACTTTTTCTAAAGAAAAAGTTACTGCTTTTAAAGTTGAAAACAAGCAACAGCAAACGTCGATACTGGATTCATCCAATTAATAAACGACGTGATCGTCTTGGACTATTTAACAACTTGATTAAAGAATTACGAGAGCCGAACAATGAAAATAGACACATAAAATACTTGCGAATGACGACGACAAATTTTGACTACATTTTGGATTTAATTAGACCTCACATCACTAAAGTTGGCACACATCTTAGAAAGTCTATTAGCCCTGATTTATCAAAACCTCTTGCCACTCCATGTTTGAGTACAAAGTCTAATATTATTAGCCAATAGTATGTGTTTTCGTTAACGAAAAAGGTCAAACGTTCAACTCTTCTTATATGCACGAAAACGAAATTTTCGTCGAGTTTTCGTTCAAAATTTTCGTTGCGGCAGTTTTCGTTCTGATTTTCGTCGATATGGACGATAGTGTGGCCTAGGCTTAACGATCTTTTCGTTGTCATTTTGAAACTGGTTAAATAATATTTTTGAAAGTATAATTATTTTGTGGATAATTTTATTCAATCTATTTGGCAAGCCAAAATTGCTTGTTCTAAATGAAATTATTTGGAGACTTCAACCTGACTTTGGCATGCAAAAACAACAAAAATAAAATATATTGCAGTTTATTTTTGTTACATGGATTTTGTAAATATTTGTGAACATGCACATTATATCTTACTGAATAATTTAGATACTCAGATAATCAAAGAGCTCAAGATGCAATGAATCTCACATTATTTCATTGGGGTCTTCATGGTTGGGTGGTGTACTCTATTACTGGATTGCTTTTGGCGATCGTGACATACAGAAAAGGACTTCCAATGACCGTTAGATCTTGTTTTTACCCATTGATTGGTGATAGAATATTTGGATATTTTGGTGATATTATTGATGTTTTTTCCGTTGTCTCCACAATGTTTGGAGTATGCACGAGTCTTGGTCTTGGTGTCATGTCACTAAATGCAGGTCTTCATCGATTAAATGGCAACATTAGTGAGACACCAACCAACCAAATCTTTATCATTTGGGGAGTGACTTTTATTGCAACTCTGTCTGTAGTGTCTGGTCTTAAAGTTGGCATTCGTCGTCTCAGCGAACTATGTTTCTGTCTTGGTATGTTCCTCATGTTATTTGTATTTTTTCATGATGACACCTGGTTTCTACTTAACCTTTATGTCCAAAGTCTTGGTTATTACTTGCATTCAATGCTGCTCCTGGGATTCCATACAGATGCATTTGCGCAGATGGGAAACTCTAATGATGGCTTTGAAAATTCTAAATGGATGGATATTTGGACGGTCTTTTACTGGGGATGGTGGGTTGCTTTTTGTCCTTTTGTTGGCATGTTCATTGCTAAAATCTCTAGAGGTCGAACAATCAGAAACTTTCTAAATGCCACTCTCACAGCTCCTGTTTTATATATTTTCATGTGGTTTTGCATATTTGGTGGTGCAGGATTGAAAATGGAGCGAGATGCAACTAAAGCTGGAGTTGACTGCAATGTATCTTCGTTTGTTAAAATTAATGATGACAAGATTTATAAGCTGTCATGTAGATTGTACTCTGATCGGTTTTTTGACATGCTTCAACAATACGGAGACAATATTGGTTTTGTGCTCAATATCGTCGCAGTCATCAGTATAATTCTTTATTTTGTTACAAGTTCAGACAGCGGCTCTCTTGTTATTGACTGTTTGTCAGCCAATGGTAGCCCAGAACCCCCCGTAGCACAACGTGTATTTTGGGCTTTGACCGAAGGTGCTTGTGCCACTGCTTTGCTCAAGGCTGGTGGCGAAGATGCTTTATATGCTCTGCAAACCGTATCAATTGCATCTGGGTTGCCATACCTCGCTATTCTTCTTCTTATGTGCGTTTCTATTTGGCGTTGTGTTAAAGAGGAATTTGGTGATGTTAGTCCAGATTCAGCGAAGTTTAATGTCAGTTTATTTGATGTGCTAGATAACCCATCTGTTATTTCGCTGAAACGATTCGTGATAGCAGTTTTTGCACCTTGGTTACCAGCAGGACGAGCTGCGAAAAAGTTTTACAAAAGAAGTGGTTGGTTCAACATGGCAATTATGGCATTATTGTTTTATGCTTGGATTTTATGTGAAATTCTTCATTTTGTCGACTCGGCTTTGCCTCATGTTGGTCGCATTTTTCTTTGTGGTTTTTTCGCTTACGTTACAGGAATACGCTCGTCCATACGACAAGAAGAGGAAATTCCAGGAAGTATGCTGTCTGACGCATGCACAGTGGTATTTGTGTACTTCTTAGCAGTTGATCAAATGGAGAAGCATGTGCTGATCGGGGAAAAGCAAAAGAAAGAGGATCCCAATGTTCCATTGGATAATCAAAAGATGGATATAATCCTGGAAAATCCCAAAACTAAAGTTAACGAATCAACGACGTTTGTTTGAAATGTTTGTTGACGAATGTTGTGACGATTGCGTCTCTAAAATTTTATGTGTTCATGTACCTCAGTAGCGTCCTCCAATGATTGTTTAGATGTATGATTTAAGATGTTGAAAGTCATGTAAAATAAATTATTTAGTTTGGTGTTTCTCAAAATGATTCCCTCAGTTATTTAATAGTTAAATAAAAATTTACAGTTGTTGTTCAAAATTTGTGTTATGTTCGAGTACATTGAAATGAAGAGTGTCTTGTAGTTAGAGATTCTGACTATAATCCACCCCACCCACTGGGAACCCAGATTGAGCTGAAACGATGTATTGAATATGTATGATTATTCGTGGACGGAGGGAACCTATTTACATCGTTAAGTTACTTCCACAAGACTTCTCGGTGATTTTTTTGTAACTTAGACGGTAAATCATCCCAAACAAGTCACAACTTCATTTATATTCATCCAGTTTTCTACTAGTCGATTTTCGCCTACTGTAACAACGTCATACCGACAGTTTTAGAAACTACTTCTGTGATTTCAAAATATCAGCGTTAAATACCACTGAAGCTTCAAAATTAAAACCGTTTTTTGAGATTTTTATTTCATGCAAAATTTGTTAATTACCTTCCCTGTCACAGACTTGCGTAGCTTTTGACGTCCAGATATTTTTAAATGAAATTGAGTCGGCTGATAGAATAGCATAAAACAAAAAGAAGTGTCTAAGTCCTACTTCAAAGAAGTGTGTGCACATTGGTAAAAGGCGTATTTAGCTGCATGTGTTTATAGTATTGCCCTCCACTCCAAAACAAAAAGTTTACCCAAGACATAATCATAAGGAATTGCTAAAAATTGTCTGTATCACGAACAAAACCGTCACTGATTTTTTTGTTTTCGATTCAAGTTCAATCTAAATGTTACATGTCACATGATGTCGAAGTTCCTGGGTTATTCCATATTCATTTAATGCCCGAGGGACCATAACATTTAAATAATCATTAATGCATATTCGGCTGTAGCAACGTTCAACAATATTATGACAAATCTAGAAAATAAATAAAGATACAAGGACGAAAGCTAAATCCAAGAAAATGTTGCTAGACAATTGATTGGTGGGAGAATATGGAAGTTTATTGTGGTACAGTAATAAATCATTGAACATTCATCAAACAACAACACTATCATCTATCATTATGAAATAAAAACAAACGCGTTCGCTGATGAATTTGTCTATATAGTTGTGTTTACATTAGCCCGTGCAAACCAATCTGAACTCAATCGATAAATCGGTCAGAGATTATACAAATCAATCATGAATACATGTTAGCAGATGCATGTTGGAGGAAAAAGAAAAACGTACGTTTATTTCAATTTCATTTGTTTCGCTTTACTTTTTATTTCAAAAAAGAAATAAAAAATGTTTTTCGTGTTTGCACTGGCTTTTTGTGTACCTTTTTGTCTACTTTTTTCTCTAACTTTTTGTGTAAATTTGTGTTTACCTTAGTGTCTACCTTTCTGTTAACCCTTCAGTCTACATGTTTATACCAACATTTTTTCTCTAAATCCTCATTTTGATCTATATTTGGATGTCTTTGCATGAACGATGCTGAAGATCGTAGTGTGGTAGCCAGGGCCCCTAGCTGTTGATTTTGGGGCGCTGAATTGAATACGAGTCATCAAGTTTTAAAAATGGGCTATAAAAAATTAAAAACGCATTTGAAACAGAATAGTTATTTTCGCAGTTATATATTCAGTGAATGAAGTTAACTTTAGGGAATTAGGGAAGAAAGGAAGTAGACAGACCGAAATGAAACCTTGTAAGGGGGTCGATTAAAGAATAAGATATTGACGAGCATTCTATAATTAGATGTTTCGTTTGTGGCCACAACGCCTGCATGATTTGTCACATTTGGGGGGGGGGTGAATATTCATATATTCAGCTTTGCCCCGTTGATTTCTATTGAATTAAACATTGCCAACAAAAGAAATCAACAGCAAGGCAGAGCTGAATATATGAATATTTACACCACCCCCCAATTAGCATTCTAGTTTCACCTATGCATACACGGCCAAATTGTCCTCTTAAGGGGCGCAACAAGGCCTTAAATGTGTAATTTTTTGCCTACCTTAATCAATGTTTTTTGCTTCCCTCACAGACAGTAATCGTTACTGGCATTGTATCTTATTATTAATCTAAGCGTAATAATTTATTTTTTAAAAATGACAGTAGTGCAGTCATCGGTAAATTGCTATCATAATGCATAGTATAACATGAAGTAGCCCTTAATGATACCGCAGCATGTACTGCATTGTTTGTATTGTGTTATTTACATTTTCATCGTTACGATGAATTTGTCATTTTCAGTAGTAAAGCAAGTTATTATACGGTAAAACTTTTTTAAATCACTTAAAGCTTCTTCGTAAATGTTCAAGATTCATTTATCCGCAGTTATCGAATGTGCATAACAGCATATATTTAATTGAAATTAAGATATTTTTTAAACAACAACATTTGAAGACCAATTAAATTAATGTCTCTAAATGCAAAACTCTCATTTTGAGCAGATGTAATTCACACAACAAACATTTCATTTGATAATTCCATTTGTGTTGGGAAGTGTATTTTAATATTATTTAATGTACATCATGGAACATGGTGCAATGTTAAAGACTAACTGCAATGTCGAATTCTTTCAACACCACGAAGAGAAAAAAGTCGGGTGCTGAGTATCGAAGATTAAAGAAAGCTAGACAAGAAGAATTTTCAAAACTTGGGGAGTTTTGCTTGATTACTTTAAACCTATACAAAATGACCCACCATGCATTTTGTCACAAACAACAGAGGAGTTAGAATTAAAACTCAGGGAAACGCCGAACATCAGTAAAGACCTTAAACAAGTGCATGCGCAAGAAAAATCTGAGTCGACAGATGTAAAAGATCAAGATGAGCATACTTTCAAATCAATCAAAAGCAATGATTCTGTTGGTGAATGCCCTGATATTGACAGCTTTGTCAATTCAAATGAACGTAAGGAAGGCGAAGGCATCTCAGAATCTGCTGAAAATGAATTGAATCGAAATATTTCTATTGATACGAAAGAAAACACGTTTTACCCTGGGACAGTTGTTGATCTTAATCTCAGCATTAGCGAAAAAAGGCGTTTACTTAAAATGAATCCATGCCAACCATCCCAGTTTGTTTTGAAACAAAGGAGGATAGTACAAGGAGATTGCACTTGCTATTGCTCCCATCAGGTTTTTTTCCACGATGATGGAACAAGACGAAAATGGATTTCCTATTCACTAAGTGAAGACAGCTTGTTTTGCATACCATGCATTCTGTTTACAGATGTAACGTCTAGGGGAGAAAATATTCGGTCAAATCAAGGAAAAGCTTTTGCAAACATTGGTTTCTCCAAATGGAAAAAGCAGTATATTAGAATTCTGGAGCATGAAAAATGCAATTCTCATCTAAACGCAAAAGTTGCAGAAGCTCTTTTCCTTCAAGAAAACTCAATATCGGATCAGTTTCATCACCAGGGGAAAATCGAGTCTGAAAGACGTAAAAAGGAAGTTGTTTTAAACAAAACAGTTTTGAAACGTGTGATAGATGTTATTATGTTTCTTGGAAGACAAGGGCTTTCCTTTAGGGGTCACTGTGAATCACTGACAAATTTCTATGTTAATACAGGAAACTTTTTGGAAACGCTTAAATTATTGTCAGAGTACGATCAACCAATCAATGAGCATCTTGAGAAAGTTCGTGACCACCAAGTGAAGCAATGGACAAAGGATGGTGGTAAAACTGATGAAAAAGGAATCAAAGGACGTGGCTCATGGCTAACGTTTTTGAGCAACGATATTCAAAATAAGTTAGTCAATATCATTGGTAAAGAAATATCTTCTGTAATTGTACAAAAAATACGCAACTGCAAAGCATGGGCATTGATTGCTGATACAACACCCGATATAACTCATACAGAGCAATTGAGTATATGCGTAAGGCTTGTTAATGAAACTGGCGAGTGTTCTGAACACGTTTTGTCATGCCAAAAAGCAATTGGAACAACTGTACATGACCTTTACACTGCTATTACAACAATATTACAATTGCATGGAGTTTCATTTGAAAAACTTGTTGCCCAAACGTATAAAGGAGCATAAACTATGAGCGGATGTTATAATGGTTTGCAGGCAATTATAAAAGAGAAAATCGGAAACCACATCATATTTGTTCACTGCTATGCGCATACGCTAAATCTCGTCTTATCCGATTCAGCTTGTGTTGCTATTGATGTCATTACTCTTTTTGACTCTCTCGAAAAACTGCACGTTCTCTTTAATAATTTTCATAAAGTACACGAATTGTTTCAATTGGTTCAAAAGAATGAAAACCTCAAAATTTTTTCGATTAAACGTCTTAATACAGTTCGATGGAATGCAAGAGAATTTTGTCTAAACGTATTTCTTTTGAGGTTGGAGTGCATAATGCGAGTGCTCCAAAAAGTAGCTGAGGAAAGATCGTTCACTGAAAGTCAGCGAGCAACAGCAAATGGATTGCAAGCAGCTTTTCAGACGAAGCAATTTGTTGCGACTGCCTGTCTTTTTCAAGAAATTTTTGGAATTACTGGACCTTTAAGTCGATATCTACAGAGCGTAAATGCTGACTTTGGAAAAGCAATGGATATGGTTGATAGCTCAACTTCTAGAATTCAAATCATACGTGACAAACCACAAAAAATCATTGAAATGTTCGATTCTTTTGCGTTAGATGTCGAATGGAGGTCTACACTACCTCGTCGTCGACGACCAATGGACGGAGAACAAGCCAGAGATGATTTGGCAGATTCACCAAAAGCACAATGGAGGCAAGACACATTTTATAAAGTGCTAGATTCCATTCAATCTTCAATGAAGAATCATTTTGAAAAGAATCGACCACTAATGAAATCATTTGCTTTATTCGCACCCAATCAATATGACAAGCTCTCGAGCAAGTACAAGACATCTCACGGTCTTCAATCTGCAGTGAAAGCCTTTTGTGATGTGTATAAGATAGATTCCCAAAGATGCGCTACTGAACTTTTAAGCTTTGCAGAAACATTTAAAAAATTTCACTGTTCTCAGTTTATAACTCAAAGTGACCATGGTCATAATGAGCAGAACTTTGAAACTATTGATGATGGTGATGGTGATGATGATGATGAAAATCATTCTGATA